ATTTTAGCAAAAGATCAGGCTCTCCTCTGGCAATCGTTAGTTCTAGATATATTCAAGGCCTTTGATTGCCTAGAGTGGGGGCAATCTTAGTCAGAGTATTGATGAAAATGAAATCTGTGCCAATATTATTGGCACAAAAATGGAAGCAAGAAGAATTACCGACGAAAGAAGATTGGAGGATGAAATTGATGGACTATGCAGAATTAGACAAACTAACAGGAAGAATTCGAAACCGGCGGGACCAGAGATTCACAGAAGATTGGCGTGATGATCAGATTACATTTGTCGGTTTGCAGGAAGTTTTGTAAGGGGAATAATTTGAACTATTGCATTATTGAACAAAAAGGATGATGTTAGTTATGATAATTAAAGGCAATATGAATTTAAGAAATGCAGAAGAAATTATAAAAATGGAAGATCACCAGAGATGCTGATGGAAGTCCAAAAAGATTGTATAAGAGATGAAATTTTGTGGAATGTATGACAATTTCTATGTTTTAAAATCTGGCCCGAAATTTATTTATTTCAGTAAAGCATTCAGCTTCAAAAGCCAGATTAGAAGAAGAAGAAGAGTTTGGATTTGATATCCCGCCTTTCACTCCCTTTAAGGAGTCTCAAAGCGGCTAACATTCTCCTTTCCCTTCCTCCCGCACAACAAACACTCTGTGAGGTGAGTGGGGCTGAGAGACTTCAGAGAAGTGTGACTGGCCCAAGGTCACCCAGCAGCTGCATGTGGAGGAGCGGAGACGCGAACCAGGTTCCCCAGAATACGAGACTACTGCTCTTAACCACTACACCACACTGGCTCTCCATTAGAGTTAATAGATTAGAGTTAACTGCCTCAATTTGGAACAAATCCCGATTTTGCGTGGGACAGAACAGGTCTTATCCCCTTTTCTGTTTATATTACCACCTGAACCTAAGACCAGCCTGCTGGATCAGGCCAGTGGTCCATCTAGTCTAGCATCCTGCTCTCACAGTGGCCAAGCAGATGCTTGTGGGATGCCTGCAATTTGGACATGAGTGCAATAGCACCCTGCTCACCTGTAATCCCCAGCAACACTGTCTCAGACAGTGGAGGTAGAACATAGCCATTGTGGCTCATAGCGATTGATATCCTTAGCTATTCACCCTTGGCTGAACCCAAATATAAATGGAAGGCCCTTTTTCTGACAATATTATGATGGCCAGCCACCCGTAGTCCTCTGGACACAGCTGCAGCCTTGCAAGGAGAACTGACTGGTTTTGCTAAAGTGGCCAGACTTAAGTGGAATTTCCAGGGGTATATTGTGCTCTAGGTGGCTTAGTTTGGTTAGAATCGAGTAACCATTCTAGAGTTAACGCAAAATGCATTACTTCTGGTAAATGAGCCACCATAGCCGTTAGAGGAGCATGAAAATTTGTGTCCTGGGCTTTTTAGACTCATGTATCCATCTACTAGGGACGTGGGTGCGCTGTGGGTTAAACTACAGAGTCTAGGACTTGCTGATCAGAAGGTCGGCGGTTCGAATCCCCGCGAGGGGGTGAGCTCCTGTTGCTTGGTCCCTGCTCCTGCCAACCTAGAAGTTTGAAAGCACGTCAAAGTGCAAGTAGATAAATAGGTACCGCTCCGGCGGGAAGGTAAACACTGTTTCTGTGCGCTGCTCTGGTTCTCCAGAAGCGGCTTAGTCATGCTGGCCACATGACCCGGAAGCTGTACGCCGGCTCCCTTGGCCAATAAAGCGAGATGAGCACCACAACCCCAGAGTCGTCCACAACTGGACCTAATGGTCAGGGGTCCCTTTACCCTTTACCTTTACCCATGTACTATCTGAAACCAAAGGGGCTCATTGGTTGCCAGGTGTGAATTCCACGCGTCCCCAGCTCTCCTACCCCACTATTTAATTGTGTTTTTGCTTTTTATTACGGCATATATTTTTGTGTTTTTATATTGTAGGCTGCACTGTGATCTTCGGATGAAGGGCGGTATATAAAATTAATAAATGAAATGAAATACATATAGCCAATGGACCGTTTATTTTTATTGTGCAATGAAATCTATGACCAGTTGAAAGACCCTTTGGGAAAGTTGGATAAAGACTTGATGCCGAGCACCCGCTGTTCACAACCTTCCTTGTAGTTTCAAGTGTACCAGCGATGATTTGTGTATATCACAGCTTTCCAACTCAGCAGCAGTGGCAAAACTGTATCCTTCTTATAAGTCGCTGGTGCTATGGAAGAATGTGGCAGATTTGCTTCCCTTTACTCCTGCGACCTCTAGTGGGTCATGTTGAAACAACAGCCAGAGTTCTACGGCTGTAGAAAAGAGACTATTGGGTTGATGCTTTTAATTTCAGCGATCCCTCCTAACAGTCCTTAAGCATGCCAGAATGCCCAGCCTGCTGCTCTTGAGGTCTATAATCGTTAAAGCACTATCAATCACCATCACATTGTTCCGCTGATAATAGTTATGATTATTACTATTTTATTAATCTCCCCGTGCTTGAATAGTGTCATTAGTCAGGACTGAATGTAGTTGCTCAGATGCTAGATCATCATCACTGCCATCAGCAATGAGTAGGGAGAAGAACATTTCTGAGTTTTTATTGCTCACTGGGAAATGGGTCAGGATGGAGACAGTCAGTGAGCAAAACACAGGACCATAGCCCTCGGCAGCAAGGGCAAAAAGTGTTTGCCCGGCTCCTTAGACATATTAGGAGGTGTGAATGTTGTCTTCTCTGCTCCATCATCCATACCAATGGCCAGTCGGCTTCTGGTCCCAGTTACTGGCTTTCATATATTTATATATTCAATTTTATATTTATATATTCAATTTTATATTGTTCGAACCATGTCTTACCTCCTTCGCCACCTTTAGTGTCCTTGGAGGGTTATATAGTGTTTAAAAGCCTGATAAAACAAGTGCAGTACAAATATCAATTGACCAAGGTTAATAAACAGCAGCACTGATAAAAACAATCTGATCATCCAAACCCCAATCATTGTGCAGCGGGCCTGAAAGCCTGATAAAACAGGCATGACTTCACAAACTATAATAATGTTGGTCCCACACTTGGAAGGACAACCCAGAGCTGCTGTGCCACCAAAGAGAATTATAGAATCATATAACTGTAGAGCTGGAAGTTACCACAAGGGTCATCTAGTCCAACCCCCTGCAATGCATCTGTCCCATACAGGGATTGAACCTGCAACCTTGGCATTATCAGCACCATGCTCTGAGCTATCTCCTGTAGACATCTGCTTTAATCCTGGAGACAGGGGAGAGAGCACAGCCTCTGCGGAAGACATGAGACCTACTCTGAGGAAGATCTGGGACCACGGTTTCAGCAAGGGACTCCATGGACTCCTCTATATAGAACTGCCTTCAGAAAAGGTTGCAAGGCACACCTATTCTGGCTGGGTTTGGATTTGGCTGGTTATATGTTGTATAGGGTGGATTCTGAGAGCCATAGTTAGCCATCCTTAGAGCAGACTCTTTGAAATCCATGGAATTAACTCAGGCCACGCTGGTTTCAGCGGTCTATTCCAAGCACAGCTAACAGTGCAATCCTAACCATGTCTACCCAGAACTCCTACTGAATTCAATGGGCTAACTCTCTGGTAAAATGGGTTAGGATTGCAGCCTTAGTCTGGATCCAACCTATTGCTTTTATATTGTCTTCGAGGGGGTGGGGTGGATTTTTTGGTTATTTTAAAACTTTAAAAGGTAATACACTTAAGAGCTCTGACCAGTTTTTAAACATATTTTTAAAATACTGAATGTAAGTAAAATGTACCACGGTTCAAGCTATCATACCTGCTGCCTGATCAAAGTGTCCCGAGGGCTGCTTGTGATTACCTAGTGGCCGTGGTAAAGGAGGAGTTCTGCACATGCCTAGATGAAAACCCCAGTTTTCCCTGTTTCTCTTTAATTTTGCAGAGTCCTTTGTCACTCCATGTTAAAATCCGGGGTAAATCATACTGCATGCACATGAGGTTGCAAAATAGGAGACATAATAAAAAAAGCGATATTGGAAGACACGTGTCTGCAATAGGCAAACACGGGGTAAGTTTATTTTTTCTCTCCCCCCCCCCCATTTGCAGCATGGGGAAACGGGCCCCACCCCACAAGTATGGAAAAGATTTTCTCAAAGCAGGAACACGCGCTCTGTTGAAAACAAGAACCCGTGGAGGTTCCTGTGTTTGAACGCAAGGATCTGTGCGTTGCCTATGATGGTGATGGTTTTCATGCAGAAAATCAGTGAAAAGGAAAGGAAGGAAGGAAGAAAAGCACACTGTTGGCATGCCGGCGTCAAAAATAAAACCACTGGTGAAGTTCTGTCAGTCAGATATTTCAGCAGTGCCACTTAATTTGGCTGCTGCGGGGCAAGAAGTGGGACAGAGGCGGGCGCAACTGGCACTACCTTTTCGGCACCTTGGAGAGCTCCCCGGGCACGTAGCTGCGCGCGCACTCTGAAGCGCAAGCAGCGGGGGCAGAAAGGCAGCGCTGTATATGAATGACTGCACCGGAGCGGAAGGCAGCACTCGGGCGGCAGTTGCGGCCAGATCAGAAGGATCCGGAGAGGCTCCGCTTCCAAAGACCAGCGAGACGCCGTGCCCAGTCCGAAACCCGATTCCTATCCCAGCTCCTTCTGTGCAGCCGGCAAGAGGCATCCGACAGGGTTGCTTTCTGGAGATCACCCAAGAAAGTCAGAGCAGCGACTGGGTCACTTTGCAGCGAATGCATTTTGGGGGGTCTGTCTGCCCACCGCCTTTGGATCTGAAAAGCTCCTTTTGCAACCGCCTTTGGATCGGTGCTGGTGGTTTGGCAACGCGATCCCTCCTGCCACCTCGTCCATGTGAGTTTAGCAGAAGGGAGACCCGGCCGGCAGCGCCCCTTCCTCCTTGTGAAAAGTTCTCTGCAGGATCCTCGCCCGGGACTTTTTTGGAGCCGCCCTCGTTGCCTTCCAGCTCGGTCGGTGGGGCAGAGACGGGCCGAAGCTCCCGTCTGCCATGGGATGATGGATGCCCCGTGTGACTACAGCTACTGCTCCCTGGCCGCCAGCATGAAGGACGTGGAGCCCGGAGACTCGCTAGGCTCCTTCTTCTCCAGCTTCCTCGAGGAGAGGCTGTCGAGCAACCGGAGCAACGCGTCCCTGCAGGAGCTCTGGAGGAGCCTCGTCCACCTGGAGCGAGCCGATGGGCCGCAAGGCAGCGGCTCGCTTGTCCTGAGGGTCTTTATCTCCACCATCTACTCCGTGGTGTGTGCCCTGGGGCTAGTGGGGAACCTCCTCGTGCTCTACCTGATGAAAAGCAAGCAAGGCTGGAACAAGTCCTCCATCAACCTCTTTGTGACCTGCCTGGCCGCCACGGACTTCCAGTTTGTGCTGACCCTGCCCTTCTGGGCGGTGGAGAATGCTCTGGACTTCACCTGGCTCTTTGGCAACGCCATGTGCAAGATCCTCTCCTACGTGACCACGGTGAGCATGTACGCCAGCGTCTTCTTCCTCACAGCCATGAGCGTGGCCCGCTACCACTCAGTGGCCTCCGCCCTGAAGAGCAAAAGGCCTGGCGGACTTTGTGGGGGATGCACTTCGGCCAAGTGGCTGTGCGTCCTCATCTGGCTGGTGGCCATCCTGGCTTCCCTGCCCACTGGCATCTACTCCACCACCTCCACCATCTACACAGAGGAGGAGTTCTGTCTGGTCAAGTTCCCCGACAGCCAAGGCAACAATACCCCCTTCTGGCTGGGGTTGTACCATGCCCAGAAGGTGCTGCTGGGCTTCCTCTTGCCCTTGGGCATCATCACCCTCTGTTATTTGTTGCTGGTGCGCTTCATCAGCGACAGGCACATGGGTGCCAGCTCCTGCGGTCCCAGCACCAAGCGCCGGTCCAAGGTGACGAAATCGGTGACCATTGTGGTGCTCTCCTTCTTCCTTTGCTGGCTTCCCAACCAGGCGCTCACCATCTGGGGCATTTTCATCAAGCTCAACGTGCTGCCCTTCAGCAATGCCTACTTCTTCTCCCAGACCTACCTGTTCCCCGTCACCATCTGCCTGGCCTACTCCAACAGCTGCCTCAACCCCATCTTCTACTGCCTGATGCGCAGGGAGTTCCGCAAGGCCCTCAAGAAGCTGCTGTGGAGGATCACTTCGCCTTCGCTCACGGCCATGCGCCCCTTCACTGCCACCACCAAGCCCGAGCATGAGGAGCAAGCCTTGCACACCTTGATGCCCATTGACCCCAGAGCTGTTTCTGCTGCTCCAGCTGCTCCTGCAGCAGTCAGCTTGCCTGACATCATCTCATATCCCCCCGGGGTGGTGGTCTACAGTAGCCGCTCTGACTTCTTGCCCACCACCACCTCGGCTGAACTGCATTTATAAGCTTAAGGGTTCTGAGTGAGACAGTGATGTTTCCAATCTCCAGGGTCAACAAGTCAGGGTCTGTGTTGGAGCGCACCCCATCTTGGTGGAGTGGGGGAGCCAAGCAATGTGCTCCTTGGATTGTTCCATTCCCAAAGGGGGGAGGGAAATGTGTAAAAAAGGTATGGTTCAGTCCAGTCAAAGGTGACTATGGGGTTGCGGCGCTCATCTCACTTTCAGGCCGAGGGAGCCGGCATTAGTCTACAGACAGCTTTCCAGGCCATGTGGCCAGCATGACTAAACTGCTTCTGGTGCAACGGAACACCGTGATGGAAACCAGAGCGCACGGAAACACCATTTACCTTCCTACTGCAGCAGTACCTATTTATCTACTTGCACTGGTGTGCTTTCGAACGGCTAGTTTGGCAGGAGCTGGGACAGAGCAACGGGAACTCACCCCGTCATGCTAATTCGAACCGCCGACCTTCTGATCGGCAACCCCAAGAGGTTTAGACCACAGCACCACTCGCATCCCATAGGAAATGTGTGTAGGGCTGTTCCATAATTCAGGGAATGGGACCATAGGGACTGAGTCAGACTAGTGGTCCATCTGTCTCAGTATTGTCTCTGCTGATGGGCAGCATTTATCCAGGGCTGCAGACGACATTCCCTGCCCTGCCTGGAGACTGAACCAGGGACTTTCTATATGCAAGGCAGATGCTCTCCCACCCTTTCCCCAAATAAAGGTGTGTATGTGTGGCATTTAGGAAATCAGGGCCAGCCCAATACAGTTTGCTGCAGGGTGCAAAGGACAAGATCCTTCATCCCAACCCCTAGTTCTATATACTGAACGTGGCCAGATTGGCAGTTGAATTTTACTTCAGTGCCGGTGATGATGGGATAGTGGTCTTCACCACAATAGACTAGCTAGCTTAAGGGGTGCACTCTTCTGTCCTCCAGCAACCACACCTGGGGCAGCTGCTTCACTCTGCCTAATGGAAGAGCCGGCTCTGTAGTAGTGCTTCCCCATGACTGCAGAAGGAGTTGTCTTAGGTTAGTGAGTTTCTGGACTGGTCCAGGGGAAGCAAGGTATGTAAATCCATTCCTGGGGACTTTCTGGTTTTACAGGAATCAGGAAGATGGAGTTCCTGCACCTTATGGGAGGGGGATTTGGCTGGCTATTACATCTTGTTGGGGGATGAGAGACTTGTCTATAGAGGAAGGGCCCTCAGAGGGTTCAGTTCCTGTGGAGATGAAACAAGGTTTCTCAGGGACTTCTCCAGGGGTGGGGGACTGATGTTCTAAGTATGTTCCATGTTCTGAGTGCCCATATTGGGATCTGTGTTCTTCTTAAGGGGGCGGTTGAAGGTGAGAGGGAAAGAAATAACAGGTCTGTGGCATATCTTGCTCTAATCCTGGTGTGAACCTTTGATTCAAAGGGAGAGGGAACAAGAGGAAGCTGGCTTGTCGTTTCGGATGCATCTGATGAATGAACCTTAGTCCATTCATATGCTTAACCAGTGCAGTTGTGTTGCAGGTGCCACAAGTTTCTTTTCTGGTGTGTATTTGTTCTGGTTTTTTTGCTGCAACAGACTAATATGGCTGTTCTCCTGGAAATGGCTCCTCCTGGAAATATAGCACAAACATACCCTTTTTTCTGAGAGATGATTCAGTTTGCGAACTAGCAGAGGATATCTGGGATTTCAAAAGAGCATGATAAAAAATTAAAGCTGTGCTGCCAAGGTGGGTGGTTGAGACCAGATGGTGGTGCAAACTCATTTTGTGAGGAAGGTTGTAAAAGATCCAGGAGCTGACATACAACAGGCTTTTCCTGCCAAGTCTGGATTCCAGAACAGGAAAAAGCTCCTTTGAGGGCAGCATCCTGGTTTCAACAGTGGCAAGGAACATGTTCCATAAGAGGCAAAACCACTTTCCTGCTGTTTGCTACCAGTGTTTGGAATTTGGTGGTGCACTGCCACTGCACATGGAAGTTCTATTTGGCTGTAATGACTAATCATGTTGGTTGAGCTGCCCTTCATGGAAATGTTTAACATTTGAAGTGATTGCCCTTTTCTTGACCACCTTCTGGAAAGATTCTCTCTCCAGTATACCTGGTGGCAAAATTTCTACCCAAGACTAATTTACTACCTAAAAGTCTTGGACTTCACACTTGAACCATAGGTGACCAGATTTCCTCCTTCTCCTGACTCCCTGTTTTCAAAACCTCAGCTCTTACATTCTTTGCCACCATTTACCCCCATGCAGAGAGATAATTCTCTCCAATTTTGATTTCTATGGAATGCTCCATTCTCCATGGCTACTACTGTAGCAACACCATGTTCACACACAAGGGCTGGGATTGCACCAAAGACTGCTTGTTGCAATGTTGGAGCACGTGATTCCTGGAAATTAATGTGTACTAAAAACCTGGAATGATGTTCTGGGTCTGGGGGGAAAGGATGTTTCAAGGCAAAATGTTTTGTATTAAAAAATTTCTGTATTGAAAGTATGAACCTTGTTATCTGTAGATTATTAAACCACCATATGCATATTACATGGAGCATTCTTATTACTTCATAAAGCCTTGTCTGCAGCCAAGCATTGCCTGGAAAGAATCAATCCCTCTGCTCAGCGGAAAGACACTTAAACTTCAAGTATCTCTCTTGTGTTGATGCATGTGCCTTTGTGTACATAACTGACTGTTCTAGAATTCTCAGATGCTTGTGTTGTCCATTTGAATTTCAAAAACCAAACACACGAACCTGGCAAGCATTCTCCTACTGCAAACACCTAACATTTCATTAACTCTGCTTAGTTGCAAAGCTGAGCATGCCTCTTTGGTTTCAAGAGTACACATCGACTTTCTTAAACAAGAAAAAAATAGAAAATGGGGAGAGGTGAATGGTTGGTTCTCCTTTTGCTCCCCAGCAACAGAGGTATTATGTGCGTGTCAGGCAAATTTCTCTCCTCCGCTGTCCACTAGATCTATGCTACCATCACATTAGCACAAACAGAAGAGTCTACGGCTCTTTCAGTCACCTGCCTTCAAGTGTCATAACTGCAAAGAACATTTCTACCCCATTGGCAAATACGATGCAAGCATTGTTACTTTGGGCTGCAGACCAAAGCAAACCTCTCGAAAGGAATGCAGAATCCTGTCTTGTAACCAAGTCCATCTAGCACAGGATTCCCTCCACTTGCTGGCAACAGCTCTTCGGGGTTTCAGATGGGATGTTTTTGCAGCCCTACCTTGAAATGCCCAGGGATTGAAATGGGAACCCTTTGTATCCAAAGTATGTGCTGTACCACTGAGTTATGGCTCTGGTAACCTAGCCTCTGCCATAGATGCATTAGATGGCCATAAGTAAGCCATTTTCCTTCCTTCTCCCACATTGCATGCAATATGAATGGGTAGTATTCCACTAACGAGTCCCATTGGTGCAAGGATTTCCACTTGTGCAATGAGACTTTCCTCTCTCTCATAGAATCTTAGAATTGGAAAAGTCATCTAGTCCAGCCCCCTACAATGCAGGAATCTTTTGCCCAACGTGGGGCTCAAACTCACAACCCTGAGAGTAAGAGACTCATGCTCTACCAAGTGAACTATCCCAGCTCAGTTCTCCTTCGTCTGCATGCATCCTTCTCAAATCTGAGGCAGCCCCTTGAATAGATTTTGGGGGGCATGTTGGCCAGGGGAAAGAGAAGGGGAGAAGATTCTGTTGCCCAAGCAGAAACGCTTGCACTATGGAATAATTGCCTTAGCAATTTGATTCCCCCCATTATGTCCCAACTTACAGGGTTGTAGCAAGGATCACAATGTATAGGAAGTGCTTGAAACAATTCCAAGCACTAAATATATGCTATGTAATTTTGGGGGGGAATACTCACCTAGCAACAGAGTTGAATTGCTATGGATGTGTCTATTGCTCACCCACTGACTCAGCTGACATCGACCAGTTATTGTGAAAGTTAGATTCTGGGCTTAATTATCTCATTTGGAAGTGGGTGGGTGGGCTCCAGACTAAGTAGTCTTCTGGAGGGTAATGTGTTTTCATATGTTTTCATTTGCTTCAAAATGTGATAAGACAGATGTGCTGTTTTGGGGGGGCTCCTACTCAAGGACCCTTGCACATCTGCCCCAAAGTCCTGCCCTGATAGCACTCCCATTCAAAGTCCTGACAGAATGCTATCATTCTTCATTTCCCACCACATTCAAACTCCTATATCTCCCTCCCTAACCCTACCACAGGGACGTGGGTGGTGCTGTGGGTTAAACCACAGAGCCTAGGACTTGCCAATCAGAAGGTCAGCGGTTCGAATCCCCACAATAGGGTGAGCTCCCGTTGTTCGGTCCCAGCTCCTGCCAACCTAGCAGTTCGAAAGCACTTCAAAGTGCAAGTAGATAAATAGGTACCGCTCCAGCGGGAAGGTAAACGGCGTTTCCATGCGCTGCTCTGGTTCACCAGAAGCGGCTTAGTCATGCTGGCCACATGACCCAGAAGCTGTACGCCGGCTCCCTCGGCCAATAAAGCGAGATGAGCGCCGCAACCCCAGAGTCGGCCATGACCAGACCTAATGGTCAGGGGTCCCTTTACCTTTAATCCTACCACCTTCCTGCTTCCTGTCCTCTTTTCCCCAGCTCCTCTTTTCTGCCCCTGCTCTCTTTCCACCACCGTCCACTTCCTTCAAGTCCCCTTGGCATTCTGACACCCCCTGTCCTCACAGTTGCCCCTTCTCTTGACTTGCTACCTCCAGAAGTCCCTTCTTCTGCTACTCCCAGGTCCACTAGGTTGGGAAAAGGCTGTAGCTCAGTGGTAGAAAATCTCCTTTGCATGCAGGTAGTCCCAGGTTCAGTCCCCGGCATCTCCAGGTAGGGCTGAGACAAAATCTTGCCTGAGACCCTGGAGAGCTGCTTCCAGCCAGTGAAGACAGTTCTGAACAAGATGGTCTGGCTTGAGATAAGGCAGCTTCCTGCTCACACCCCTGGGAGTGGTTTAGCTGGTGGCAGGCAAAGGAAGATACTTCTCTGTACTGGAAGATAAATATTATATAGTATAGATATAGATGTTGTTGCTTGAGTGACGGATAATCTAAACTGGGGGTGGGGGAAACCTGTGACCCTCCAGATGTGATTGGACTCCAAATGTCATCAACCCCAGCCAGCATGGCCAGTGGTCAGAGATAACATCTGGAGGGCCATGGCAAATCCATTCTTGGTCTAAAGCAGTGTTTTTGGACTACAGTTCCCCTCATCCCTGACCACTAGTCTTGCTAGCTAGGGATGATGGGATTTCTAGTCCAAAAACATCTGGATACCTAAGCTTAGGAAAACCCTGGTCAAAAATATGAACAGCCAGAATCTAGATATAGGTTGACTGTACCAAGCACACTTTGCTGTTAGATATAATCACCAGGCCTTTTTTCATTTCTGCTTTTCCACAAATCGCTTCAGTAGGTGCTGAAATGGGAGCTGAATTATACTGTTCCTGGAAGGCTTAAAATAATTGTCACTTGAGTGCAGTTGCTGAATGCCTATCATTTTTCAAAAGCTGAAGGGTGGCGGGGGTGGGGGCGAGTTTGTATGTATGGACAAAAATAAAATGAAATAAAAATCCTGTCGCAGTAGATTGCTTTTGGTGGGAGGACTGGCATTTAATTTAGTAGTAGGCATTTTTACATTTTAGGTCATGTTTTTTCAGAAGGGAAGCCTGTGTGTTTTGGGATAGACTGTCAAGAGCATTTTTAGAGAGAAACTTTTTTCAAAGATGTTGAAAGGAGTGTGAAGTTTCTAGCATTAGGGAGTAGTTCTGAATGTGGAGAAAAGCAACTGAAGCCAATTCAGTTCCCACTAGGGAGTCAGGATTCAGACTCCCTGCCTTGGATCTGTTCTTATACTATCACTTCCAGTCTGTGGTTTAATACATCATGACAGAGGTTCATTTGGATCCAGAGAGCTACCAAGTTTGTCTGGAAACCCTGCCCTAATCTTAAGGGTGTATGAGGTAACTGTAATGACCTAATGACGAAGGAATGCTCTCTGCACATGGTCAGAAACATTCTACGTTATTTCTGCATTCTCTTGAGTGGCTGAGTCCTAACAGCCAAAACAGTTTTCAGGCCAAAGGTCCAGTGAGTCCTATCTTGATGGAAGCCCTGTCACTTTGTGGGTGTGTTATGGTATGTGTCAAAAATTTGATCAATATAGGCATCTTCCAAGACATCACCAAGAGACTGTTTATATGTATTGGTCAATGTGCGACATTCACCAGTAAATGTCTAATCTGACTGAATGCCTTCAGCAAATGTCCAAATGTAATACCTTTTCTATACCACAGATGTAAATGTGCCCCATTTACATCTCCCTCCACCCCAAGGAAAGCCCTCATGACAAAAAAATTTCTGATATTTTCCACCTGGTCTGTTTAAATCTTTAAAATGGCTAGAAAACCTCAACATTCACAAGATTTCCCCACACTTCCCTTTTCCTGAGGTGATTTCAAAGCTTGACTTGAACTGGAAACTTCCAGGGTTACACTTTTTAAGGCAAAGACAGAAATAATATGGGTAGCTCATGACTAAAGTTTTAAAAATAAATGTACATTAAAATTAAAGCAGGCATGGTGGGGATTTTCTACTTTTTATCAGAGCAGTTGTGCTAAGGGAGAGGGTGTTTAACTCTTTCTGATATAAGTTATCATCCATTGTGCCTATATTTTTTTCCTGGGAGGGCAAATAATGATAGCTGGGGTGTGGTGCATGGAAAGAATGACAAAACCCTTTCTCACCATTGCTGCTCAAGTGAAAACAAGGACCCCAGCTTTATAAAATACAAAATAAATAAATAAATTGGAAGATCCATTCAGAGATCTCTAGCATCAGAACTGTTTTAGCCCTTTGCCGTCACACCCTAAACCAGTAAGCCACACCCCAAGTGTGGAAACAGCGCAACCATTTTCCAGGGTCCACATGGCATTGTTAGCATCAAAATGCCAGCCCAGTGGTTCCTGAACCCGCCCCCCCCAAAAAAACCCCCACTTTAAAATGGCTGAGGATCTTGGTGAACCATTTAATGATTTTTTCTGTCTGTTGTAGCAACAGCAATGTGCTGTGCTAGATGCTGTGGGATTTTTAATTGTATCGTCGTTGCTTCCTTTATTTCTTATCTATTGTCTTTTATTGAATTCCATAGAACTCAAATTGTATTACAAGAAAATGCGATATAAGAAATAAGAAGCAAGTAAAATTCGATTAAAAACCCCTTATGGATATGTAACACGATGGATGTGACAGCTCACATGTTCAACCACAAATCCACAGATATGCCACGGACCACAGGTTGGGACGCCCCTCTGCTAGTCCACATTTCTCCCTGTTTGTGAAATCTGAACTTTTCCCTATTCTTGTGAGGAATCCTATTTGGAATAAGGGAACTACCCTTAAAAAAAGGAAAACGTTGACAGCTATGAATCTGAACAACCCATTTGAATTATTAAGCCCCCTTTTGGATGCTGTCTAAGAGAGCCCGGATATACACTCTGATTCTGAAAAGTGAAAAACACACTAGCTGAACTCTAGGATTTTTGTTTGCTTAAAAAGAAAAAGACTATGCATGGAGGGAATTAGTTTGAGGTCTGCAGTCCTCATCACAGAAATAGCACACGTGATTCTCTGAGAAGGGATGCCCTTTAAACCAGTTTAAGTCCACAGTGTAGACCTGCCTAAACTGGGTGGGACAACTAGTGGCCTCAAACATTCCCAGAAAACACCCAAAGCGAAAGCTTGCTACAGAAATAACTAGGGTGCGAACAGCAACAAGAGAACAACCGTGTTTCTCCCTTTGTCAAAGACAGCAGCTTCTCCCAAGCTTTGACTATTTATTGTTCTCTTCCACATAACGAACAAAGAACGCTACAAAGCAGCAGCCCAGTAAAGCGATTGCAGAGGCAGAGATCACCACCACCACCACGCTCCCAGCAGCACTGACCAGGAAGCCCAGGCCCACCCCAACAATGATCTGCGCCAGCTGGACCATGCAAGTGAGGGCAGCGCAGTCCACACCTTTTCCTCGTTTGTGCTCTCCGGCTTGTCCTCCGGTCTGGCCCTGAAAGCAAGCAGATATAGGAACTCCATCAAACAAGGCACAGCCGACCATACAATCCTGCCCTGTTGGTTTCACTGCATGAATCTCAGCTGTTCAAATACTACACAGTCTTGATGAGCAGGCAAGGCAAGACTTTGTTCTTGTGCCCACGATAAGTGGCATGATTTAAAGCTCTGGTGTCCTCCTCCCAGTTTTCTGAAACAGCCTCTGGGCTGCTGGAACCGCACAGAATAGGGAACAGTCACACGAACCACATGACTGGCAAGGAACTCTGCACATACTCTGAAACCCTACTCAAGCTGGTAGAATGTACCTAGCCTTTCCCGGAATCAACTTCCTTTACAGAAATTGGCAATTGGCTTCATTGGTTTTGAAAGGAGATTTCCCTTGAAGTTCTTGCTAAAACTTCCCCCCACTTGCTAGACTGCATGGCTGTTAAACTCTGCCTTGTGTTCCATGGACAGTTCATAAGGTTCCGTTAAATGCTGTGTCCTCCGGGCTTTGGGGGAGTAAATCGAAAACTCCTTTGAAGTATGATGTTTCCCTACTAGCTTACATTGAAATCCAGGGCACTTGACTGAAGAGTCATCCAATTCACACTTAACAGGGAACAAGGGTGCTTTCTGAATGATAAATTAAAAGCATTGCAAGGTCAATGTGAAGTGCATTTTTTATAAATAATTAAATAAAATGGGTTTGTGATGGTCTGGGCTTGTCATGAATGATACACTATCTTATTTGCTGAACCATAATTACCCTTAGAAAGCTGGAGATAAAAACTCTTTTATTAACAGAGCATGCAATTGAACTACCTTTCTAGTGCCATCATATCAAATACATATTTTTAAAAATATTTTTTACAATTATATCCTGCCTTTCCTCTAGGGAAATAAAGGAACATGTGTGTGTGTGTGTGTGTGTGTGAGAGAGAGAGAGAGAGAGAGAGAGAGAGAGAGAGAGAGAGGAGTTTTCTAATTTCTGGAAATAAAATTAAACATATACAGGTTTTCCCCCCCACTCTTCATTTTATCCCACAACAACCCTGTGAAGTAGATTAGATTGAGAGATGGTGACTGGTCCAGGATCAACCAGTGAATTTCATAGCTCAGTGGAAATGTGAATCCAGATCTCCCCAGTTTTCTGACCACTGTGTTGCCTTATGTTAACAGGAGGGCATAAAGTTCAGCAAAGAAGTTAGTTATCAAATGTCTGCAAATGTATCGTGACAAGCTAAGGTTACCAAGACTTTTTTCTATGAAAAATGAATTTCACTAGTATGTGGGAGGAAAGTAGCTATGAGCCCCGTGTAGGTAATTAAAAAAATATCGGCTGGGTGCCCTCTCCAGTGGGAGAGAGACCCTGGTAGAGTTAAAAACACTCTCAGAGTTCAGCAGCATTATAACATGGAATACAGGTTGTTAGACCCTTTTCATATCCTGTTTAGTTTGCTTACAGCACTTGCTCCCTCTCTCTACCCTTCTTGCAATGATCAGACCACATACAGTTAAGTAAGTTTTAAAAATTTTACCTACTAAGTCCAAAAGTCTAGTTCATACGTTGTTCCATGCAGTAGCAAAGAGAACACAGGTGCAATATACAGAACGTAATGCATCCTGGTCTGTTACATGGCACGGAAAGAGTGAGGAAAGGAAATCAAATAAGTTTCACTTTCTCCCTCATGGACGTTGGGGGGGGGCATGACCTGGCTGAGTTTAGGAACAGTCCTTTCTGGTCTTAACCCCGTCATGCACTAACTAGCACATTAGTTTGACTGCAATTTCCCACAACTAAAGTATGAAACATCGGGCTTGCAGTGCTTTCCACTTGATGAACTCTCAAGTCCTCTAAACCACACAAAATCTAACATCCTTGAAAAAGTTCAGCCTCCGCAGCTTCTTCTGATCATGAAGCTAACTCAAGAGGCTGAGATGTGTTCAGCCTTGACTTCTATAATGAAGCTCTGCTCCTTGAGCATCCTGCCTTGCCTTCAGAACATTTGCTGATCCAGGCTGTCGTAGCCAATAAAATGTAATTCTTGGTGGGATTATTTTCATCCCATTCTGTGTATGACGTTGCAACAAAATATTGTGAGCAAAGAATACTGTGTGCAAAACACTGTTCTAAATCAGTGTGTGCAGATTTAATCCCTACGCGGGTGGCGCTGTGGGTTAAACCACAGAGCCTAGGACTTGCTGATCAGAAGGTCGGTGGTTCAAATCCCCATGACGGGGTGAGCGCCCATTGCTTGGTCCCTGCTCCTGCCAACCTAGCAGTTCGAAAGCATGTCAAAGTGCAAGTAGATAAATAGGTACCGCTCTGGTGGGAAGGTAAATGGCTTAGTCATGCTGGCTGCATGACCCGGAAGCTGTACGCCGGCTCCCTCAGCCAATAAAGCGAGATGAGCGCCACAACCCCAGAGTCGGTCACGACTGGACCTAATGGTCAGGTGTCCCCTTTACCTTTTTAAGGCCTACTCCACTGGTTTTTAGCACTATTTATTTTCCCCTGAGATTTTAAGCAGAAAGTCTAGAAAAGCAGGGCTCAGGTGCCATCAGCTGACTTTCAAGGTGTGAGCAATAAAGAGAGGCAACCTGGCTGTAGACTTCTGCACTCACTTCTTGCATAGCATCCAGAAAAGGAGTGGGGAGGGAAAGGCACGGGCGTTGTAACAAGGATGCTATAGGAAAGGATCTGACAACAACCATCCCTTCTAACTTACCTCTTCCTCCTCCTTGTGATAATCAGCAATGAGGTTGAATGGCACTGTGTATAATGTGCTGGACATTACGCCGAAGAGGGAACAGAGGGCCAAAGTCGAATACACCTTGGGAAAGAGCCCAATGAAGCCAGTGCCTAGCCCAAAAAGCAGGTATCCAATGAAGTAAAGTCCCTTTAATCCAATGTAAGGCAGAAGCGCTTTCTGCAAATCTGTTGGAAGAAAAAGATTGGGAAAGGGGTGGGGGATTTCTGTCTAAAAGGAAACCATTGGAAACATTGCTGAACATTATTTTATTTAGCAAGGTTTATGTATTGTTTAATGTAGATCAAACTGGAGTGTGAAACGTCTGCAATATCTTTGAAAATAATATTACCTTCCTTCAAAGTGAAGCTGTTGACAGAATCTTACTAATTGTACCTCGCTTCCTCCAAGGAGCTTGCATATGAAATCTGTTTGGTTTCGGCAGCTAAAAACTTGATTTCCCACCTCTAGACTACTCTCTGGGTCTTACCACGCATATCAATGAAGGAAGCTTGAAATCTTATACCTTGTACTCCTACCATTCCTGTTCATGGAACATTTATTTGCTGTCTGCCGCTGTGCTTGGAGCACCCTATTGTGATGTTTGGGGTACTCATCATCTCACATTTGTAGGATATTGACTGTGGAAAGGCATTCTGCCTCTATTTCAGAGACTTACCACTCCTACCATTCCTGTTCATGGAAAATATATTTGATTCTTATTAATTTGTGACTCCATGCACATATTATATGTCTTCTGTTTATGAATTTTGAAACAGTACAGTGGTACCTCGGGTTACATATGCTTCAGGTTACAGACGCTTCAGGTTACAGACTCCACTAACCCAAAAATAGTACCTCGGGTTAAGAACTTTGCTTCAGGATGAGAACAGAAATCGCGTAGCAGTGGGAGGCCCCATTAGCTAAAGTGGTGCTTCAGGTTAAGAACAGTTTCAGGTTAAGAATGGACCTCCAGAATGAATTAAGTACTTAACCAGAGGTAGCACTGTACAGTGTTATAAAAATATTGTCAGTATATTATTCTCCTGCCAACCTAGCAGTTCGGAAGCACAAAGTGCAAGTAGATAAATAGGTACCGCTCTGGCGGGAAGGTAAACAGCATTTCCGTGCACTGCTCTGGTTCGCCAGAAGCAGCTTAGTCATGCTGGCCACATGACCCGGAAGCTGTCTGTGGACAAACGCCGGCTCCCTCGGCCAATAAAGCGAGATGAGCGCCGCAACCCCAGAGTCGGTCACGACTGGACCGAATGGTCAGGGGTCCCTTTACCTTTATATTATTAGCTGACATGGTTGTAGAGCATGAGCTCTACCATAAAGCCCTGTTTCTGAACCTTGCTTCTGTCATGGCATCACCAGGAAGCCTTGGCACAAACCACCATTCTCACAGCCTCAACTTTGTTTCTGTAATATGGGCATAAATAGTATCGATCAACCTTACAAAGTTGTTGTATGGTCACATAGAGAATGTAGGCGAAATGCCCTGCCTGTATGAATGCACGTTATATTTTGGTCAGATCGCAAGTGATCCATTTGTTGGTAGTACTCACAGGAATAAAGCGAGGAAGAGATGGCGTTGATACACATTCCCCAGCACCCGATCTCTACTCCCCTTTCGTAGGTTAGGTACGCTGTGGAGTTATGAGGTGCATAAGGATCACCATTGAATACAATCTGCAGTGTGGCAAAACAGAAAAGAATAAGAACAAGCTGTGCTGGTAATCATGCCTCTAAATAAAACAGGACACAAAATACTGGCTTCCAAGCAAATGTGCACAGGACTGCATCTGTGTTTATTTGATGTTGGTGACTTTAATTGTGATGGTGATATGTATTGTCAGCCAATTTTCTGCCAATAGCGCAGGGCCAAGAATTGATAGTATTGCGGTCTGGCTTCTGTTTCGGACAGGCTTTCCAGCAGCACAATGCTACTCTATGTCTCTTCACACCAAACCATGGCTTGGCATTACAATAACTAACCTGGGGCTCATGAATTTCCTTTTCCATCTTTCTCCCCTCGCAAAAGAAACACGTGGTCCCAGTTCCTGCTAAGTCATAGGACTGTATCCAACTAAGATATACCGGTACTCACAGCAGACCTACTGAAATTAATGGACCTATGTTAGACATGCCCATTCATTTCAATGGGTTGATTTTGAGTAGGACTAATGTGGGACGTGGGTGGCACTGTGGGTTAAACCACAGAGCCTAGGATTTGCCAATCAGAAGGTCGGCGGTTCGAATCCCTGCGACGGGGTGAGCTCCCGTTGCTCGGTCCCTGCTCCTGCCAACCTAGCAGTTTGAAAGCACCTCAAAGTGCAAGTAGATAAATAGGGACCGCTCCGGCAGCAAGGTAAATGGCGTTTCCGTGTGCTGCTCTGGTTCGCCAGAAGCAGCTTAGTCATGCTGGCCACATGACCCGGAAGCTGTCTGCAGACAAAAGCCGGCTCCCTCGGCCTATAGAGCGAGATGAGCGTGCAACCCCAGGGTCGGTCACGACTGGACCTAATGGTCAGGGGTCCCTTTACCTTTAATGTGGGATACAACTCACTGCTTACTCTCTTGCCTGAAAACCAGGATTGTAAACTTCAGCTTGAACATGGTTTCCAATCCTCGCTTGTGGGGCAGACTATGTTTGGCTTTCCAAAGTTAAAACCATGCTCAAGGCAGCTTACAACATGTACAAAATTGCACCACTACATACACAGCAAAAGCAGTCATAAACAACCAACAAGACATCAAAAAAAGAAATTGAACAATTTCCACATAAATCATAAGATCCAAAATAAACATACAGAAAATTAACAGCAACAACCCAGGTGGGAAAAGGCCTGCAAGGCAGGGAGCAGGTCTTCCAGGGCTCACAGCCAAGATGGTCTCATTGGTTATCCCGTTCTTAGTAGCGCCAGTGCAGTGACAACCTCCACTAGCAAGGGGGAAGGATCAGACTTGAAAAACCCACATACAAGTCTGAATAGCATCAAACAGAGAGCCTGAAATGTCAGGTTTATTTCTGTTGGAAATGCCGCATACATTAATGTGGTAAACAAAACAATTAACTGCTAGTTTCTAATTTATTTATTTTTTAAAATCATTTTTATTAATTTTCCAATAGAAAACAGCCAATTAACATAGCCATCAAATCATAATCCAATTATAATCCAATTAAACAAAACAACAATAAACTAAAATAAAAAACAACTAAATTACAGTCCAAATTATTAATTATTAATTTTTTTCGGGCTTCTCATAGTCTGGGCCTCTGAAGTATATCTCCAATATCTTCGTTTCTGCCTTCTTCTCTAGTTTCTAATTTTAAAATGTATGGTATGATTATCAGTTCTACAGAATTCAAGAGTGAGGTGAAGGGGAATCAAACATTTAGACCACAAATGGAAACCTTTGTGTTTTTATGACTGCCATTTTTCATTTTTGGAGACTGAGGTAGATTAAACAGCAGAAACCTTTTTTGAAAAGTAAAAGACGAAAAATCCAGCTACCCAATGGACCCAGTTCTATGAAGAATGCTTGGAGGCATCCATTTTTTGTTCTTGGAAATCTAATTTGCCTGTTCTTGATGTTGACAACTGTGGAAATCTGCCATCATGCTGCACAAGCAAGTGAATGAAAGTTAAATCCTAAAATTTGAATTTGCCCAGAGGAAAGATGGTTACTTTTCCATACCTGTCCCATGAAATCGGTGAAGAAGAGCATGTTGGAAAGGAAAGCTGTCCATCCCATCAGATGGCTCACACACAAGCAGCGGTAGTGGGAAGGCATGCTTAGGAGTGCTTTGAGGAGGGACTTAATGGTCATCTGCTTCTGAACCTGAAAGGAAGGATGTTCCAACGTTTCATTGAAAAGGCTCCCAATGAAGGAATGGGTTCCCCAAAATCTAAAACCTGACTGTGCAGTCAGTCTGAAACGGGCCCCAAAATCCCATTTTTCCTTCTCCAAGGGTGCATTAGCTAAAAACCATTAACTTGAGCTCTTGAGCAAATGTATAACAGGAACACAGCTGTATAAACAAAACTCTCTCCTTTATCAGTCCGTGACGCCTAATGAATGGCCTTGCCAGTTCCAAAGTGGAGCAGGGATGACACATCTGGGTCTTATCTTACATCCTGACCACACTGACGCACAGACCTTGTCAGCCCCCCAGGAACGGCGCCAGGAGTACTGTTAGAGTTGGTGACCTTCTTACCCCAAGATAAGGAATACAGGAACAGGAACACCCTTTTATGGTTAAGAGTACAGGAGCAGGAACATCTGTGATGTCAACTTAGGTGTATAAGCTTGCATGTCAGGATTTCTGGGGAAGGGGAGAGAGGGTGCCTGGAGAATATATATACTGTATGCAATTTCTCCTGCTTTTGTGCTTGCTGTGAACCGATTCACGCAGTGCCTTCTGCTATCCGGAGAGCAGAATAAACTCTTTCTCTGAACCAAACCTCGGTGTCATTTGACTCCTTCCTCCCTGTTCTGGGAGCAACGCTCACCCTACCAATTGGTAAGGTCTAATAAGGCTACACCAACAGCCTGGAGGATTTTTTTCCCCTGTCTCTCCACTCTTCAGTTTCTCAGCTCTCTTGTCCCCCTTCTCTTCCTATCTCATAAACTAGAACTTGTGCACACCCAATGAAGCTAAATGTTGGAAGATTCATTACAGATAAAAGAAAGAACTTCTTCATGCAGCACTTAGTTAAACTATGGAAATAGCTCCCACAGGAGACAGTGATGGCCACCAGCTTGGATGACTTTAAGAGAGGATTAGACAAATTCATGAAGATCTAAGCTATGTCCTAACCACCTGTGTCAGAAGCAGTATGTCTCTGAATACTGTATGCTGGGAATCACAGGTGGGCAGAGTGCTGTTGTGCTCATGTCCAGCTTACAGGCTACCCCTAAGCATCTGGTAAGCGACTGTGTGAAAAGGATACTGGGTTAGATGGGCCGATGGACCATATTCTTAAAAGAGAACTATTCCCAGGGCATGGTCTGTGGGCAAATGGTGCAGCTGAAGCTAAGGAGGTCTAGGTCAGGTCTTGTGCCTGGATAGGAGACCACCTGGGAGCCCTACCTATTCTGCCTCAAGGTAGAATATAAATTTATTAGATGAATTATTAATAAAAAGTAACACCACTGTCTCTCCAGATACTGATGGATGATGCAGAAGTTTGTGGGAGTGGATGCCTTGCATGAAAATAAACCAGCACATGAAAGCAACTTTCAGAAGGCTGTTTTGAATGGTTGGCAAGGTGAAACAAGACATCTCACCCCACAGGAATTGCCTCTGGCTGACAGCTAAAGAGCTAAAGAAACAAGGAATGCACTTTCTCTAGAAATATCAGATAGTTGGGGTTTTAGCTAAACCAACAACTCAAGGCTCACTTCTATCTGAATTATCAGATCCAGCTGGTGTGCATTTGGATATCAAGTCTTCCTTATTCAATTTTGTGCTGCTTTGTTCACACTGGTTGCTTGCAACGCTATTGCTCCTTATACGCCTACCTGTCCTGATCCAGCAAATCTGTTTTTTAACAACTTTTTGCAGTTAGGAAAGTGACAGGGAAATGCACTGAAACGTGAGGGCTGAACAAATGATTAACAGGAAGACATGCAAACGCCCCACAAGGATATCATGTTGAATGCTCATTGTTGTATAACTGCCCTGTAAACAAATGAGAACAAATGTTCAAGAAAGTCTGGGCACAGTCTAACCAATGCATAAACTTTGTGCATACAAATCAAGATGAAGGCTGGATAAATAGATTGTCTGGAGGAGCCCTGAATCACTCTGGAAGTGTGATTAAATAGCAGGGTAAACAAGCTTGAAATAAACAAATGCCTCCCCCCCAAAAAAATCCATTTCACATAATTTCCTTGAATGCGTTTTTGTTTGGATGTGAAACTGATTAGCAGACGCAAGAGCAACAGTGTCAGACCATTGATCAATCTGGCCTAGTACTTTGAATTCTGATTAGCAGTGGCTCACCATGGTATATATTGCCAGTGATATAAAACACATCTACAGATCCCAGAACAAGATTGGCACAATCCTAAGAAAAAATCTTCCTTGTTGGCACAAGGCTGGCACAACACAGCTGTGATCAAAGAAGCAGAATGTAAGCTCCACTGGCTTCAAAATATATCAACTTGCTACCAAATATTCATGCAGATCAACTTCACTTGAAAATAAACACTTCAGAAAATTCTGGCCAAAGTTATGTCAGTTTTTACATGGGTGACTCATGGCCATTTTCAGATCTAGATGCAAAATTATCTGCTTATCTGAATCTTCATATATCTTTAGGAAACAAGGTACATGTTAACGTTTCATTTTCCCCAGACTCTGGCTACAATCCTGTGCACATTTATCTGGGAGTAAGCCTCACCGAACAAAGTGGGACTTACCTCTAAATAAGCATGCATAGGACCATTTCCAGGTCCTTTTTCAAAGAGCTGTTTTTTTTAAGTGTTTCAGTAGAATGCACCAGATGCTTAATGCAATTCAGAATCCTGTGTTGTTAGACCAAGAACCATGCAAAAGCTGTTGACATCTGTAATGAATGCAGCATGTACTGACCGGCTGACTCCTTTTCACTAAACGCATTAACTTGAGGACCTGGCTGAGGGACAGCTGAATATAGCGATGCTTTGCCAAGATCCAAGATCCTTCTTGGCTAAGTGCAAGACATGGAATCCGAGCAAAGTTAATCAAGATCAGTGAACTCAGATAGCTGGGCACACATATTGCTCTCTGGGATTGCAGCCAACGACTTATCTTTAAAAATGTAAAGCTAAATGTAAAGCTATTAGAAGAGGAGCCCGCAGACTGTGGGTTTCATTCACAGGGGACCACAGAATATTAATTACTGTGACACAATAAGGTCTTATTTCACGAAGAGCCTGTCAGATAACAGTCACACAGAGATCGATGTTTGGAGTTCAGTATTGCACTCTTGTAATCGTTCCATCAGTGCAAGCATTCCAGCTTCTCCTTGCATGCTGTTCTGGGAGTCCTCCTGACCTTCAAGCCAATTTTGGGAGGTGCAGGGGGAGTGGGAGCCCAACTGCACAAGTGAAAGTCCTTCCCCCAAAAGGGCTGATCAGGTGAATCCCGCCCAATATTTCTTATTTCTGCACCAAGTCAGAAGGGAGGAACCACCATACAAGATACTTAGTATCTCGGTGTAATCTGGGGTAATTTAATGATTATATCCAAGAGGAACAGTCTAGTGAAAGTGTGTTGCAGTTAAGTTCCACTAAAAGTAATGTGATGTTTGTCTGGATCACCCATTCAATTTCACTGCCTTTAACAGAGCCTACAATGCATTCCTGTGCTTGTGTACTCATAAGTCCCGCTGAGTTCAGTGGGGCTTATTCCCAGATCAGTGAGTACTGTATAAGATTGTAGCCTCCATCATAACTAACTTTTTAAGATCATGCCCAAAGTATAGGAAATAGGCCATTCATAAATATTATGTGTTGGAACCAGACTAAGGTAGTTGAACTTACTTAGGTCCCATTGAAACAGACAGGACAAGTTAGTCATGACTTAACTGAAGTTCTTTTGATTTCAATGGGAACTAGGCACAACTTACTTAGTCAGGACCCAGCCCCATGTTCTGGCCTCCATTTTTATTTTGGATAACCTGATCCTCCAAACTGATTACATCACTTTCCACTTCGCGGGAGGGTCCAGGGTTACCATGTCAAATATATTAGAATTAAAGGCAGAGATGGCAGTCTAAAAAAGGTACAATTACCTGAATGTCTTCTTTGAGGGTGGGCTTCCCTTGCCGAGATAAAACCCGTATTTCATTATATCCGCTGTTAAAATAACCATTCTTGACTTTTCCTATGGAACCATATGGATAGGGCTCAGCTGTTTTCAGCAGGGCTTCGGATTCTACCTTGTCAGCGAGAGAAGTTTCGGGAATACTGCACAAGTGTACAATAAGGCAGATGAGGAACACAAGAGCAGCATAAAAGAACATCACCTGGAATTCTGATCCCAAATATTTTCCCAAGACGGTATGCCCCCAATCGATGGCACCTGTAAGGTAACCAAGGGCCCCTCCTAGACCTAAAAAAGAACAGAAAAATAAAGACAGTAGAATCGTATTTAACATCAACATGTCAGGTTATTTGTGTGCCCCTTCCAAGAGAGGTCCAGAGAGGGGCAGCATGAGAATGGGCCTTTTCTGTGGTGGCTTCCCAATTGTGGGATGCTTTTCCCAGGGAGCCTCACCTGGCACCTTCACTATAAATCTTTAGGTGCCAGGCAGAAGCATTTTTCTATAACCAGGCCTTGGTTGAATAAACAATGTATGGCCTTTTAAAAGTGTTTGTGGGAGGGGAGCTATTTGTTGTTGGTTGTTGATAGCGGTAGGACAAAGATGAGTGGTCAGAGGAAGAAGAGGGAGCCGACGGGGAGGAAGTGGTGTTGGAAGCTGAATAGGTAACAAGGTTTAGTGAGCAGGAAGAGGCTGTGGCAGAGCAGTCCAGAAGCAGAGGCTGGAGAGGAAGAGACAGAGATGAGGCAGGTTGCTGAAGAAGCCGGGCATGTCCCCATCCTGCTGCAACCAGCTCCCAGAACCAGAAGAGGTATGGAGAGGGAGGAGCAAAGGCAGACAAGGCAAATAATTCTCTGCTTGCGAAGAACCTGGGGGAGGAGGAAATGTAGTGAACTTTGGGGAAGCGGGGACCTTCAGTCCTTACAAGTGCCTCGTAGGAGCAAGATCTACTAGGATGAGTTGCTGTGCTCATTAGGCCTGACCCCCTGAGTCAACCTGCTTCCTTGAATTAAGAGTTAACTTCATTGACACAGTGTGATTTATTGCTGACAGCATGCAAGTGAGTGTAGAACGTAGTCTGTTGTACAAAAGTAAAATATACACTCATTGCCCTGCCCACCACTGGGACGTGGCCCCTGGGAGGCTACCCAGAAAGGAATGTGGCCCTAGGACTGGAAAAGGACCCTTGCTACGTTAACGTTATGATGCTACAGATTCTAGTAACGGCTTGCTTCATGGGAAATTGTCAACGTAACGTTTACCATGCATTTGCAAGTGCTTCTAAAATGCACCCACAAATACTATGGTTAGCAGGATATGCAATAATGTAAAGGTCAAATCTATGTATATAACCCGCAATTTAAGTAACGGCTAGGGGCTGACGTCACTCAGACTGCAATGCAACACAACCTTCTCTTTGTTTAGTGGCAGTGTGGTCGGCAGGCATTTGAATCACATGGAACTTCCTTCCATCTCTCACCACCATCCAGTGTCACTCTGGATGTGACCTCGTAAGAGACTCTGGATTTGAGGAAATAAAAACTCTCATTTATGGTGGGGTGGGGGGAAAGTTTCTGGGAAAATATTCCAAGCTGGGGGGAAAGAATGCATTTTCTTTCATGACCTTCCCCACCCCACCCACAAATCATGAAAATACTGTTGACCCTGGAGGGAAAGGAGTAAAGAGCATGCAGTCAGGCCAGACGATGGAGAATCCAAGTGGGTAACAAGCAGAAGAGTGAGATGGGATGGCAGGTGAGGAGGGCAGCAGCCATAATGAGTCAATAAGGACTAGGCTTTGTGGGGAGAACCTCCTTGCTCAGAGCAAGGCTATTAGAGGGAACAGAACAATGATGGAGGTGATGGGAGTTACAGCCCAACATCTAAAGGACCACAGATTCTCCCTCTGTGGGTTAGACGGAGCCCATACGCTCTGGTGGGTAGCCTGTGACCTTCCAGATCATAGCTGTCAACGTTCCCTTTTTTGCGGGAAATTCCCTTATTCCAGCGCCGTTTCCCGCTGCTATCCCGGATTGTTAGATATCCCATAGACTGTCCCCAGGACAGGTGAGGCTGCTGATCCCTTATTTTCAATAATAATAATAATAATAATAATAAATTTATTATTTATACCCCACCCATCTGCTTGGGCTTCCCCAGCCACTCTGGGCAGCTTCCAAAAAAATATTAAATATTTTTGAGGCTGCTGATCCCTTATTTTCAAATCTGAAAGTTGACAGCTATGTTCCAGATGTTGAGTTTAGACGCCCATCATCTCCAGCCAGTAGGGACAATGGTCAAGGACTAGGATGGATGAATTTGTCTATTTTGGTTCCACTCAGTTTCTTGTATTTCCCGTCTTAAATTCAGATCTCCACATTTCCACAGCAATTTGCGAACTGTTATTTGTTAACTCCTCATGAAAATTCACCCGCATTTCAGTGCAAAGTTCTCCCAACAAACACATTTTTGTATGCAGTTTGGATTAACATACACACTTTGCCAGCAAATTCCTATGTGTTTGTTTGAAGAATTAGTACAAATTAGGTAGTTTTCACATTACTATGCACGCAAAATCAAATCCCCCCCATCCCTAGACAAGTGTGATAGAAATATAGAAACACAGACTTGTACAGTGGTACCTCGGGTTACATACGCTTCAGGTTACACACGCTTCAGGTTACAGACTCCGCTAACCCAGAAATAGTGCTTCAGGTTAAGAACTTTGCTTCAGGATGAGAACAGAAATTGTGCTCCGGCGGTGCAGCGGCAGCAGCAGGAGGCCCCATTAGCTAAAGTGGTGCTTCAGGTTAAGAACAGTTTCAGGTTAAGTACGGACCTCCAGAACGAATTAAGTACTTAACCCGAGGTACCACTGTAGTTGGAAAGGACCACAATAGTGATCGAGTCCAGCCTCTGTGATGCAGGAATCTTTAAGCCCAGAATTATTTATCTATTTAAAATCCACACTGTTGTTTTAAAAAAATATCAAGATGGTGTCCAACATATAATAATAAAATCAACAACAGTATGCATAGAAGCACCAACAAAACGTCAATAAATACTGATGAGTTAAAAAGAGAAAATTCATATTTATTATGGGTCTAACATCTTGAGGACCACAGGTTCCCTAATATAATCATATTTATTCTTCTTTGAAGGGCTAAAGATATTAAACCAAAGAAGCCAAATACCCAGCACCATACATTCTTTAAGCACATAACTTTCCCTATAGAGTTCTGGGAACTGTAGCTTGTTAAGAGTGCTGGAAATTGCAGCTCTGTGAGGGGTAAGCTACGGTTGCCAGGATTCTTGGGCAGGTATTCTGTTCTTTAAATGTACAATGTGCACGCCGTCCCAAACTTCTTGGCATCTCTTTTGTATGTCTTGAGGATTTGCATGGCATAATAAGCAGATTTGTAACATCTAAATGCAAAACAAACTCTGCATTGCATGTGGTAGCAGCACTATCAAAAGGCATGACAGGCAAATTTATTTCCCACCAGACACTGGGGGTGAGTGGGAAGAGGATGGGACAACTGCACTCTTCTAAACGGTATTTAAGTATGCAGCAGAGTCCACATCTAGTTTCCTGAGGTGTAAATTTTACTAAGCCCATTGGGACTCACTTTCTATAGTCAATGTGACTAGGAGTTTACAATCCAGGTTTAAAAAGCTTGTGCTGTTGTATCTTCTCTGGCCCTTTGCTGGGTTTCAGTTCCCATTGCGGAAAATACAGTGGTACCTCGGGTTACATATGCTTCAGGTTACATACGCTTCAGGTTACAGACTCCACTAACCTAGAAATAGTGCTTCAGGTTAAGAACTTTGCTTCAGGATGAGAACAGAAATCGTGTTCTGGCGGTGCAGCGGCAGCAGGAGGCCCCATTAGCTAAAGTGGTGCTTCAGGTTAAGAACAGTTTCAGGTTAAGTACAGTTCAGGTTAATTTGACCTCCGGAACGAATTAAGTACTTAACCCGATGTACCACTGTACAAATATGCAAAAACAGAACAGTATAACAACCCAATACATGCCAAAAGCAGGAGGAAATTCTTGCTCGTTTGGCTTCAATTTTAATTGTAGGATGTTACTTCTTTCAAAAGAAGCTGTTCCTCCAGATCCTCTCTGTAGCAGCTACAGCGGTCACAAGATGACCTGTTAAACAATGCTTGTTACTGAAGCACTGCATCAGATGACCAACTTGTTCAAGAAGCTTAAGCATGGGAAGACAGGAAGGAACTCCAGGCAGCTGCCACCTTTCTCTCTCCCTCATCGCGCCGTATGATTAAAGGGAGGGGAAAGAGAACCGTTCAGATGCTATGACTTTTACCTGTCAGGAGGGCATGATAATGAAGCCCTTTCTCCTTGTCCTGATGAGAGCAGACGTCAAATAAATACGCCTTGATGGGACCATCAATGAAGTCAGCAGCAAAATCAAAGAGCACCACTCCCAGCATGGTGATAACTATAGCCCAAGTCCTCTGGGTGCCTCTGTCTGCAACCAAAGCTGCAAAAGAAGAAATTGGTTCACTTTACAGCCGTTTCCTAGACACCATGGAGTACTGAGGGCCAATGCGGCTGCAATTTTCTGTTGCTTTCTTCGCTCACAAAAGCCATCGCTTGCATAGGAAAGCTCTAACAGGAATGCTGGGGGCTTCTCAATCTGTGATTGTTCTAAGATTGCAGCAATTTTCACTTTTTTATTTTTGTGCATTAGATGTGTCAGCAGTTTCCAAAATGTACCCCCACCCACTCGTACCTTACTTCCTTGCAGCTGGCTGTGCCAGTCTCTTTCAGAAGGGATCTAGGAACAGAGATGTATGGCTGGAGCAACTGACTGGGAGAAGGTAAGGTGCAGGAGGGGAGATTTCACTCCTCTTACACGGCACTGTCAAAGGCAGTATGCCTCTGTGTACCAGTTGCATACCCTCCAACATTCCTCAGATGAAAATAGGGACATTTTCATCTGAGAAATGTTGGAGTGTAGGCTGCTTCTTTGGCATCTGTGTTTCTGCCTCTGCCCCCCAGGAGTTTTCACTCACCCCCAAAATAATAATAATAATAATTTGTTATTTATACCCTGCCCATCTGGCTGGGTTTCCCCAGCCACTCTGGGCAGCTTCCAACAGAATATTAAAATACAATAGTCTATTAAACATTAAAAGCTTCCCTAAACAGGGCTGCCTTCAGATGTCTTCTAAAAGTCTGGTAGTTGTTTTTGTCTTTGACATCTGGTGGGAAGGTCGGGTGCCACTACCGAGAAGGCCCTCTGCCTGGTTCCCTGTAAAACGACCCTCCTCAACGCCCCCCCATTTGTCATCCTAAATCATTCCAATTCATTATATGTACCAGCTCATGAATGATGTGCATCAGTCCTACTCCATAGCTTGCCCCTGAAACCACTGCAATATCTCCAGTATTCGGTTACATGAATGGGGATGCTGGGTTCCAGTTAGGGCAATTATATCACTGTTCTTATGGCCAACAAAGCTGGGGACTCAACCATTGCAGCTTTTCTTTCCCAAACGTATTCTACCCCTCTGGTCTGGTCCGTTCACCCACCACTCCCTTGCTCCACCTTCTGTGTGATACACCTGGATGAGAAAGGGAAATAACAAAAGGACGGAGGGAAGCTGTCTGGAGCAGTGGAGGCCATTAAGTCTTCTGCTTCATTGGGATGAAGAAGTCGCAATCTCGGGGTGGCAAGCTGGCAGCCGAAATCACACAGTCAAAGTTGATTTATGTGTTGAGCCAGGACACACCAAAGGCTTCATTAGGCACCTGATTATATTTTATTTTCCACAACAGACTCTTATCACACACTGGAAGGGAATAGCTGGCTTTGAACCACTTTAGTTGGTATTAACTCACTTGGTAAAAATCCATTTAACTCAATTGATTGCAGTGGGACAAAGGCAATTTAAATGCAAGACCCAAGCACTTTGGAAATTGTATTGCAACACCTCCATTCTTGAATTCCCTGTTGTTTCTGCAGGATGACTACTGAGTCAGTGGCTAGGGATGTAGGGTTAACAGCGTCAAAAATCTATTGGATTTCTAATCTACCAGAGCACTTTCAAAGAAGTTTCAAAGCCCGTTTTAACAGCCCAGTCATCTTGACTGCTGAACCTCACAAGGTTATTGCAGGAAGCTCCTCATTTCGAAAGCCTCTAAAGAATGTGTCGTGAATTGGTCCTTAATTGTGGTAAAATAAGCACCCACAGCTGCTTGTTTTATTTACATGGGCACTGCAGTTTGAGAAGGCTATCGAGTAACTAGAGTGTCTAGAGGGTTCTAGAGACCAAGTCCTATGAAGATAGGTTGATGGAGCTGGGCATGGAGAAGAGATTAATTAAGAGACAATATGAAAGCAAGCTTTATATATCTGAGGGGATGCCACGCAGATGGTGGAGCAAATTTGCTTTTTGTTCCTTCAGAAGGGAAGACCACAGTTAATGGACTCAAATTACAAGAAAGGGGTTTCTGACTAAACATTAGGAAGAGCTTCCTGAGAATGGAGCAGACTAGCTCAAAAGAGGTGGTCATCCAGCCACCACATCAGGGATGTATTGGCAAGGGTTGGACTGGATGACCTTTGAGATCCCTTCCTGCTCTATGATTCTAATAAAACCAGTTACCTGTTGTTAAGTGCCTCTGCTGTAAGCACCTTAAATTTAGGGATCCTAAAAGATGTTGTAGGGATTACTGATGTTTATTTATTGCATTTTTATCCCACCTTTCCCCCAAGGAGTTCAAGGTGGCCTACACATTTCTCTTCCTTCCAATGTTATCTTCACAAGAACCCTGTGAGGTAGCCTAGGCCAAGATTGACTGGCCTAAGGTCATCCAATGAACTTCATAGCTGCATTGGGGTTTGAACCCTGGTCTCCCAGGTCCTAGTCTAACACTATAACTACTACACCATGCTGGTGTATGTGAAGTACTTGAACAATCAATAAGAGCATTTGTGTTTTATTAACTGGGACTTTGAAGTGCTTCACAGACCCTGTCCATTATTATTATTATTATTATTATTATAGTTGTTGTTGTTGTAACTTTCTGCCAGTATTAGCCTCTGCATCATGGAATCACAACATAGTTCAACTTTTTCATGAAATAAACAATGATTAAAATGATTAGTCTCAAAATGAAATTAGCTCTTTGCCTATTTTCTTTACTCCTGGAACCTGTCTATGACTGGAAAGAGGCGACTCTGGCAGCAACAGTCGTATCAAACATGCATGCAGAATACAAACAGCATTTGCGTCCAAGCCTCCTTCAAACACAAGGTTCAGCCCTGTAGTGCAAGAGGTCTTTTATTTCACACATTAGTTAATTTTCACGGTGCTAGCTAATCCTTCACAGACACATAACCAAATATGCATGCTTCAAACTTGTTGAGAAAGCTTGCATTTTCAATCGAGGGTGGGAGGGGAATCCACTGTTCGGCCCACCCACCCACCCATATCTTCGGATTCACAAAGGTGCATTTTGCACGGCTCAACAAAGTGTTCAGTTACTCACCTGAGACAACTGTCTCTCCATTGAGGTACAGAGCCATCCCTACCAGCATCATAATGCCCAGGACCAGGATGTAAGGTCTCCGCTTGCCCCAGGCTGAATTGCAGTGGTCACTGGCCGAGCCAACCACAGGCTGCAGCACAAAACCAAGGATGGGGCTTATGAGCCAGACGAGGCTATAAAGGCTTTTGGGGAGCCCCACGCTGAGCAGCACAGGTGTGACGAAGGCCGCCTCCACGGCGTAGCAGAACTCTCGGCCGAACATGGCCATGCTGTGCATCACCAACCTCCCTGTTGCCTTCTTCGGGGGCTCCACGGGCCTGAAGGGCTCTCCAGCTGCCAAGGACTGCAGCATGGTTTCCTCTTTGCCGCTGCTGCATTCCATGCTGGCAATGCCCAACTCACAGGGGCGCGGAAGCGTCCCACCGAAATCCTGCCTGGTTAGAGTCATCGGGCTGCTTTCTGGGAGCGTGCTCTGCCAGGCATGGATCTCGGGTCAGCCGGTAGGAAAAGGAGCTGGAGGAGGGGCACACACATACTTTTCAGGGCTCTCTGGAATCACAAGTTGCACGAGGGGGGAGTGGCGGGGGGAGTGTGCGTCTTGTGTGTGTCTGCGGCGGAAGATTAGCACAATTAGAGCGCCTGGCTCGCTGGGGAGTTCTCAGCTATGACTGGAGGATTATCTCAGAGAAGGGAGGGAATGTGGATCATGTGTGTATACTATGCTCACATGCCCGAAGCCAAAGTTAGTCGGAAGGCAAAAGTTAATAGTCGGAAGACACTGGTGCATCAGCCACTTTTTTTTTTGCATGTTGCAAGGAAGAGTATCCTTTCCATGGTTTCATTTCAGGCAACAAGTTGTTTGCAGAGCAGAACAGAACTGCTTTTAAGATAGTCTGGAGGAAGAAATGGCAGGAGGCTGGCAATCCTTCCTTGTGGTATTTAATCCTGTGTGCTTTGAAGTTTGGCTTTCATGCTTCCTAGGGCCTGTGTTCCCAAGGAATGTTCCGGCTCTCTCCCCCTCCCCTCCAGATCTCGTGTAAAGCAGTGAAAGTCTATGTCTTTCGCACAAGAAAATAAAAGTAAAATGTACAGGCAGCATTCTAACCCTGTGTCACTTAGCATTCCGGCCAATGAATGTAAAGGAATTGTATTTCTTTCCAAATTATCTTATCCAGCTTTGCGAATCCACTTTTGTGCTGATGAGACTCTAAAAAGTTCATTAATTACTACTGTTTTAGCATTTACCAAAGAATAAGAATAAGCCAACTGCTAAACAAAGCACAGAAGTAATATGAACTCTGGCTAGAGGGCTGACTCACCACTTAAATAAGATGGGGAAACCAAAGATCAAGACAAGGATGTCTTGGATATGGGATACCCGAGATCAGATCCCATCTCTACCAAGCACTTATTGTGGGCTTTAACCAAGCCACCATCATGCAACTTGGAAGTATAAAGCAGAAGAGTGGCTTGCTTTGCAGAGTAATGGTAGGCACTCCGCAGAGCAAAACTGCAGTCTTACGCGCAACTGCTCAGAATTATGAACTCAGGCTTACTCCTCAGTAAATGGGTAGAGAAACAGACTTCCATTGTGCTACACTACTGAGTACAGTGGTGCCCCGCAAGACGAATGCCTCGCAAGACGGAAAACCCGCTAGACGAAAGGGTTTTCTGTTTTTGAGTTGCTTCGCAGGACGAATTTCCCTATGGGCTTGCTTCGCAAGACGAAAATGTATTGCGAGTCTTGAGTTTTTTTTCGCTCCCCTCCCCTTTTTTCTAAGCCGCGAAGCCGCTAATAGCCTTTTAGCAGCTAAGCCGCTAAGCCTTTAATAGCCGCTAAACCGCTAATAGCGCTAATCCGCTAATAGGGTTGCTTCGCAAGACGAAAAAACCGCTAGACGAAGACACTCGCGGAACGGATTAATTTCGTCTTGCGAGGCACCACTGTAATGTAATAGTCATTGAAGGTGACAGGAGAGCATGTGACTTTTTGGTAATTGCCAGAAAGGCAGTGTGAAAAGCAGTTTGCACGTGGGTGTTAAGGTTTGGGGTCCACTACCTTTGCTTGCAGGGACGCAGGTGGCGCTGTGGGTTAAACCACTGAGCCTAGGACTTGCCAATCAGGTCGGCGGTTCGAATCCCCACGACGGGGTGAGCTCCTATTGCTCGGTCCCTGCTCCTGCCAACCTAGCAGTTCGAAAGCACGTCAAAGTGCAAGTAGATAAATAGGTACCGCTCTGGCGGGAAGGTAAACGGCGTTTCCGTGCGCTGCTCTGGTTTGCCAGAAATGGCTTAGTCATGCTGGCCACACGACCCGGAAGCTGTACGCCGGCTCCCTCGGCCAGTAAAGCGAGATGAGCGCTGCAACCCCAGAGTCGGCCGCGACTGGACCTAATGGTCAGGGGTCCTTTTACCTTTACCTTTGCTTGCTGCATTCCATCTAAGCCCATAGATTTTTATATAAACAGTCATTAAAAGGCATCATAAGCCTCCACCATAATGAACCAGCACCTACCACAGTATCAGCAAACAGTATCAAAGAGTTTTTCAAGGCACTCCCCACGCCCTCGTTTTCTATGGGAGATATCTAATATTAGTCAGTGTGGACCAACTGAAGCCAAATGACTTAAGTAACTCCAAGTATGACTTACTTGGGATATCACCCTTGGAATTCTTCTGAAATAATGGTCAAGCTTTAAATGCAAGCATCTCATATTCTGAAATAATAATAAAATCCAGTTTCCTTGCTGGGGATTAATTTTACATTTTTATTTGTAAGAAAAGGCATTTTCACATGTTATGAAAAACACTTGTCTTTAGATAATTACAGTATATTAAAAAGAGACTAAAGGATTGCAACATCCTGATAGTTAACTTACAGAACATTCAATTAATTTTGATATGCTTGTTTTGACATTCAACCACAACAAAATGACTCAGCAAACTGCAAACGCAAAATCAAAGAGGTAAAACCAGATTAGCATAACTCCAATCCTTCACTTGCATCATTAATTAAAATAATAAAATTACTTAACCACATTACAATTCAATCATATTCTTATAGCAAATGCTAACATAAAGGAAGCTACTTTTTGTGTGCTCCATTTGTCATTCTTTGTAAGCATAAAATCTAGAGGAGGTAAAAACTGATGAATGCCCACATCCCTTAAACACCCAAGGCTCTCTTGTACGGAGAGAATAATGTCCTCTTTTTCCTCTACTCCACAGGCACATCGTTTTGAAAATAACAGTACCTGCTTTCTGGAATAAGCTTACTGAAGAAAGCAATGGAGATTTTTAATCCTTGCATTGTGAGTAAAAATCTTTAAGGCATTTCTGAAAATACTTTCAGGGTGTAATTTTTAAGGAAGCACAGTTCTGTTCCCCCCCCCCCCAAAAAGAAGTCTATTTATTCTTTACACAGCTGGAAAATCTGCCTCGACTTGGCATTAATAATTTCTTCATGCGATCAATACACAGACCAACATACCCCCTCCCTTTGCAGGACACTGGGACAAGCAGATCCTATATTTGCAATAGTGTGATTCTCAGTGCCAGCACTGCATCATGATCCACATGGATCAGTGTACATCTTTTCTGGCTAGTGCTTCATTTCTCACAGCTTAAATGTATGGCTCTCAAGGGGCATTGGCAGGAAGGGAGGAAACAAGCTTCTTCCAAGCCTAGCTAGCTGCACGATACTGTGAATTTCACTATCGTTCAAAGCATCCTCTTGAAAAGAAAATGAAAAGGATAATTTGAAACACGTCTCCTTGCTAAGAATACTGCACAAATTGGGATAAAAATATAACCTGCCAGTGTGTGGGACTCTTTTGATTTGTGAAGTTACTATAAGTTGGATTTTGGCTTATTGAATTCAATTACTTTAAGAGAATGGAGCTGTGAAATTTCTTCCCTGGAAAAGCCATAGTCCAGGAGGATATCTTCAGTGTGCTCTCCTATAAACGGATCCCTTTTGGAAGAAGGAGTAGCTGGGGTCCGAGAAAGAATTGGAGCCGGTCGAGGACTTATCTCCTCCTGGTCATTTTTAAGAAAAGAACCACGTTCTTTGTTGTGCGGATGTGAGGCAGCAGCATCAAAAGCCAAGACTGGTGTCACACAAGCATCCACGTCATCAAAGATTTCACACCATTCTGCTTGGGTCTTCTTTGAAAATAAATCTGCAAACATGTTCTTCATTGCAGGCCAGTCAGAGAAACTCATCTGACCAGGGAGATTAGAATCATCTAGCCCCAGACCTGAAGAGATAAAAATAAAATAAAATGGGTCAATTTAATTCCCAGAGATTTGCCAAAAGTTGTATTTATTACTAACAACCAGGAACAGTATAAAGGCCAAAGGTTAAAGAGATGGCTACAGGATATGTCTAAAACAGGTTAATAGCTACACACCTCATGTTTACAGTTAAACACGCATATCCCCAGGGTTGTGACAATGCACAAACTTACTTAAGCAACCATTATCTTGACAGTGCGTCTCAAACCAGAGAAGGAACACTAGGTTGTTTCAGCCACACAATCTACCTGAACATCTTGGTTCATCCACATATCACTGTGTTCATCTGGGAAACTGCAGATATATCCACCAGAAATGAGCTCTGCTTTTTCAAAAGTGTAACCGTGCGAGTCTACAGCAGCAGAAACACAGAGCCTTGTGGCATCTTAGAAATGAATTCATTAATTGTGTCATGAATGCTTGTAGGCCAAATTCAATGTTATTAGCTTCAAGATAATACAGTAGATAAATCTTACTGGCCAATGAATGCTTATGCCACAAGAATTCTGAAACTGTCTGTGTGATCACTTATTTAGAGATGTAGCTGCTGCTCTGCACACAGAAGGTCCTAGGTTCCTTACTCAGCAACTCCATTAAAAAGGATCAGGTAGGAAAAGATTGGGAAGACCTGTCCTAGAGACCGTAGAGAGCTGCTACCAGAAAGAACAGGCAAGACAGAACAGGCTAAGCTAGATGGGCCATTGATTTGACTCAGCAGAAAGCAACTTACTCTATTCTACACATACTACTATATCCAAGGATAAAAGGCAAAGCAAGAGACCCTAACTTGGCAGTGTTTGCTGACTTTCTTTTAACCTTCGTACTCCAATTCAACCCTTGGAACGTGTTAACAAATCAATTTAGGGACTCAGTTATACGGCTGCAAATAAAACATTTAAAATGTGTTGTAAAGTGCAATATACAAATGTGACATTAGATGGCGACAGCGAGCTATGCAAAATTCAATGTATTTTTCAAAAAAAAATTTAAAAAGCATTTTCACAGCGGTTTTTATGTGTGTAGATTTCACCTAGGAGTTCTTTATCTCAAACATAACTAGTTGGAAGAGTACAGGAAATATTTTACAGTAGCTGTATCGAATCAGCAGCAGTATTTTTTTAAAATATCCCCAAGAAGAGAATTCATTAGGATTCTATTCTGAATTTTCCCTTACTGAAATGAGAACACAACATCAATAGCTAAAAGATATATATGACAGAGAGAGAACTATAGCAGCAAGAGAAGAGGGTTAGAGAAAACAGGCACTTATTGGGCTTCAAACTTTGGCTTTTGCCTCTGTGCAAATTTCAAACATGCCCTATTGGTTCTCATTTTTCAGGCAACAATCCATATGGTTAATAGAAGGGTATGCTATGGGTTTTGCACAGCTGGCCTCCTACAGCAAGTATGGAGTCTCTGGAAGGAAAAGGAACCGACTCTATAATAAAACTTCAGGGTACATTTCCATACCAATCAATTTTACTGCTTTACCGAACAGAAAACAAGCCGTTAACAGGAAATGATATCCATGGATATATATTATAGCCCAGGAAATTACTGAAACCCAAGGCACTAGTTTTTTATATGTGGATATTAGAGAGCTTTAATGTTCTAAATTCATTTTATTAGCTTTGAATAAGATAACATCCCCTACATGAAGCTATATAAATACAATTATTCAATTATTCCATTATGCAGTTATTGACTATGTAATCTTCAGCAGCTATTGTTTTATTGTTGCTGGCGCCATGATTGCATTGTTATGTTACTATGCTTTTATACTGATTTGATACCACATTGGAAATCTTTTTTTCAATGGAAAGGTGAGACATAACATTTTAAGTAAGTAAATCAAATATTAGTGATCATGTCTCTTCCCACCCTTGCCTTCAACTTGTAGACAACAGCAACTTCATATTTTTTTTAAAGATTTCAACACTTCTGTGCAATCCAAAAATATTACAAAGGAAAATATTGTGTTATGCCAAGTCTCTTGGCGTCAGATTAAAACAATTATTAGAAAAGTTTGTCCTATGCCTACTATACTGAGTAATATACCCAGTTACTAAAAGGAACAACAGCCTCATTCAAGACTAAAAATACAAAACAGTTCCATGATAAAAGGAATGATGAATGAAAGCTGAGTGTCAAAGGGACAAGACAAATGAGATGGGGTGACCAAGCATTCCAATTTAGCATTAGACTTGGGAGAGAGAGGAAATGGGGCACCAGACGCTGGGATACTGATGTAAACTATCAGTTTTCGTTATTAAAGCAAACATCCTGGAGTAATGCTAGCCCCAGATCTAAATGTGTATTTTAGTAAGAATCAATGCCAATTTGTGACAGATGGAACTTGCATTAGATCTGCATTGTTTCCTTTTAAGAGCATTTTTCATCTGTATGGTATGGTGCACTGGATATTAATATCTGTAATAGAAATCCTCAAACTGAGTCACTATGACTGCCTACTCTAGTAGAAATCTGGTATGCAGTCCATATTCTCTGCTCAGCTGCCAATCCTTGTAAACTCACAAAAAAGCTTAGACCTTTATGAAGATAGAAACCAACTGAGAACTTCACTGTAAGGGTTGTACCCATTAGCAAATATTCTCTGTGCACACAGTGTAGCAAATGACTTGTCACTTTGCTCTGTCAGCAAATCTGGTTTTGCAAGACGGTTGAATACTTGCTGAGCTGATGCAACAAATAGGTTAATCACTGATGAAATAAAGCTAGATAAAGCTCTCACCTGAAAAACAAGAAACTTAACCAAGTAGTTCAACAGATTAAAAAAAACATTCCAGGGCTTGAAGCTGAACTAAGAGCGCTGCAATAAATTCACTAGGTGGCCTTTGGGAAATCTTAAGTCTTTCAAGCCCCAAGTAGTTCCATTAGCACAAGGACTTCTGGCTGCACAATGGAACTTGCCCTCCCTCTCCTATCACCTCACCCACCCCAAAATTTCCCTCCAACACTCCGGAGCAGATTTGGGGAGGGTGTGGAGGCACACAGGGAGAGGAGATGGAGGCAAAGATATGATGCACAAACAGAAATCCTTGTGCTAACAGAGCTACTTCATTGGCTATAACGCTTGGTTCTTCCATCTGTAAAATGGAAATATTTGTTGTACAGACCATGGAGATAAATCTTCAAATTACTTTGCATCTTTAAGTGCTACAGTACTACTAATTTTTGCATATTTGCTCAAAACAGATGGTACCCCAAAACTTCCTCCCTTCCTCCTTTAAAAACACACCTCTTGTAGATTAACTTACCACTGATGAACTGCTTATAGAACTGTGGTTCAAGAGCACCAACAGCCATGAATTTCCCATCTTTAGTCTTATAGGTTTCATAAAAAGGGGCACCACTGTCCAGGAGGTTCTCCCCACGAGATCTGTTCCAAAGGCCAATGGTCTGTGATTTCCACAGAAAGGAGCTCAGGTACGCTGTGCCTTCTACCTTAAAGACAAACATTTTTTTAAAAAATATTTTAATGTTTTGTGGAAAAAAATATTAGTAAGAGTGAAAATATTTTTCTGCTAGGTATTCTGACTGAGGTAATAACACCCTAAGCTGACGAAAAACCAAAACACCTCTTATTAGTTTTTACATTGCTGCCCACTGTTTGGTAATATTAATTCTAGTTTCGCTAGAGAGTCCAAAAATATGTTTCCTACTTTGGATGTCACTAAATCCTTGGCCTTGGCAAATGCTTCAATGAAGGGATGGGGTGAGGAAACTGTGGTCCTCTGAATGTGGTTGGCCTACAACACCCAGAAATAAATTCCTGACTGTTGGCCATGCTGACTAGGGGTGGTGGGAATTTGAGTCCAGCAACACAGGCAGAGCCACAGATTTCCCAACCCTGTAGTTTATAACTGCAGAAAGCAGAGTCTCCCCCCCCCATGCCCCATTTTTATTAACTTTCCAATTTTACATTTTAAAATAAACATTTTCGAAAGCAGGGTCTTGTTCTTGAGCTTTGCTGAGCACAGTGCTGAGACAGCCCTTTGCACTACAGTTCCCAGGTGCCCAATAACCAGCTGTCCAGTGCTTGGGAAACACTACACAAGGAACTTCGACAAGAGGGTAGCCCCATTCATCTATCAGATTTGGTTTAATGATTTGGTCCACTAACCCAAAAGATAGCCCTGATTTAAGGCATTATTTGAGGGGGGTTTTCCAGATTACCCTTGATTGGTTTTTTTTATTGTTTAACAATTTGCTCGTTTTAACATTATATCGTTTTGCAATGCTAGCAGCACATTTATTGTTTTTATCTTTCAGCTGATTTGGTCCAGTTTTGATATTTAGAAATAAAGAAAATAAAATCAGCCCAAGTTTATGTTACAGACACAAAGTGATGTCTTATTTCCTTCAGAGCAGAATGCCTGTGAATATTCTGTGCTACCTGTTTCATTCTCCCAGTTCTTAGAATGCCTTGGATGTTCTACAATCTACAGCATCAACTGGAACCAGAAGCTTTATCATCACTACCCAAACTTCCCTAGTGTGGGTTCAGGCTGGACAGCCAATAAGATTCAGACTCAGTTGTCAGTCAAACAGGACATCTATTAAAAGATTGCAATGTGTTCCAACTTATGGAGAATGGTTGAGGGAGTTGGGTATGTTTAAAGAGGAGACTGAGAGGAGATATGACAGGCAACTTCAAAAATCTAAAGGACTGTCACATGGAAGAGGAAGCAAGCTTGTTTTCTATTGCTCTGGAACAGAGCTTTCCAAACTTTTCATGTTGGTAACACGCTTTTTAGACATACAGCATTTTGTGACACAGTAATTCAGTTTTACTAGCAAACCAGAGGATAAACTAACCCCTTTCCAGCCTCGGGAGGAGCACAGGGAGTGTTTGCATGACACACCTACACACTGCAGCCAACACACTAACGTGTCCCAGAACACAGTTTGGAAAGCTCTGCAGTCTGGAGTGTAGGACCCAAACCAATGGATTCAAGTTACAAGAAAGGAGATTCTGACTAAACATCAGGAAGAACTTTCTGGCCGTAAGAGCTGTTCAACAGTAGAACAAACTTCCTCAGAAGGCGGTGGACTCTTTCACTTGACGTTTGGGATGGATCTATCACGGATGCTTTAGTTGATATTCTTTCATTGCAGGGGGTTGGATTAGATGACCCTAAGAACCCCTTCCAATTCTATGATTCTGTGACTTACTCTCACCATGTGGATGAAGCAAGTGGAACCCTGATAGCTAAAAATACACCTCTATTTCTACCAAAAAAACCCCATAGTGATGTAGCACAGAAATACAAGATGGTGAGAGTAGAATTTTTTTGAAATAGCAAAGTTGCAAAACAGGATTTTCTGCTCTTCCTTTCCCCTCTCCCCCTCCTGCTCATTGTATGTTCAACAGCCTTCCTTAGGTGATAAGAATGTCATAAGCATGTGGGAGGCGAACTGCTAGAGGCTATATAATCTTGTCAAGGATGCCTGATGATCATCTTATGCAGATCCCACATTCCAACCAGTCCAGAGTTGCTCACAAACACATTTCTGATTCTGAAATTCATTAATAACTTCATAGTTTCAATTCCCCCCTCCCCACCCACACAGGTACATTGCAATGTACTTGTTTCTTTTTAATATGTTAAATATTTGAAACTAAATTATTGTACAGTCATACTTGGTGCTGGAGGAGACTCTTGAGAGTCCCATTGACTGCAAGAAGATCAAACCTATCCATTCTTAAGGAAATCAGCCCTGAGTGCTCACTGGATGGAAAGATCGTGAAGCTGAGGCTCCAATACTTTGGCCACCTCATGAGAAGACTCCCTGGAAAAGACCCTAATGTTGGGAAAGATGGAGGGCACAAGGAGAAGGGGATGACAGAGGACGAGATGGTTGGACAGTGTTGTCGAAGCTACCAGCATGAGTCTGACCAAACTGCGGGAGGCAGTGGAAGACAGAAGTGCCTGGCGTTCTCTAGTCCATGGGGTCACGAAGAGTCGGACACAACTAAACGACTAAATGACAACAACAGTCATACTTCTACTTACATATCCCTCTGGATACGGAATCTTCAGCTTACGGCCACGGCAAACCCAGAAGTGTATACTTCCGTGTTTCGTCGTGTGCGCAAGGGCAGAAGCACTCAATCACGCCACGCGTGTGGACAGAAGCACACCTCTATTTACGTAATTTCTGGGGTGCGGACAGACCCCCGGAACGAATAAAGTTCGTATCCGGAGGGTCCACTGTAGTTCCAATTTTAAAAATCTGTTTTGGATAATTATTGACCAACTCTGTTCATGGATGAACATGCCTGCCATTCCTCTCATTACTTCATTTCCTCCTCTACCTTGAAAACATCTGCATGAATTATAGGGCTGAACCCCATATATCCAGCCATAGCTATATAATATGATGTGTTTATTTATTATTTAATGTAAAACATTTCAAGGCTGCTGTTCTGGGTAATTCTTGTCTAAAGCTGCATACAGCAATAAACCAAAAGAAAAGAAAGATCAACAATACAAATAACATAAATTCCAAACTCCTCAGGATCACATATCTAATGACAGGGCAGAATGCTTAGAAACAGAAATGTTTGTAGGGGCCAAAATATAGGCAATATGATAATGTGTTAAAGCAGATACGAACATCAGCACCCGGGATTATTCACTATTTCTACAGTTGTGGAAGCTTCCATACCTTTTGCCCTATTGAGAAATTAGCAAACAAAGATTAATGTTGAGCAAGTGCCAGAAAGAGCATTTCAGATGGAATTAGAACTGCTAGCTTCTATCCACAGCACACTATTGTAGTTATGTTACCTACAGAAGTACCTGTAATGAAAGCACGAGCAGAGACCCAGCTGTTGAATAAATATGAATTAATCTGATGCTAAAATAATTTGATGCAACGATAAATCAAGAGAAGAGATAACCACGTAATTAGCTGGATTTAACAAAGAAACCCCCATATCCAGCTGATCTGGGTCTGCTTATCTCACCCAGAGAATCTGATGGCTGTGTTCAAAGGGGGTGCAAGTCATACACACAACAGAGTAATAAGAACTGGATCAAAAAAGGGTTTTGTGGACTGATGTGTTGGTCTTAAAGTACATACAGTTCCACATGCCCTATCTTTAACAGTCTGTAACTTGTTTTGTTTTCTTTAACTTACCATACTTGCATCAATGACTTGCCCTTTGCCGGATTTTGTACGTTCATAGAGTGCCATAATGATGCCCATTGCACACATCACACCGCCACCAGCAAAATCAGCCAGAAGATTGATAGGAGCATAAGGATTTTCATCTTTTCTGCCAAGTTTTGACAAAACACCTATATACAATAATAGATATACACAAAGTAATAATGAAATCAATTTCCCCAGTTATGAAAGCCATATGAATGTCTTCTAAACACAGATATGTATAGTCATCAATTTTCTAACAATCTCCAATTATGTTCTTAAGCTGTTGAATGCATTGTACTGGGGTGGAGGCTTTGCAAAGAGACATATGGGGAAAATGCTTGCCAGGTCTTCAAGATGGTTTTTAGCAACAAACACCTGTATAAGCCTTTCACTGAAAAGACGTGGGAATTATAACTAAGTCCCTTGCATTGAAAGACCCACTGAGGAATTCCTAATATAGAAACGTTTTCTCTGATTGATAAATAACTATGGTTTGCTTTCTAATCAATAAGTTTCAAGTATTTTTTCAGTAAATAATATGATTTCCATGACAGCATTATTACTATATTTCATATAATCTACTGAAATATACCATTGCTGTTCAGCAGTGCAATCCAATGAAAGTTTACTTGGGAATAAATCCCCCTGTGTTCAATAGCATATATTCCCAGGTAAGTGTGGGTTGGAGCCCAAACCATCTTCAGGTCAGGAAGAGTTAAGAACCATTTCATTCATTTATTAATTTAGGTAATTTATATACCACTTATTATTTCAAAGAAATATCTAAGTATCACATTATAAAAGTATCACAAGTAAACATGCACAGAAATTACTGTGAATCTCAAAACAGTTGGACTCTGCAGCATAGTCTATAGGTATGCTCTTCCCAGCAAAACAAAAGTAAAACACCCTAAAAGCTGATGTTGAACTGTAGCCTTGGTTTACTATCCAAATAAAAATAAATGATTGACCAAATGCAAAAAAATGAACATTAATGAATTACAACCAAGCACGTCTGCATAATAATAATTTTATTTGTACCCCAACCACCCATTTGTACCCTAGGTAAAGGTAAAGGGACCCCTGACCATTAGGTCCAGTCGTGACCAACTCTGGGGTTGCGGTGCTCATCTCTCTTTATTGGCCGAGGGAGCCGGTGTACAGCTTCCGGGTCATGTGGCCAGCATGACTAAGCCGCTTCTGGCGAACCAGAGCAGCGCACGGAAATGCCGTTTACCTTCCCGCTGGAGCGGTACCTATTTATTTACTTGCACTTTGACGTGCTTTCGGTTGGCAGGAGCAGGGACCGAGCAACAAAATTTGTACCCTACAGCCTCCTAATTAATGCTAATTATATTAACCACAAATCTCTTTCAAGTTAATTATTATTTAATATAAGGTTGCTGTTTTTTAAAAAAGAGATTAAGGCACACAATGTACCTGACACAGCCAGGTAGTTGATATCATGACCTGCCAACTTGGCATATTTTCCCAACTGTCCAAATCCCGTCAGCCTAGCATAGATGAGTTTGGGATTGTCCTGGAGGACGATATCTGGGCCAAGACCAAGTTTTTCCATGACACCTGAACAAGAAGATAAAATAAGTCAACTCTACTTAAAAAATAAGCAGATCAACACATGTGAATGTATAAATAGTATTATACAGAGTGTGAAGTTATACACATATTGAATATGAAGGCAGAATTGTTACATGATAATTTTTGAGTAGCCTGTTCCATTTTCTTATCTCTCTTTAATGGAATATTCTGTATGGCTAGTTTTTGTTTTCAAATTTTTAGTAAAATGGGAATTTTTGGGAATGGTGCCTCCTCCCCACCAGGGTAGAAGAACAAGTGGGGAATAAATTTCTACATTGGGATCCACTGCCCCTTGGATCCTGCCCCCTGAGGTAGTCACCTCACCCTGCTTTATGGGTGGGCCAGTTCTGCTCTACTCTTGTGTGCAACCCAAGTGTCAGTGCAGATAAAAATGCAGTATTTAATTAACACCTGAAACACAAACACAGAAGATTCACCTCTGTGAATGGGGGGTGGGAGGAAGGAAAATGCACCATGACATTTTGCATTTGTGAAAGTAGTTGCTTGTTGTCAGGGAACTGCCATCGGAAGGAAGGGAGGTGAAAGGACTCAGACAGGTTGGAAGAGACTCAGCAGCTGAAGAGGGAACCAGCAAGGGGAGAGAAGCTGAACTGAGGGAGGTGAAAGGGCTCAGACAGGTTGGAAGAGACTCAGCAGCTGAAGAGGAAACCAGCAGGGGAGAGAAGCTGAACTGAGGGAAAGGGAGCTGGGGGATGGCTCAGAGATACTTCCAGCGAAAACAGTGGTGAGGTTTCCGGACCTCCTGTAGGGACACCCACTCCTCGCCGGAAACTGTCACGCAGAGAGTCCAGAAGACGTGTTTCCGTTAAGGAGCTTTTATGTTGGAAGCGATTACGAAAGCAACCACTGTCGGAATCTTCTAGTGACTAGAGGAGCCATGTCAGAGGGGCTCAGTCACAGACAGAGGTTTGTGGACTTGAACAAACTCTGAGGGAATACGATTTTACGCACAAGCAGCTCATCTTCCCCTCACAGCATTCCGACAGTCATTGAACGCAGCTTGTGCAGGAGAAGGCATAATGAGCAACCCAGCAGGAACCGGAGAAGCAGGGGCTGGAGCGGGTCCAAGCCTGGAAGAAAGGTACCGGGTGTTGGAGGTCCAGCTGGCGCTGCAGACGGCGAGGCTTGAGGAGAGGAGAGCTCAAGATGCAGACAAAGGGAGAAAGCCACCCAGCTCGCCAGAAAGGTACCAGGATTGGTGCAGAAATTTGGGGGGGAGCCCAAAGACTATCATAGCTTTCGGACAGAAATGCAATATGCCCTCAATCTGCAGTTTGATGATTTCCCTGATGAGGAATCACGAGTGGCTTTTGTGATTGGGCATCTTGAAAAGGGGCGAGAGACTGGGTTAGACCCCTGATGGCAGCGCATAGTGACGTCCTAAAGGACACGATGAAGTTCTTTCGCGCCATGGATCTGATGTTTTCCAGCGATATTGAAAAGGGAGTGGTGCGCAGACAGTTAATGGCTTGCAAACAGGGAAGCCGATCTGTACGTGAGTACTGGACTGAGTTCACCATGCTGATACACAGATTGGGGTGGGACTTATCGGCGGAACCCATTCAAATGCTCTTTGAAGAAGGGCTTTCCGGCTGTGAAAGATGAACTTTCCCGGGCGCCCAGGGCGGAGTCTATGGACCAGCTGACCAAATCAGCGCTGGCCATAGGAGCGCGCCAGGAGGCGAGAGCATTGGAGAGGCGGGAAGGGAAAGGGGAACGTTGGAAGGAGTTCCGCATTCCAGACATTCCAGAGCCAACTTTCCCGCCGGCAGAGCCGATGGAAATCGGAACAGCGCGCGCGCGCGCAGTTTCAAAGCCCAGTGAGGGGGGAAAAAAGGAGGGAAAAGGCGCCCGGAAATGCTATCTCTGCCAACAGCCAGGGCACTTTGCCAGAGTCTGCCCTCTGAGGAAGGACTGGGCAGGGATGGTGGGAGCTGTGGAGGGAAGAGAGGACAAAATACCGGAGCAACTAAAAGCCAACGCCTGGCTGCCATTGTCGGGGCACAGCAGCCAGGCCAAAGAGCAGTGAAAGTGCCCACGCCAGAACCTCCTAAACCCGCCCTAGTGATAGAAGTGACACTAGAGCTGCCAAACGGACACCCTCTAAAGATAAAGGCGCTGTTGGACTCAGGCAGCTCCTGCAATTTCATGAGCAAAGAGTTTGCAGCTGAACACCAGATACAGACGCTCCCTTTAAGCAACCCCCTGCAGGTAACCACGATCGATGGCAGGGAGCTGTTGGGAGGAGAAGTCAGCTTGCAGACCGTCCCAATGATAATGAAGGTGGCAAGGCACACCGAACTAATAGCATTTAATGTGGCCACCTTGGGAGGAGCTCCCATTATATTGGGGATGAGCTGGCTAGCGTTACATGATCCGCTGGTGGGCTGGCATCAAAGAGTGGTTTCTTTTGGGTCAGCACATTGCTTAGAACACTGCAAAGAGGGAAAGGTTTTGGCAGGGGCCCAAGCCACCCTAGCAGGGACTGAAGTAACGGAGAACGTGAAGGTACCACGACAATACGCAGATCTCCGCGACGTCTTCAGCGAAAGGGAAGCTGACCAACTACCACCGCATAGAGCCTTTGACTGTCAAATCAATTTGCTCCCTGGGGCACAGCTCCCTGTGGGCAAGCTGTACGCCATGTCAGACAGAGAGATGCAGGAGCTAAGAGAGTTCATTGACAAGAACCTGAAGAGAGGGTTCATCAGAGAGTCCAGGGCGGTGGGGCAGCCCAGTGTTTTTGTGGACAAAAACACGAACAAGCCGAGACTGGTGTGTGACTTCAGGGCCTTAAATGCAGTGTCAGAACCAGTGGCCTTCCCGATGCCCAGGATTGACGACATTTTGACAAGGGTGCGGAAGGGAAAGATTTTCACCAAGCTGGATCTAAGGGGGGCGTACAACCTGATACGAATAAGGAAGGGGGATGAATGGAAAACCACCATGTTCACCCCTTTAGGGGCATTTGAATACTTAGTTATGCCCTTCGGTCTACAAGCAGGCTCCGCAACATTTCAATCGTTTATGAACCACGTCCTGGGGCCGTTGCTTTACAAGAATTGTGTGGCCTTCTTAGACGACGTGTTGGTGTATTCTGAGAATGAGGAGCAGCATGTGAGAGACGTCAGAGAAGTGTTGAGCAGGCTGCAAGCCAACCAGCTGTGGGTGAAACTGGAGAAGTGTCAGTTTCATACCAAGGAGGTGGAATTCCTGGGGTATCGCCTGTCTGACAAGGGGTTGGCCATGGATCCCGGCAAGGTCCAGGCGGTACTGGAATGGAAAACACCCAAAACAAGGAAGGATGTGCAGAGGTTTTAGGATTTGGGAACTTCTATCGTAAGTTCATCCCAAACTTTGCCCACCTGACGGCGCCCATTACGGACTGTCTCAGCAGTAAGAAGAAGTTCGTTTGGACGGAGGAGGCGGAGCAAGCATTTGAGGAACTAAAAGGGCCTTCGCCTCGGAACAACAGCTCCTGCATGTGGATTTACAAAAACCGATGAGAGTGGAAACTGACGCATCAGACAGAGCGGTTGGGGCGGTGCTTCTCCAGCCAGGGAAGGAGGAGTCAGAGTGGAGACCGTGTGCTTTTTTAGCGAAAGCTGAACAAATCCGAGAGGAACTACACGGTGTATGACCGAGAACTACTAGCCATTCATGAGGCGTTCCGGAGATGGAGGCACCTGCTAATTGGCGCGCAACATAAGGTGCAAGTGTGCACTGACCACAAGAACCTAGAGTATTGGAGGACGGCACGAGTGCTCAACCAACGGCAAGTGAGGTGGGCCCAGGAATTCTCCAAATTTAACTTTGAGATTTGTTACGTGCCAGGCCCAGAGAACATTAGGGCGGACGCTCTCTCACGCAAACCTGAATATTTGGAGGGGAGGAGCACCGAAGAGAGACATGTCATTCCAGAGGACCGCTGGGTGTGTGGGGCGGCATTGGTGGGACAAAGAGAACTGGTAGAAGAAACAGAGAATGATGAATACGCCCAGAATAAGCTCAGAGGTCTTAGGGATGAGGGAGAGGAATCAAGGGGTTTCGAGGAAAGAAATGGAGCTTTGTATTACAAAGGGGCACTGTATATCCCTGAAGGAGACTTAAGGGGAGGGTACTCAAGCAGTTGCATGACAGCCCCACGGCGGGCATTTTGGGCAACACAAAACCATGTGGTTGGTCACCAGGGAATTTTGGTGGCCTAAGGTGAGGGAGGATGTACGTGAGTATGTAAGAGGGTGCGAGCAGTGCCAGCGAGCCAAAGGGGAAAGGCGGGCGCCGGCGGGGCTATTAGAACCCTTACCAACACCAGAACGACCTTGGGAGGCAGTGTCGATAGATTTTATGACTGATCTGCCGAAGTCCAAAGGGAAAACAGCCATCATGGTGGTGGTAGACCTACTAACAAAGATGTGCCACTTTGTAGCTTGCTCGCATGCAGTCACGGCGGAAGAGACAGCGAAGTTATTTGTAGAACACATTTTTAGGTTGCACGGGGTGCCATTGAGGGTGGTCTCAGACCGAGGAAAACAATTTACTTCCAGGTTCTGGAGGAAGCTCATGAGCTTACTGCAGGTGGAGGTCAACTTTTCGACTGCCCGGCACCCTGAAACCAACGGGCAGGCGGAAAGAGCAAACGGTGTCCTCCAGCAATACCTGAGGTGTTATGTCAATGACAGAGAGAATGACTGGGTAGAAAAGTTGGCGCTGGCGGAATTTGCCTACAACAATGCCGAGAATGTGTCCACAGGGATGAGCCCCTTCTTGGCTAATTATGGGTGTCATCCCAGGGCTTTCCCAGGGGAGAAGGGGAGAGATGGAGCGTACCGGCAGCCGAGCATTTTGTAGAAGAAATGGAAGCAATCCACCGTCAGCTCCAACTCAACTTAGAAAGGGCGAAGGAAGAATACAAGAGGCAGGCAGACAAGAACCGAAGGGAAGGTGAAACCATAAGGGTTGGAGATAGGGTGTGGCTGTCAACCCGAGGGTGCCGTTCAAAGGAGGTTGTAAGAAATTAAGACCCAGGAGGTTAGGTCCCTTTGAGGTCATTCAACAGGTCAACCCAGTGGCTTTCAGGCTCCGGTTACCCAACCACATGAAACTGCACCCAGTATTTCACAGGTCGTTACTGTCACCGTACGAGGGGGGACGAGAAGGGATGGCCACTCGGGACCGGTCATAGAAGAAAGAGAATGCAGCAGTCATGTGGCAGAAATCCTTGATGCCAGGTGGAAGGGGAATCAGGTGGAGTATTTGGTAGCGTGGGAAGGAGAACCGAGTCAGAAAACACGTGGGTAATGGCCGAAGATATCAATGACGAGGTATTGATAGAAACGTTCCATCAAAGGTTCCCGAGGAAACCTCAGCCTGTGGAGAGGTTCCGGAGGGAATACTTTGGGACCACTGAGGAGGAGGAGGAGTTGGAAGGATTCCCAGAATCGGAAGGGGAAGGGGAGACGGACTCGGAGGAGGAGGAGTGCTTCGAGACCAGGAACCGCAACAGGTGGAGAGAAGTGTTCGAGACATCGGAAGATGAAGGAAGTTCATTCCGGGTTTTGCCTCCTCACCGCCCGTAGAGGAGGGGGCGAGAGGGGGTGAAGGGGGCCCTGGAGGGGAGGTGGATGTCAGGGAACTGCCATCGGAAGGAAGGGAGGTGAAAGGACTCAGACAGGTTGGAAGAGACTCAGCAGCTGAAGAGGGAACCAGCATTGGGAGAGCAGCTGTACTGTGGGTGTTGAAAGGGCTCAGACAGGTTGGAAGCGACTCAGCAGCGGAATTGGAAACCTGCTGGGGGAGACATGTTGAACTTAGGTAAAGGGAGCTGGGGGATGGCTCAGAGATACTTCCAGCGAAAACAGTGGTGAGGTTTCCGGACCTCCTGTAGGGACACCCACTCCTCGCCGGAAACTGTCACGCAGAGAGTCCAGAAGACGTGTTTCCGTTAAGGAGCTTTTATGTTGGAAGCGATTACGAAAGCAACCACTGTCGGAATCTTCTAGTGACTAGAGGAGCCATGTCAGAGGGGCTCAGTCACAGACAGAGGTTTGTGGACTTGAACAAACTCTGAGGGAATACGATTTTACGCACAAGCAGCTCATCTTCCCCTCACACTTGTGATTGTTCAAATGTGTCTGTGCTAAGTATTACACTGCTCCTGTGAGCAAAACCACACACATCCTGCAGCTGAATCTCAAATCCAAACTGTGGGCGCAGTTAGTAAAATTAACTTGAGCTGCTACTTTTTAAAAAATTGCACTTTCTTTTTTCGTGGGTTTAATTTTTTTTAAAAAAAACCTTCCACTTATTAAACTGCAAGCAGGTACAAAAATGCCCACCTCGCACTTTACACAGCTATTTATTCTGTCTGCTTGTTGTTGTTTTTTATCTACGAGCCATATCGATAAACATCTGCATTTGGGGGGGGCGTATGAAATTTTTCCTCGGGAAGGCAGAGAAGCGTCGCCACACAAACTGAAGGCGGGGATACGTGTGAGGGGTGGGGGGCAAGAGGCAAAAGGCAACAACTATTTGCGAATAGCTGTCAGGGCAAAAATACCTCCGCTTGCCCTTTCCCCCCCTACGACAAGCAAAGAGTAACTTCGGTCCCGCCAGAAGGTCGCTGGACTACAACTCCCACAATCCTTGAGCGTCGGCCACGCTTAGCTGGGGCGGCTGGGAGATGGAGTCCAACCCGCGCCCACCCAGTTTTTGGGGTGCACCCTCTTGAGGCTGCCTCATCCCTACCTCGCTACCAACACTTCACGTCCTACTACGAAGCGGCAACTGCCTCCCACCCCACAGCCTTCGCCCTACTGTGAGGGGAGACACCAACCCCCCCCCCCGCATTTCCCCGCTGGCCCTTCGCGACCCACAATCGGTTCGGCACCTGGTCTGAAGGGCTCGATGAGCACGTCCGCCTTCTGGCAGAGCCGCCTCAGCGTCTCGGCGCCCCGGGGCTGCTTCAGGTCGAGCGCCAGGGAGCGCTTGCCGCGGCCTTGCACGTCCGACGACACGGCCGCGCGGGGAGAGCGGTCCAGCCGCACCACCTCCGCCCCGAAGTCGGCCAGGATGAGGCCGCAGAGAGGCGCCGGCGCCAGGCCCGCCATTTCCAGCACCCTCACTCCGCGCAGCGCCATGGCCGAGAGAAAAGGAGGCAGGCAGCCTCTCCCTCAGCTCAGGCCCCAGCCGAGTCCGATTTGGCGCCTCCTCCTCGCCCTCCGGAGGGCTGAGCTCCCGGCGGCGGTTCCGAAGGTTAATCAGGCCGGTGCCTGCAGCGAGCCGAGGATACGATCCTGTGCGGCGGCCTTGCCAGGGAGCAAGTTACGTTCAGCTCAGTGGGGATTCCTGTCAGAGCAAACGTGCTTTTAGTAGGGCCCAGTCCATGGCACTAAAGAAGTGAGCGTGACTGAAAGGCATTGCCAAGCTGCGGCCCTGGGTGTACCCTGAAGAGGAAAGCCCCATGGAGTAAAGCGAGGTCTTATTATTGCTACATATTTATTTATATATCCCCACCTTTTTTTCCTCAATCAAGATGGCTTTCATAGAAGAACAAGAACAGCTAAAAACATAAGGCGGGAAAACATCACTAAAAACCGATTAAGCATGGATAGAAGTAAAGCTATACAGTGGTACCTCGGATTACATACGCTTCAGGTTACAGACTCCGCAAACCCAGAAATAGTACCTCGGGTTAAGAACTTTGCTTCAGGATGAGAACAGAAATCGTGCTCCGGCAGCAGCAGGAGGCCCCATTAACTAAAGTGGTGCTTCAGGTTAAGAACAGTTTCAGGTTAAGAACGGACCTCCGGAACGAATTAAGTACTTAACCCGAGGTACCACTGTATATGGTACATAACATCTGTTAAGACCATATGAAGAACTGCAGTAAAAAATGCATGGCGGCAGCCCTTTCAGTAAAAGCCAGTTCCCCGAAGCCTGTTGGAATAAGGAAGTGTTCCCTTGCCAGAGGAAGGACAGCAAGGAAGGAGCCAGTCTAGCTTCTCTAGGAAGGGAGCTTCTCCAGAATCTGGGAGCAGCTACTGAGAAGGCCCTGCCCCATGTCCCCCACCCAGGGCACACAGGGCCAAGCTGTGAGGGTGCAATCCTAAATAAAGCTTACTAGGCAATAAGGTAAGCTTGATTGAGCTCTGTGGGACTTGCTTCCGAGGAAGCATGCACTGGACTGGACTGGAAGGAGTGGTGTTCCTTGGAAATGTTGTTACAGGCAACTCCCCGTTTACTGGGGTGTGTGGGTACATTCCAGACCTCAGTGAAATGTGTGGAAATGGGGAACACCCTTGTGGCTTGCAAGTCAAAGCCCAAAGCAGCTGTCCTTGTGAGTCAGAGAAGCAATGGGGCTTTGTTGAGGCTGCTCAGCCTCCCTGCCTAACAGATGACGTACTAGATCTCTTCATCCAACGGCCCATTCGGCCCAATCAATATTTTGAAGTATTGGCATTAGACCCAGCTTTATAGTACAGTATGCTTGCTGAAGAATGTTTACAGTGGCAAAGCTGCCTTTTATGTTTCTAGACAATGAATAATCAAAGGAAGAGACCAGAGCATTTGCATTTCTGGTTCTTCATTAGATTGCTATTTTATTTGGAGGTGCTCTCCTGCCGATGGCAGATAAGCATATAATTTCTTTGAAGCAGGCGTAATTTTGTTGGATTTTTTCCCTTCCTTTTCCCCATCTTCCTTGACATTCAAAATGTTGTTCAAATTATTTTGAAAAACAAGCTGTGATAACAGGGAATACATTCTGCAAGGCAGCTTAAGCAAAATTACTGGCTTTGTCTTGGAAGCATTTCATGTGAAATAAACAAAAAAAACCTGGTTTTTATAGAAGCTCACACTACTACAACAAAAGATACACCTGTATGAGAATGGCCAGTGTATATTCACATCATGCCATTGTACACAGCACGACACTTCTTAAGATCCTGCTTGTAGAAATATAGGTAATAGTAACATGGAACAAACTGTATTAACTTTTCTTTTAAGGTTATGTTGCACTGACAATGTATTTTTTGTGCTTCAGTTCTTCCCCAGATCTCAGCTGGAGTATATCTTTCTGAATACAATCCTGGTTTTTCCTATCTTACAACCACTCCTAAAGAGTTCTGAAAAATCCAATATGGGTTATTCATTCGGCCTTCTCGATTTTCAGTGTACTGAGGAAGCAGTGTGGTATACAGGTTAGAGTGTTGGATCGGGAAAAAACAGGGTTCAAGTCCCCACTCAGCCATGAAATCCACTGGGTGACCTTGGTTCAATCACCATCTCTCAGCCTAACCTACCTCAAAAAGCTGCCCTGATGATAATATGAGTTGGGGGAGAACAAAGTATGTCGCCTTAAGCTCCTAAAATCTATATCCCACCTTATGAGAGAGAAAATAATTTTAATGTTGCACGCAAGAGATTTGTCCAAAGTGGTCTTTAATTAGTAAGTGATCAGTTTACAAAATAAGCAAATAAACACATTCATGACAAAAAATTCAAACTTGTTTCATTCTAGTAAGAGCTAGGGTCAAAATACTTTAATAAGAACTAATGACAAATTGATTCTGTTTTTTAAAGCATGCAAAAAATTGCTGATATACTTTAAAACATGAAGATTTTCAGTCGTGCAAACTAAACAAGCCTACATAGTAAAAAATAGTATATTCCTCATTCTACAAACTCCATTAAGTAAAAGTACTTGAATTTAGCCAACATACCTAACCATTCATACAGGATGAGTAAATCACTTTATAGACAATTCAATTTAATTTAGTTGTAGATCACCCAAAGCATACAAATCAAGATTTGAGCATTTATAAGGATAAAGAAGGCAAAAATTCTAAACTATTATTCTTCCTAAAATGGATGCACCAGTTAGCAACTAATTTTAACAGTTCAGAGGTCATGTTGTTATAATGGAACAGCTATGTATATGCACTTCCATATCTGTATTTCCATACTGGATCTGGTGCTGTGCGCAGAATAGGTGTGCTTCTGATTTTTTGTTATGGATGAAGGAGCTCAGAAGCACACATGAAGTTCCCAATGACTTCTGAATCAATTTGAAAGAAGAAAGTAGACCCACAGGCCTGTATGCTGAACAAATCCATACAAGTGTGAAGCCACATTGATTGGGGCCAAAGGCTGTAATCATCACAGCATTCAGCTATCTGGAATAGGATTTCAGATTTCAGTGGCAACAACAACAACAAGGAAGCATGCCTAACCTTTCTCATACCGCTTCATAGATTTAGACCCCAGCATACTGGTTTCAAAAAGGGCCCTGAAGTACGTTACCATGTTGTTCCAAAGGATAGAGAAAGCAAAGAGCAAAATCTGTCTTAAAATGTTAAGTCTATTTGGTTTCAAAAAGAAGAAACCCTGCAAAAGTGGAAAAGCGTTGATGATCCCCATGGAGTGCTCCATTGCCCATCCGCAGCCAAACTTCATCTCCCTTGGCAAGTTTCAGCACTGCGCTATTGCTTGATGAGTCAGTTTTACCTTTTGATTCATAGCTAAGAATAAAGAGAAGACAACAGGTCAACTTTCTATCTGTACATTATTATTTTGAACCAATCCCCCACTGTGGAAATAGGAGTCTAGTTTATTGATTTTACTGATTCTGTTATTTTAATCAAGCCTTTTGTTTCATTTGTAACATGCCCTAGGAACTTATGAAAGGTGGGAGAAAAATTTTAAAAATTAATGGGGGCGTTCAGGACCCGGTATCCCATTGAGTCCCACTGCTCATCTGTAATCCCCCTCTCCTAGTGTTGCTTTGCAGCACTGAAGCAGCAGGTTAGATGTTTAGGAGCATTAATTGCCTAGTAATGTAAAGTTCCAGCTGCAATCTTATTCAAATAGAATATTTGATTTAAGGCAAGCATCCCCAAACTCGGTCCTCCAGCTGTTTTAGGACTACAATTCCCATCATCCCTGACAACTGGTCCTGTTAGCTAGGGATAATGGGAGTTGTAGTCCCAAAACATCTGGAGGGCCAAGTTTGGGGATGCCTGATTTAAGGGCAAACCTGCCATTTTCAAAAATAGACAGCCATACACCAGGTTATATTGTCAATTTAGCCCATGGCTGGCTGTTCTTTGTGGCCTCAGCTCTCCTACCAAGGTCTTGTACATCACCTGCAAACTGACTGAATGTAGGACTTTGAAAGCCAAGTATGTGCTATCCTATTGGACAAAAATTTGGAAGTGTACGAAGTCCAGAAATGCCACTCAACTCACCTGTATAAGCTGAAAACTGTATTGCCATTGTGCATTAAATAAACATATACTTCCTCCACATCTTCATGCTTCATCATGTTGAAGGTGAAGAAATACACTCCTGAGAAACGATCATATAACTGATTAAATTGTTTATACAAAATAGTTCAGATGAGACAATTCTTACACAAGTTACTGCCCTGGCAAAGAATGTAACATACAAAGTGTTTCTGCATATGTCCACTTCCAAGAAAACATGGGTACTAACTACTAAGAAACTGGTTTTGATTCCTTGCATACCAATCCCTCTCTGAAACCTGTATCCTTGCCTAATGGTCTGAATTCTGTGAAGCCACAATGACTTCAATCAAAATAAAAATGGAATATTGGGTGAATCAATGATCCATAATATATTGTTAGAGATGTAAATTGCATTTGCTCTACTTCTTTCCTCAGAAAATAACACCCTATGCCAATTCCAATTGTATGCATAATTACTCAGAAGACCCGCTTAGTTCAGTAAGATCAATTTCCATGGTATGTATGATTCTGGCCGTAATCAAGCCAGTATTAAGAAGTCTAGGTGACTTCTTATAGAATCTGCTGTTCTTTATACTTACCATTCACGGGTGCTCCAAATCGACCAGTCATCACGTCAAAAAAATTTCCAACGTTGGTTTCAACACTACTGAAGATTATTCCACTGTTCTGGTTACTGAAATGGGTTGCCATTGAAGCCATAAATGCAACCTATACAAATACAGCTTATGTTTAAGCAGTAGTTACCAAGTAGGACAAAGACAAATTGGAAGGCATGGTTGGCTCAATCCATTCCTTATGGGCTTCTTCCCCACTTTGGTTTGGGACATATTTGCTTTAATTTCCTAAATGTACATTTAGGACCTAGGCCAGCTCTCAGCAAACTGTAGTGATAAAAGTCTCATTGGTTTATGTAAGAACAGAACTATTCATGTGCAGAAAATGAGACATGTAGACATGTGACTTCAGGGTAAACAGCTTGGTTTGAAATTTCACTTTAACACAAAAAGCACTATAGTGACTGGGTCCCCGGGGTGGTGGTGGTGGGGGGGAATTTTCTGCATCAAGTGCCATCTCAGCAGTTATGAGGAAGCAGGAAGAAATGAAGACCTGAGTTGTCTTCAGTTTTGTGCAAGAACTGAAAAATCGCAGAATACATCTGTTGAGCATAAAATTGACTTTCTCATTTTTAAGGACTAGGAATTACAGAGGCAGTGCCTGGGGGCATCTTAGGTGCCTAATGAAGGCTACAGTTCTAGATAAACTTACTTGAGCATATGTAGGACTTCTAAGTCAACATTGTAAAAGACTGGCCTGCCCTGGAAGTGGGGCTTCAGCACATAATAAATTGTGCAAGTCTACCTAATAAGCATGGTTTGTTTGTTTTTTAAAGTTGCAGCATTCAGGGGTTTTTTTTGGGGGGGGGTGCAGACTTAAAAGAAAATGTTTTTAGTGCAGAGCATCCTCACAAAATGTGGCTTTTGTCTACATAACAGCATTTTGGCATAAGCCATTAAAATAAAACCTTAAGATTAATTATGGAGGGACTAGAAAAATATGCTAAAATGTCTAAAATTTTAACTTTTACAAATTAGTTAAGCAAAATACAACTGATTCTATTTAATTTATCTGCATTATTTAAGTTGGCTATTGGAATGACAGAGGAGGGCTCAGTAAATTCTGCAAAATCGTTTTGCAGTGTAGAAAGTAAAAAAAAAAAAAGGACCTCAAAGAGCAATATTTCCCATTTTCATCACATAGATTTCTCTAGAACCGTCCATTCTGAATTACTAAAAACTTAATTCCTTTTTTGTTCCTACAATGGCTGCTTTCAGACTGTTATGTTTTGGCTTAATAAGATAAGAAATGAACAAACCTTATGGCCATTTACACAGTCTGTTCATGCAAGCCAGGGGGAAAAAACAGGATTCCCCAGCTGCTTATAGTTTCCTGTCTTATCAGAATCAAGAAACTGGTTAACAGATTCAAAACAAACCAGAATATTAAACCAACTTCAAACAATGACTTACTGGCTTGTTCCAAAGTGTAAACAAGAGTTTGCTGGTTCTGACAACTTAGGAAACTATAGTTAACTGGAAACTTCTAGGTTTGTTGTCATCATTTCTCTCAGAAAGGAGGAGATCATATCTCAGCTCATTAAGCAAATAAATGATCAGTGAAGTGTGGACTGTCAGTATTGGTGAAAGGATACTATCTGGGGAGACTTTTTCCACTCTCCAGAAAAGATTGCCGCTGGACAGAATGGTATGGATCCAGTTCATGTCCTTTCACACGTATTGTTTAGGTGGTGGCACATAACCCTGTGGACTAGCCTCCTCTCAAAAATTAGGCATACACCAACTATATTGGAGTTTTGGCAAATGACCACTCTGGATGCAACCCCATTGATGTTTCTAAGGAAGTTTACCTGAAGTTCTGGAGGGATGCCAGGGTAACCCTTTTCTCCCTTTGGTCCATGGTGGCCCCGCTCTCCTCTCAGTCCAATGTCTCCCTTGTCTCCTTTGTCACCTTTTGCTCCTTCAGTGCCAGGTGCACCATTATTTCCATTGTTTCCATGGTTTCCTTAAAACAAATCAAGGGATTTTGTGTGTGTGTGTGTGGTTTAAAGTTTCTTGGTTAAAAGCGCCACCCCTCCCAATTTCATTTTCTACTCTTTTGTCTAGAACAAATGATTTAACGGTAATCCACCTCAAGACACTTGTTCATGTGTTCAATTTTCTATTTCTGATTTCTAAGAAGTAGAAAAGCAGGTTGGGCACTGAGAAGAAACTGCATGGCTGGAAGAGCGTGTTTTATTAGGGTCTGTGTGGGAGGAAATGTAGAGCCGCAACAGAAACCAGCATGAAGCATGAGAGCAACACCCACTTAAGCCATCCATTCCAACAACACCTGAGGCCTCAGGTTCCTAATCCCTTCACTCATGATATTACAAGAAAGTAAACATTTTCTCGACCACATATAAAACAGCAATGATGGAAGCTCTCCTTGTTTGGCAATGGGTGAATTCCCTGGAAACAAACCATATCTTCATGATTACCGTATTTTTTGCACCATAACACTCACTTTTTTCCTCCTAGAAAGTAAGGGGAAATGTCTGTGCGTGTTATGGAGCGAATGCCTACGGATGGCGGGGGGATCTGCTGCAGTCGTGAGCAGAGGATCCCTTCCTTCCCTCCTCCGTGGCTTGCTTTGAAACAGCAAAGCGGGAGAGGAGAGGAGCCTTCTCCTCTTATACCCCTCTTCTGCATTATTAACAGCATCCTTCTCCACCCACCCCACGCGTGTTCCTTGTCCCTTGGGTGCTTTTTCTTCCCTCCCCACTTAAAACATGGTTACAAAGCACGGATCCACATGGATCCTCAGGATTTTTGCACTGGGTCACCCCAAATTCACCATCAGATCACATAGCATGTCCATGGCTACAGCTTGCACCAAAAAAATCACGCACATCATGCCTGGGGCTGCAGTGGTGCAAAAACGTGGTTACAAGCATGGATCCACATGGATCCTCAGGATTTTTGCATTGGGCTACCCCAAACTCACCGTCAGATCACATGTCTGTGGCCACAGCATGAACCACAAAAATCATACATCCGCTGTTTCGTTTAGAATATTTTTTTTTCTTGTTTTCCTCCTCTAAAAACTATGTGCGTGTTATAGAGCGAAAAATACGGTATATCTCATATGTTAGTAAGCCTCAAGGCCTAGCATACTGTGGGCTGATAACATCATTGGCCACCATTGGCGCAATAGGCCTAAGCCTGGGTATAGTGAGAGAGAGAACATGGAGCAGGGGCCTTTCTGGACTGATGGTTCCACAGAAGTCTGCATGAGAGAGACTAAAAAATAACACTCCTGAGATTCAGACAGTTCCAACTTTCAGCATCAGTCCCATATGTGGGATACAATTTCTGGGATAAATTTAATCAGTCAGTTGCTTCTGAAAAGACTGTAACAATGGCTAGAGGAAGAATGGGGAATCCTTTTGACCTAGAGGGCCATATCTCTCAAAGTTGTCCTGCAGGGGTGGGGGAAACAGCAACCAACCATGATTTAACTCCAAACATCATCTGATGTGCAGGTGATGCTCCTGGAGTTTAATCCTGCTTTCTGAAGGAATCTGCTGCGCTTCAACCTACCCCATACTTCATATTACATATAGCATCAGGTGTGGGGCAGGAGGTCGTGGTTTTGAGGGAAATGACTTTGTGAGTCAAATGAAGAGGCCCGGAGGACCAAATTTGGACCACAAGCCAAAGGTTCCTCACCCCTTGGCTACAGTAATGATCAGGTACTGAGACAACTTGAACCAAATTGATAGTCTTTAAGTTAAATAACGTGAAAAATGTTTAGAACTTGTATGTGGAACTGAAAATAAAGGGTTATAGCAAATGGTATCCCTTGTGCTGTTGGAAGATACTTCTATCAGCTTAACAGGAAGGGAGACAATTTTCATCAATTTCCCCTTCCCGCTATAGTCCCATCACCACCTTCCATGATGTTCTTCCAAAGTTCATCTAGAGCCGAAGGTGGGAGCATATGGAGAGAAGGAATAAGTGAAAATCACTTCCTTCCACTGATGAGGACCTCTCTGGAATCAAAGAAACTTCGACTAATGCAAGGGACACCACTGGATACAACCCATATCCTTTTTAGTTGCATGTTCTTTGAAGTTCATGATTAATTACATTAAGATGCACATCATTTTCTATGTTGAGATACCAGATTGAAGGGATTGTATGTACTGCTTTTTAAGTTAATGCATTGTATAATCTAAAAAATTACACCATCCTTTATTAGGTTGCCAAATCCCATGCCACTTCAGTCATCATTGGACATTTCTGTGCTTATGACTGAAATCATATACCACACTTTTATGGAATGAAAAGTTGGTGGCTGGTTCACATAATAAGCTCTATTCATCACTGTTGGTTTATACCAAAGGAACCACGCAATTTGTACTTCTTCTTTTTTTGCCATCCAAAGCTGCTTATAGAAGCACTTTTATGCAACTATGTCATACTTTTATTACTGGAAATTCTTATTGCTAAAGTACCAACAAAGAGCTAAAGAAAGTCTGCTGCACTATATGGACAGGATGTCAGACCTACTGCTGCTGCCAATGGCTTGTGGTGTGGGCGGGGGAGATTGACAGAAGAACAGTCTGGTTGCTACTTGCACGTTGTGCAAACACTCGCAGTTGCATAAACTGAGCTTTTAGGGCCAGAGCCGCATGGTTGTTAGCAAGACAATGCAAACAAAAACTCCTGACCCACTTTCCCAAGCATGCATCTTGCATAAGGACTGCAGGAATGAGCTGGGAGGTGGAGAAGGAAAAGAACAAGGCAAGGTCTATCACTGTACCAGACCTTCCAGCTCCATAGGAGTCTAGGAGTTTGGTAGGAGCGTAGTGCAGCACAGTATGCCTGCTGTTATCTTAGCAGCCCTCCAACAACCTGAAGCACTAACATTTATGCAACTTAAACTCTAATTTCCTTTACCTGGCATTCCAGCAGGCCCAGGGGGCCCTGGTGGGCCTTGATAACCCCGAAATCCAAAATCCCCCCGGCAGCCACATTCTGGTGGGCTTTGAGGTCCACTGTGTATAGTCTGCCAATACAAAATTCAGGAACAAAAACATTTTATAGAATATATCCACTGCTGCACATAGAGGCACACATACAACAAGGTACTAATCTCCCGCATGTATATTGCTATAGCCATGCTATTTTGTGTGTGCCAGATAGATAGGCCTGCCTTTCTTGGTTCTTCTGTTGTAAGCTGTTTCCTTTCAGACCATCAGTGATTGGCCTGTCAGGTTCTTTGTCAATAATCCATAGTGGAAATCCACATCTCAGCAAAAATATATGTGCAGCAGAAGTGCTAGAGAGAGTACTTTAAGAATGGGCCCAAAGAGATGGACTTGGTTGGGAACATTTACAAATAAGTGGAAGCAGCTTAATGGACTGATTGATACTGCTGTGAAACTGGACCTTCTTGCATCCATGCTTACTATTTGCTGCCTGCTCATTGTGTGTGTGTGTGTGTGTGTGTGTGTGTGTGTGTGTGTGTGTATGTGTGTGTTTATTTAACAGAATTTGTATACTGCTTAATTATAAAAACATAAAAAATACATTAAAGTTACTTATAAAAAGTCAGAAATGGAAGACGAGTTGGCCTATTTCTTTTTCAAAATACAAGTAAGATCAGCAGTTATAAATTACATTATAAAAATATATTAAAATGCTTGTCAACTTTACATACCTGTAAATAAATGTTTAGAAATTATAGTGCTGCAACCCAATCAAAGAAATTGTAATTAATCATTTGAGCTTAAGCTTATTAATCAATGGATCTATTGATTAAATTTCCATAAATCTGTATATAGCCCCCCCTTTAAAGCAAGAAGTGTGCTTTCTTTGTTTTTACATGTTGTAACAGGCATCATCTTGGAAGAAGCATTACCTCCTGTGTGTCAGAAAGAAGATGGAATCATTTTTTAAAAAACTGAAACCCCACCTTCTTTTAGTCACAAAAGTTTGGTATCTGGTGGTATCTTATAGTAATAAATAAAAATGCATTCTTGCATGTAATAGCACAGTCAGTAGAGCATGAGACTCTTAACTTTAATCTCTTAATCTTAGGGTTGTGAGCTCCGCATTGTGCAAAAGAGCACTGTGCTGTAGACGGTTTTGGCTAGATGACTGTTGCAGTCCCTTCCAACTCTACCATTCTATGATACAGACACCGCTAAATGCTCAAGGGAGGTGTGTATTTGTGTGTAGGAAATACAGGTAATAACGGGGATCTGCCGGAACCCAATATAAATGTCATGAGCATGCATTCCTTGAACAATTTTTCTGGGTTCAATCAGAGCAGATGCGGACACCGTTGCACCAGATGGAGCAGCCATGAAATTTGAACTTAAGCTTGGATTTTAAATTGACAGTTTGCACTTGGGTAGAGATAGTCAAGCGCTATGCATGGTAACCAGAACTGAAGGGTGAAAGTACATTTAAATTGCCTTTTCTTTTTTTTAGCAAAATACATGGGAACAGCTGTTGGGAAGGGATTGGTTCCCAGCTTCTGCTGAGAAAAGCACATTCGAAACTGATGCAAGGCGTGTGTGTTTTCTAATCTGCTTGCCTTGTTGCACTTATCTGAACTAATCTCCATGTGTTGAACAACAGCTTCCTTTGTTAATTACTTGTCTGTATTTGCTATCTGAAAATCCTTCAGTTGGTCATTAATATTTGCGCAGGCAGTTCCACTAATCAGTACAGATACAAACATGTCAGGAGGCATGAAAACAACCAGTCATTAGCTTCTTGCCTTATAAATTAGCCTGAGGAGCCAAGGGCAGAATCTGGAAGAATTAGAATATTTGCTGCCATGCCTTTCTTACCATCTATGTTAGGGCCATAGTGCATAATACATGCAAGTGCAGCCCAAAAGTCCTTTTTGCAGAGAAGTGCATGGGGTGGTTAACCCTTTCCCTGCCCTTCCTCTGAATATTTCCTTCCTCTTAATATTCGATCACATGTGGCTCTTCTCCCATAGAGGTTTTCCCAAAACATATCTCAATCCACAATCCAATTAAGTCAAAGTACCGGTATTTGGATTGAAGACATTTCAGTACCATTGACATCAATGAAGCTAAAGTCAGTTTTACTTTAGATAGCTCTTTTGCTTCGGTTAAATCCAGTTGTGAAGTATCCAGATTTTTACCCTCTTGGTTGACTTCACAGTCCATACAAACTGATGTTATAGCTCTTGCAAGTACTATTCCAAACGTGGCAAAAGCGTTCAGACCTCCTTGCCTCAAACTTTGTTGCAGATAACACTTCCATTAGAGGCTGGACTGGCTTCAAGAGTTAATAGAATGTTTTGAGTACAGGTAGTGGTTCCGCATTTACGGAGGTCTGAGATCAGCTAAATTCATGAGGTTAATCCTTAAATATGTGCTGTTAATTCTTCCTTTAAAAATATAAAACTGCTAAGATGTCTGTGGTGGCATACTTTAATCCAGGGATAGGGGTTGATGCTGTTGGGCTCCAACTCCCAGTAGCCCCAGTGACTATGTTCAATTGTTAGGGGTGATAGGAGCTGAGCTCCAGCATGATCCAGAAGGCTGCAGGAACCTTATCCCTGTTTTAATTTCTCTTGCTGGATGAAATAAATGTTTCTGATTATTGTGTCACTGCGCAGGCTTCATTGTTATAATTTTTAAAACAATATGTATGTCTTACTGTTCACAACTTTGAGGATTCTCCCCCCGCCATTGATAAATAGGCAAGTTTCTCAGTAATTAAATAAATAACACTTAAAAGAAAATAACCAGTATGTATTTCTATAAATAAAGTATTATATGTGCACAGTGTTGAACAGTCTAACCTACTGCTCACTTGAACTAGAGATCATATTTTAAAGCCAATTTTAGTTGCATTGGTCATCTTAAATGAAAGTCAGATGAATCATAATAGCAATTAATAATAGTGAAACATACCAAATATATCTCTTAATGCAAGGCTAACTGAGTTGAGGATGGAGTCAAGAACATGTTAAATAATCTCATACTAACTGAACAATTTTCTCTGCGTTAAAAATCACCGGTCCATCAGCCTTTTGGTTTTCCTTCACCACTCTTACACGGCAATCCTATAAAGGACTACTCAGGATCAAGCTCCATTTTCAACAGGGCTTACTCTCTATTAAGTGTGTATAGGATTGCAGCCTTAATTATATAACATATAAAATGCATTGCAAACTCCTGAAGAATATATTTACCCCCCAGAATTATACAATATTTCATTTGTCTGACCTGGTTGATAAAGAATTCAAATGTTTGCACACTGTGCAGAATTTTCATATTGAATGAATAGGAACTTTTATACCCTGGATTTCCAATAAAACGATAGTTTGATATAGCCAAAGTTATGCAAGCCTTATTCATCTCAATGGGAATTAGAAGCACTTAACATTGGCTGGATTGCACCCTTAGGCTGCAGCCACACTAGGCTAGGGAGTAAGCTCCATTGAACTCAGTAGGACTTGCCTCTGAATAAACATGCATAGGATGGGACTGTTAGCATGTTCAAAATACCCTGATACAATGAATGAGAAAATTAATGTAAAGGCATTTGATTGCATGCAAAAGACAACGTTTACTCTGAATGAAAAACTGCTGAAAATCCTCTGTAACTATCCTGTCTTACGCTTGCTTGGTTAATTAAACAAATTTGCACAAATAGTCACAGTTTCAGCCTGCATTTTCAATAAACCACTTCTTTAAAAAGTAGTGCTGGTTGTCTCATATAGCAAAACAAAATCCCATTCATTAACTTTCTAAACGTCGTAGAATATTAATTCAGAGTACCTGGACTCTGTTTGAGGTAGTCTGTGCTACATCATCTACCTCTGGTTTCAAGGCATTTTGGTCAGGAGAAGGGCTATTACCATCATCATTCTCAACCGTCCACTCAACAAGTCGACTCCGCTGTCTGAACAATTCCCTGCTGCTGGAACCTTTTTGACCAGTCTGGTGGTGACTTTGCAAGACTTTGGCCACTGGGTTATTATATCTTCTGCTCACCTCCGTGTCTTCATCTTGGCACAGGCAAAAGCGAAGCAACAGAAGCAAAGCCAGGAGACTCCAATTGAGGAAATCCTTGGATGCCATACTATTCAACATAGCAAGGTCTCAGGAGTTCAAGTGCCTTTTAACAAGGGAAAGATCTGCCGTTGCCGTGATGTGGTCTTTCAGGCTATTCCCCACTATTAAGCCTGGCAAGAAGACTTGGTTACCGCAGCTTTATATGCTGTGTGCAATAAATTATACTATGAAAATGTCAGAGTGGCAGGAACCTTCATCCCAAATCGGTCATGCTTCCTTAAACAACCCAGTCATTATTCACCGCATCCCCCCACTGCAGGGAAAATTGATTTGTATGCTGGAAATGGCCACTGTATTTAATGGGCAGCTGTGGTTCCTATTTGGGGGCACTGACAAATGTTGCTCCTTTTTCCTCCGTTTTTGGCATGTTTTCACTTTAGTGTGATGAAATGAGATGGAAATGAAGAACATGTGGCAAATGTTTTAAGCTCCTTGATTAGACATGGAAAAGCTGGGAATTCAGACTTTTAAAAGGTCTTCTGGACTTTGGATAGAGTCCTCCAGCCGTTGGCCAGAAACACACACACATACACAAAACACTATCTGTTCATTCTGAAAAAAATATATTAATGTACTGGCAATTAGGAAACAAAAGCACAAGGGGAGATTTTTGCCCATGATTTTGACTTGCTGGTTGAATCTTACTACACTTCCTCACTTTAGAGCAGTCAAATGTTTGCTTGTGTGCTAGTTGCGGATGGAGAGTGGAAAACTGGAGACTGAAAACAGACAGTTGAATTCAGGCTCATATTGAGTCCCAGTTCCCAGAGCAAAGCTTGAGCTTTCTGCTTAAACATCTCCCCCCGCCTCTAATTTCTGAAGTTTTTCTAGAGGCGGTTGCCAAACCAAATTCAATTTTCCTGCCAAGAAAAGATAGATGAACATGAACTTAAGAAGCATGTTTCAGGCTTATAAATGATCATGTCCCTATAAAATTACCCCGTGATTGTAATCTGTACTTACATTGAACCACATTTTGTCCATTTATTCAATTTAGGGAGATGCTTTGGAGCACTTCACAATCTCATTTTAATGTTCCTCTGAACTTACCCACAAATAAACATCCAGGATACTAAAAATACAAGAGACCCTCCAGAAAATATTTCCAGCTTCAAGTCATTTTACGAAATAGAGGATTTTCATTGGAGAACAACATGCCTATACCTATAGATTAGAGATGTCATCTGCCTTGATCTTCTCTGGAGCTGGATAGCCAAGAAAATCATGCCCAAAGTCAAATGTCTTATATACAGAGCGGGTGAGAGACAGAAGGGAATACACAGTGGCTCAGCTCTTTAGAAATATCATGTGTAACGCCATATGGCAGGGACATCCAACTCCCAATAGACTGTGATCTACTCACAGTATAATAAACTGGCAGTGATCTACCCATTGCCACTTTTTTTAAAGCAGCCACAGTTGTTGAGCTCTTTTGGGAAAGGCAAAGTTGTTGAGCTTTGTTTGGGGGGGTGGAGATCACTGAGGGGCCAGAGATCTACCAGAATCATCATCATCATTTTTAATCTGTATATCGTCCTTCTATCTTACAGTACTCAAGGCGGTTTGCAAGCTGAAGAAACAAAATATGTACATCTTAAAACAATCTAATGCAATACAAAAATGTGATAATAAAACAAAACTTTAAAATAAGCAACCTACATCAAAAAAGTAACATTCAACAATTATTAGAATAGTATAAAATAATAATATCAACATATAAAAGTTAAACAGAAATCCACTCAACAGTTACAATAAATAATTTCTAAACTATAATCAATAAAACAACGGCAAACCACAGTACATAAAATAATACAATACAAATTGAGAAGCAGAGACTAGAGGGTGGGGCAAGGCAGGTGGAAGGAGGCCTTGCCTGATGGAGTCTCTCTCCTCACCTGTTGGACATACCTGCCATATGGCATAGAACCTACCACTGAATAAACATGCATAGGATGGAGCTTTTAGCATGCCCCTAACACACTGATACAATAACTGAGAAAATTAATGTAAAAGCATTTGATTGCATGCAAAAAAACAAGTTTACTCAATGAAAAGCTGCAGCTGTTCCTCTGTAACTATCCTGTCTTGTGTTTTCTTGGTTAATTAAATGAATTTGCATATAGTCACAATATCAATATGCATTTTCAATAAGCTATTTTTCTTTTAAAAGTAGTGCTTTATATGATGTAATCTGAACTGGTGGCAACTGACCAGGACAGGGATCTTGGAGTCATGTTGGACCGCTCAGTGAAAATGAAATTCATCAAAGGCAACTAAAAGAAGTGCAAGCTACCTAGCTGGCTGGTTCGCCTATCATGTATGAAGTTGCAAGAGAAATTGATTTTGGGGAGATAATTTGCCATGAAAAAAGGCCAGGGGGGAGAGTGGTTTAAAGGGGAAATTTCTGTTTTTGTAAAATGTCTGCAGCCATGCTGATCCATTCAAAGCTGAGTTCTGGGAGATTCAGGACAGGAAGGAAGTCCTTCTTCACACAGCACAGTCAAAACTACTGTAGAGAATTCACTACCATGAGACGTGAAGGCCACCAACTTTAAAAGGTAATTAGACAAATTCATGGAGGATAGGGCTGCCATGGGGAAGCAACAGCAGGAGAGAACTATTGCCTTCTTCTGGGCTTCTTAGCATAGCTGTCAACTTACAGATTTGAAAATAAGGGACCAGCAGCCTCGAAAATAAGGGATCAGCAGCCAAAATAAGGGATTTTCAGAGCACAGGTATGTTCAACTTCTGAGCCCCTCTGAGCCAAAGGCAGAAAGCCCAGCCAGCAGCCAAACGAAGCCTCAAGCAGTGGTTCCCACAGTGCAGCAACCCGGCAAAGGGGATGCAGCAAGGAAAACCACCATCACCTCTCCGCTGGGAAGCGCTGAGCAAAGGCGAGTCCCCGGGCAACCCGGCCAATTTGATCGGCACAAGGCATGCAAGCTCCACCCCCAGTTGTTCTTAGACTCCTTATTGGGTGAGCAACGCAGCCAAGCACCGCAGTTGGAGCCTCCCTCCTCCCTGGCCGGCAGGGAGGGAGAGGAGCTGCTTCCTTTGAAACCCGGGAAATTTAAGGGACATCATCAATAAGGGACAGCAGCGGGACACAGGGGTGGGATAAGGGACTTTCCTGCCAAATAAGGCATGGTTGACAGCTATGCTTCTTGGAGGCATCTGGTTGAACATTGTGGGAAACAGGATGTTAGGCAAGAGAGATGTCTTGGTTTGATACAGCAGGGCTCTATGTTAAGTTCTTAAGTTGCAATTCTCTGTAAATAGCAGTATGAAGTACTAGTTACAAAGAAATTCAGATTTTAGGAGCTATGGCCATCTCATTATTCTCCTCCCCCCCCCCCATTTCTTAGTAGGAACTGGATGTTCTTGGTAGCCAATGGTTAAACCCCAGGAGTTCATAGACATATGGATGAGTCAGAGAAAACACGAATACCCTTGGCACTTAACAATTTGATTCAGCAAACACAGGGACAGCACTGCTGTTTTCAGCTGGTGATAGCAATTTAACAGCTTGCCAAATGCTGTTCTGGAGTTTCCTGTGGCATTAAAGCGCAAAACGTTTCCAGATGAGTAATGCCCATTCAAAGCACACATAAATGGGGAAGGGGAAGACGAAATCAAAGAAGGTATGGTTTCATGGTTTTCTTGCTTGAGCAGAATCTGAAGTAAGCATGATTTTGACACAAAGGCTGTGATCTTCCTTGCACCCTAATTATTGTTACATGCCACCCCAATCTCTGCTGAGCAGCAGCAAAATTCCAGGGGTTTCCAGCACTCATTCAGGGTTGTGTTTCCTCTAGGAGTTTATTTTATTTATATGGGGTACTTTGGGAAGTTAAAATGGCAGCTCACGGGCACCCAGTACTCCTTGAAGCACTGCTATTGTCTGGTGCTATTGCCAGGTGAGCATGTCACAGTCCACCAATATATGGGGGGGCTCACCAGAAGATACATTGCTCTGTACAGCTTCAACCTGAAGCCAGCTCTCTTCTCTCTCCTGCACCAAAATCTGCCAAATCCTAATTCCCTACCCACCCTAAATTACCAGGTCCCAACCTTGACTCAGCCGATGGGATGACCAACCAAAACCAACCCCTTGGGTCTCCCAAGTGATTGCAGAAAAACCCAAACAAATTGACTAACAGAAAGGAAGCTATCAGGCAGTAGTGTGACATTTTAATTTTGAGTTCTGTCTTTGTTTAAAACACATGGGATTGTGACACTTAAACTATTGCCTCTATAAGAAATAAGCTGCAGAAGAAAGGGAATTCTAGGACACACAGAAAGACAGACATTATTTTAGCCACAAAGATAGAAAAGTTTGGATGAAACTTCCAGATTGGATAGATGTTGGTTAGATGTCCCCATTTATTTCTGTGGGTAATTCTGACTTCTGCCCTGGGTTAGATTTAAAATTGACTTCCTTCCAGTGAAATTCTCTATCCATATACAGTGGTACCTCAGGTTACATATGCTTCAGGTTACATACGCTTCAGGTTACAGACTCTGCTAACCCAGAAATAATGCTTCAGGTTAAGAACTTTGCTTCAGGATGAGAACAGAAATCATGCAGCGCCGGTGCAGTGGCAGCAGGAGGCCCCATTAGCTAAAGTGGTGCTTCAGGTTAAGAACAGTTTCAGGTTAAGTACGGACCTCCGGAACGAATTAAGTACTTAACTCGAGGTACCACTGTAATGAAATGAGCCATTCTCGGCTTTTTCTTTAAAAAATAAGGTGTTTTTATCAATAAATACATTATTGATAACAAATTAACGGTAATTATGCGAACCTGGAGAGGGGAGCAAAAAAGCATTGCCTAGGCTGTTTAGGCTTTTGCACAGCTCAGCAATATTATAATAATTATTATTAATTTTATACTTCCTGAACATTTATCTCTACCATCTGCAAAATGTGGTTAGCCTTCCCATAAACATGTGTTCGGTTGTTTCTGATCTTTAGTAATGTGATTGTGGGAAAGGGAACTATAAAATTTTAAACCTCCTGATCAAATTGTACCAGATGTTTACAGCAATCTGAACCCAAGACCAGAAAAATTATTAGTTTCTACCTCTTTAGTAGGGAAACAATGACTTTTCAGGTTTTTGTGTGTGTGTGCAAATCTAATATACCATAGTTTGATCAATAGGTGTCAGTGCTTTAGTTTTCTCTCTCACCACTCCTGTCACCAGACGTCAACAGATTTTCAAACCTAAGGTTGCTGCTTCTGCTGCTGATTACATTTATACAATAAAAATTCTCAAAGCGCCTTGTCAGGTTGCAACTTTTTAAGTTGTTCTGGTCCTTTGCCTTTTGCATCAGTCTAATATGCACCAATTGATCAAGTGAAATATTCTCTGTCATTCTAGCTTCATACCAGGAAAATCTTTGTCTGCTAAATTTAATGTGTCAAACTGCTGTGAAGGAAATGGGGGCAGGCCCTGGAAAGAAAGGCAGATGGATAGCAAACCTGTTCAAATCCAGCAGTTCTGCAATCTATAATCATGACATTTCCAAAATACAGAGCCTTGGAGATTCCTGGTTAATAGGAGGCTGTTGGGCAGACACCTGGTTTTCCAAACAGCAAATTTCCTCAGTTCCTTCCTGAAACTATCCAAGCCACAGATTATGGGACAAAATCCAATGAGTAACACCAGAGCTCCGTCTCAGAAAGTTGCCTGAAAAGCCTCAAAAAGCCAAAGCAAACAAGGCTGCATGCTGGTAAATTAACTTTTTCTATTGCATCAGATATAGCTCAACAGAACTGCCGATCAAGAAAAAGTTGGCCATATTTTGCTAAGCTGGCTGCTTGGTCAAGGATGATTGGTTGATTTATTAGGAGACATTTCCTGAATGGGCAGTCTACCTGCGGGTTGGGCTCTGAGACCAGTTTCTGCCTATACGTGTGGTAGAACAGAAAGCAGTTGCAGTCTGATTTTGAACAAGGAGTGAGTCAGACAGCCGGGACGTCGTCCCCCCCCCGCCCCGGTGTTAGTAATGGTGGTGCAGATGCAAGATACTGTTGTTCTTTAGGAATCTGTTGCAGGACCATTGGTTATGCTGCCTTCTTTAGAAGTCTGCTTGCTTCCAATATGTTTCACAAGTATATTTGCAAATAAAAAAATATTAAGAAGATACGCCAATCCTTCAGTGGTTTCTCTTGTAGGCAACACACAATGATAAACCATAGTTCATAATCAATGATGATTAATGCTCCTAACTGTGTCATCCAGGGAAGGAAACAAGCTAGAATCTGGCTCATCATGACATGCAAAACTCAAGAGGTAAGCCAAAAACAAACTTTGGCTTCCACTGGTGGTTTATTTGGAGATAACTAAGCCACAACGATGTGTTCACACATCACAATGACCCAAACTCTGTGTTGTTTCCTCCCATATATGGCATGGAAAGGAGCAGGGAAGGTTCAACCAGTGTGGTGTAGTGGTTAAGAGTGGTAGACTCGTAATCTGGTGAACCGGGTTCGCTTCCCCACTCCTCCACATGCAGCTGCTGGGTGACCTTGGGCCAGTCACCCTTTTCTGAAGTCTCTCAGCCCCACTCACCTCACAGAGTGTTTGTTGTGGGGGAGGAAGGGAAAGGAGAATGTTAGCTGCTTTGAGACTCCTTCTGGTAGTGATAAAGCAGGATATCAAATCCAAACTCTTCTTCTCTTCTTCTTCCTTCTTCATATTGGACCTAGCTGTGATGACTTTCACATTTTGTCGCTAACTTTGGGAATGTTTGTCTTGGCTTTTAAAGCAGCTAATTCTTCATTTCCTGGCAGGGCCTTGATTGTCCCAAGCTTACTTCCTTGAATCAAGCAGTATAGTCCACTGGATGGAACTGGATTTGGAGCTGAGAGCTTCACATGCAAGGTGCCCCTCTCTCTCTGGGGCTCAACCTGTGATTTCTGATATCAAATCCAAACTCTTCTTGAACCACAGTTTATTTTAAATTATGGTTTAAGGTTGATGCTTGCATGGAAAGCTGCTAGGTCACTTATCTCACTCTCAAAGTTTCTCCATATGCATTGTTGGAGTGTTGTGGCACCAAGCAATGGGGAAGGGGCTCCCAAGCGGTTGTGTAAATGAATCAGGCCTTCAACTTTGGCTTAAAAGAGAGTGTCATGGTGATTTACTAATATTGGCGGACTGATATTTTGTGGGCTGCTCCAAGCAACTTTTGTATAATAATTCTTGCCCATATTACTAACTTGACAAAAAAATACCACATACTAAACACACACACACACACACACACACACACACACCCTTCTTCCCTAACTGTTCTTTGCTGATGTTGGAACTTCAAAGATTTAGCCAATTAGGCTCCCTAGTCATGACCTCCTGTAACTTAAACCGGGCATGTCTCTTCTTGAGTTATAGGTGACTGGCATCTTCCTACGCCTGAAATATTTTCCCAGGAAACTCCTACCAGAAAGAAAAAGACTGCCCTTATCCTTTCCACCCCCACTACAGCTAAGGAATGGGGCTTGTGTCAGAAGTTAGTTTAGTAAGGACCGTGGGAGAAACAGCTATGCAGGCACCATCATCAAAGGGCTGGGAAAGCATCTAAGCCCTGAGCAAAGGGATAGACTTGTCTCCTTCAAACCACAGCTACAGCATTGCATTGTGTGCACCCAGGGCTGGATTAAGACCTTTAGAGGCCCTAAACACCTAAAAGGCTTTGGTGCCCCCATATATATCTGATTCAAAATATAAACAATAGTAAACCATAAAATAGATTTTTATTTTTGGAAATGAAACAAAACCTACTGTAGGATGGAAAACAATGTTTATTTTTGTATACTTCCACTTTATTATTTGAATTTTTTTTCTCCTACTGTTTCTAATGGCAAAGTCTTATATCAGATCCTCAAAACTAACCTTATGTAATACACCAGCTTCTATACTTAGATGAGATAAAGCACCCAGCCTGCCTTGTTGCATAGTTGTTCTGTTGGGATTTTTAATATACCTCAGCCAAGAAAACGAACACTCAGCAGAGCAATTTGTGACCATTAATATTAAAAATCTGGCAATGGAAAGTTTCTGTGGTGCTTCCTTGCCTTGATGCCCTAAGCGTGTGCTTGTTTTGCTTAATGGTTAATCCAGGCCTCGGTGCACCGCTTCAACAGCGTAGCAACTCCTAGAATTTGACCATATGCCTGCAGAATTTGTCCCTTTTCTCATTAAAACATCGCTTCTGCCTGAAAATTATTTGTCACAAGTCTCAAACAGGCAGCAGCTGTGGAATGTCCACCTTGTGTCAGCTTTTTCGGTTGCCATCTGTTTGCTGAGCTGTTTGCTGTTTAAATTGTTTCCTGGGAAAAGAACTGATTTAAAATAGGATTCTTGCCAGGTCACGGCCATGAGGGCAATTCAAGTGTTAGGTTGAAGAAATCCTGACTTGTGTGCATTCCTTTCTAGTCATGTAGTTCAGCAACAGTTTTGCGTGGTGCACATTACAGTGGGATACAAAAAAGGCAGACTTTGCAGCGTGCCACTAAATGCAGCCTATTCCAAGGAAGAGGAGCCAGGGCCCTGGCATTATTGTTCAAGTGGCAGGGAGAGCCAGCAGTGCCCAGATACTGGAAGAAGCCAAAAAATACTGTGATTTTTAAATGGATAGTGTGCACACATACAAACACAGGGCTACTACAAGCCCCACATTGGGCAAAAGATTTCTGCATTGCAGGGGTTGGACTAGATGTCCCTCATGGTGCCTTCCAACTCAATTCTATGATTCTATTAGGCTATGCTAAGGTATTGTGACTGGCTTGAAGTCACTCAGTGAGTCTCACCCTGAATTCCTGGGTCCTAGTCCATTGCTCTAATCCCTAAACAACACTGGCTCTCCAAACTGTCCAAATAGTGTGCTCAGATTTGTTTATTACTTTTCAGAGATGCATCTGATCTGAAAGTAGCCTAGCCCATGCAATCGAAAGTGTCCTTCAGGGCAGGTTAAAAAATGATAGTGGGGATGGCAACCACTCACTTTTTCACCCTATCTACAATTACCTTATTTTTTGCTCTATAAGACGCACCAGACCACAAGACGCACCTAGTTTTTGGAGGAGGAAAACAAGAGAAAAAAATATTCTGAATCTCAGAAGCCAGAACAGCAAGAGAGATCTCTGCGCAGTGAAAGCAGCAATCCCTCTTGCTGTTCTGGTTTCTTGGATAGCTGCGCAGCCTGCATTCGCTCCATAAGACGCGCACACATTTCCCCTTACTTTTTAGGAGGGAAAAAGTGAGTCTTATAGAGCAAAAAATATGGTAATCTGGCATGGGACCCCTGAAAATTCCCCAAATGTATGGGAAATCCTGTTGTCTTTGTCCATGAAGTTTTCTTGGCAGGGATATTGGAGTGGCTTGCCGGTTCCTGCTCCAGGTGGATCACATTTGATCAAAACTCTCCACTATGACCTGTCCATCTTGGGTGGCCCTGCACGGCATAGCTCATAGCTCCTCTGAGTTATTCAAGCCCCTTCACCACAGCAAGGCAGTGACATCTTAAAAAGCAGAGACATCACCTTGCCAACAAAGGTCCGTATAGTTAAAGCTATGGTTTTCCCAGTAGTGATGTATGGAAGTGAGAGCTGGACCATAAAGAAGGCTGATCGCCGAAGAATTGATGCTTATGGATTATGGTGCTGGAGGAGACTCTTGAGAGTCCCATGGACTGCAAGAAGATCAAACCTCTCCATTCTGAAGGAAATCAGCCCTGAGTGCTCACTGGAAGGACAGATCCTGAAGCTGAGGCTCCAATACTTTGGCCACCTCATGAGAAGAGAAGACTCCTGGAAAAGACCCTGATGTTGGGGAAGATGGAGGGCACAAGGAGAAGGGGACAACAGAGGACGAGATGGTTGGACAGTGTTCTCGAAGCTACCAGCATGAGTTTGACCAAACTGCGGGAGGCAGTGGAAGACAGGAGTGCCTGGCGTGCTCTGGTCCATGGGGTCACGAAGAGTCAGACACGACTAAATGACTAAACAAATGGGAAATGTGAGTGCATTATTTGTGGATGCAGGGGATCTGTGTGTGCACTTTCCCCTGAGGTTTTTCTAGTCAACAGCAGAGAGACAGACAAAGGAAGAGAGAGTCAGAGCAGGTTTCAGGCTCATCTGATGTTCAGTGCATACTGACTCGTAGTTGTGCCAGGAGGGGGCGCTGTGGTGCAGAGCTGGCAGCCCAAGCTTGACTTGGTGGTTGTTCTCTGGGGGATTCTGTGCTGAAAAGAGATGTGCTGACCTCTTTGATTTCAATGTTTCTTGCTGTTGTGGATCTAAAGTCTTTTTCATCTTTAGCATCTGCTTTCCTTGTCTCATATTAATAAAATAGCTTGTGTGTCCATACAAATAACCTACCGATGCCTTTGAAGAATTCCAAATTAGTAAAATACATATTGCTTGTTTAATTAAAATGATCTCCTCCTGTTTACATGCACTCCTCACATTTTGCAATACTCCTGTCGATAGAAATAATTCTCCGTACCTATGACACAGATCCTGCATATTGCTCTTGGTGCAGATATTGTACAACCCCCTTGTATACCAGGTGCATCAGTCAGAAGTTTCTAAGAAAGTCTCGGCGCCTCTCCAAAACATTTCCTTTCAGCAAATCTAAAAATGGAATCCAACCAGTTTATACAATAACTTTTCGACAGACACAAGCACTACATGGGAGGAGGTGGGAGGCTGTCACCAAACAGTTAATCCAGTTAACTGTCTAATACTAAATAGCTCAGTTGGTTGGAGCATGGTGCTGATAACGCCAAGGTCACAGGTTCTTTTTATATATATATATATGCTTTTTATTGAGTTTTCATTTTAAATACACCAACACCAACAAACAAAAACATCAAGTCTTATTACAGGTATCCTACTTTATGCTCCGTGGAGCCATTGACTTCCCTCCTTCCCTTCCGCAAGTTTTCTTATTCCAATCTTTAATTCACAGTTTCATTAGTTAAAGATTACACCATGACATAAGATTTACTTCAGTCCTGCTAACGTACTTGCTGATAATTATCATAACAGTTCGTGACACTTATATCAAACCATCAAGAGTCAGTTACTCCATTGCGTCTTTGGATACTTTGTAAGGTCCATTCATCTTTGACGTCACAGTTATCCTTGTCCCTAGCTTGTAGTCAGTTTTGCCATTTCTGCGTACTCGACCAACTTTGTCTGCCATGATCCTTTACAGTCGGTATCTCCTGTGTCTTCCATCTTTGTGCTATCAAAACTCTAGCTGCTGTCGTCACATACAAGATGTTTTCAGTCTTTTGGTCTGATCTTCTCTAAAAGATGTATTAAATATACTTCAGGTTCCAAACAAATGTCTGAATGGAACATTGTCTGCTAGTCGTTATATATGTGCCGAGAGTGATACTTAAGCCCACCAGACATGGCCAAGTGTCCATCAGGTTCAGTCCTACATATATTTGGACTAGCTTGCATATCCTTGCATTGCAAGGGGTTGGACTAGATTATTCTCAGGGTCCCTTCCAGCTCTACAATTATATGATTCTTTATGTGTGGAGGAAAAGAGATAAATCACTCGCTCCTCATTGTATCTTTTTCAGGCAGACCAAAATCCTTCTAGCGTCCTGCTCCAAGGACTTCTTTAATCTTTAGACCTCTCAGTCCTTATCACCAGAAGAGTCCAGCTGGATAAGGCCAAAGGTCCAACTAATTCAGTATCCTCTTCTCACAGTTACCACAGTGGTATACCTGATGCACAGTTCCCTGCAAGTCAAGGAGACAGAGAGCAGATTTTTATGGCTTGAGAAAGAAAGCAAGTTCCACTAGAGGGCAGTCATGTCTAAATATCAGCAGTAAATCTGCCTGAAAGCAAATAACTGGAGACCTCTTATACAGTGGTACCTCTGGTTACGAACTTAATTCGTTCCGGAGGTCCGTTCTTAACCTGAAACCGTTCTTAACCTGAGGTACAACTTTAGCTAATGGGGCCTCGCGCTGCCACCGTGCAATTTCTGTTCTCATCCTGAGGTAAAGTTCTTAACCCGAGGTACTATTTCTGGGTTGTGGAATCTGTAGCCCGAAGTGTTTGTAACCTGAGGTACCACTGTATTAGATACATTTCTAACCAAGCTCCATGCTGGGACATGTAATTGTCTCTTGGATTAGAATCATGGATAATTGCTCAGTAAATGCACAGTATAAATTGCAATGTGATGTAGCTGTAATCACCACTGGAGCTTGCATTCTCTATTGTTCCTGATTGCTATAATCCCTATAGTGTAGTTTTCCAAAATTTACTCCACTTTTTAAAGCCCTGTCCCCAGATGCAATGGCAGTACTTGGAATGGGATGGTGGGTTTACATTTTCTGTCCTTTACCTCTGACACATAGACCTAACAAGCTGAGTTCTTGGTTTTGCATCAGGGCAGCATGTATAGTCACACTCTTGGAGATGCAAAATCCCATCTCCTGGATTTTCATAAGTTTTTATACCGGCAGATGTGGCAAGGGGGGGGCAGACAAGGTGGTGATAGCAACTCTGTGACTGTAGTTTTCTGTGTGCTTTTACATTTTAGCAAAAGGTGCACTAGTTCTTCAAAAGAAAAACATCATTACCCGAATGCATTTCGTTCTGGCTCTACTCAGTATAGAGGTCACATCCACACCACACATTTAAAAAACGCTATACCACTTTAACACTCATGGCTTCCCCTAAACAATCCCATAGTTTGTTAAGGGTGTTGACCCAATGGATTTCAATGGGAAAATAAAATATGTGCTTACTTTTCTTCCCCTGAAATCAGCTGAACCTGTAGCCTGATCCATGCATGTGTGCTCAGGTGTAGATCCCTCTGAATTTGAGAGAACTGTCTCATAGGTGTGCATGGGACTGCACCCTTAAAAATGTTTTAATTTGCTTGGATACTGCCCTTACCAAATATAAATGAGACTGCCAGAGGTGGGGATGGATGGATCTGTCAATTTCAGTTCTTTCTGTTTCTCTTTATTCGGTTCTCTACATTTCTGCAGCAATTTGTGGTCCCACCCCCAAACCCCAAAAAATAGGTTTCGAAATTAATGTTTCTCTTAAAAAGCTCATTTTGTACGCAGTGTTGCCTAATAATCACCCTTTGCCAAAACACATTTCCCTAATATAATGCATGTTTGTGTTGTATTCACTGATATATGCACCTTTTGCCTCAGTCTGTGTGTTTTTGTACACATTACTCTGCTGGAAAACTACATTGCAAAATTCAGAGAAGTGCAAATTTCAAATGCAGTTTCTGCATTATTTCAGAAACTGTGAATTTAGAACATTCACCTTTAAGTATGAACTTAATCAAATTTCTTCCCCATCCCTAACCACAGGAGAAATATGTGCTCGATCTGTTGTCTGCTCTAGTAATTAACATTGAGAACTTAGGCCTGCTTGTTTAGAGTAATCTCCATTGCAATCAATGTAAATTACTTCCTAAAGTAGCCGTTAATACTTGGATGTAAACTGGGACTCAGCTAGACTGGTAAAGAAAAAGCAATTTGTATGTGTTGTATGTGCGATATAACATTGTGCTAATAGATGGCGACGTGGACTCCCGATTTTCTCTACCTGTTTTCCTTGTTTAAATTTGCAACACTTTAGACTGAAACACTTCTTTGATGTGCCTAGATCCAGCCCTGCTGTCTTTTCCAGGAGAGTACTGGCATGGGGGAAGGGGTGGGGCAGGGGAGACTGAGGTTTTGAATTATGGTGCCCTGCCCAGCCTCAGTTGCTGCCAGAATCCAAATAAGAAGCCAGAGGGAGGCATTTCATATATATTTTCTATACCAGGAGGTGCTTGCATGTGGGAAAATAAAACGTTATAGAGGCAGGCAGGATGGAGCTGAGCCACAAAATTCTTGGCTTTCATATGGACGACAGTGCCATTTCACCCTAGAGAGAAGGATGAGCGAAACTTATGCCATGGACAAAAGGAATATGTGGGATAGGTAAAGGTAAAGGGACCCCTGACCATTAGCTCCAGTCGTGACCGACTCTGGGGTTGTGGTGCTCCTCTCGCTTTATTGGCCGAGGGAGCAGGCGTACAGCTTCCGGGTCATGTGGCCAGCATGACTAAGCCGCTTCTGGCGAACCAGAGCAGCACACAGACACGCCGTTTACCTTCCCGCCGAAGCGGTACCTATTTATCTACTTGCACTTTGATGTGCTTTTGAACTGCTAGGTTGGCAGGAGCAATGGGAGCTCACCCTGTCGCGGGGATTCGAACAGCTGACCTTCTGATCGGCAAGCCCTAGGCTCTGTGGTTTAACCCACAGTGCCACCTGTGTCCCTATATATGGGATGGAGTACACATTATTTGCAGTCTTTGATAAGCATTTTTACCACCTTTTTTACTGGGCATGCTCCTGTGCATTTTAACAGCAGCCTGACAGATTTAACAGCAGAAATGCATCATGTCTTCATGCCAAGAATAGGGTTGCTCAGTGCTACTTTTCTAGAAACCGAGGTGCCGGAACTCACCACAAACACCTCCCTTGTTCTCTTAACATGGCAATGGTGCCCAACTGAGAGGTCCCAGAATTGAGTTCCAGCTGGAAAAAAGCCCTGGCATCACTTCAATTTCTGTGTGTCAGGCTGCTCTGAAAGGCACAGGAGCAGGGTGAGTTTAAAAGATGGCAACATGAGGCTTGCTTTATTATGAAAAGCCTATGGAGGGTGTGCTAGGGGAAAAAAGGAACTGGAAAGGACGGCAAATGGTTTGCTCAAAATGCCGGTTACCTTTTTATTTGTGGCATTTTTAAATTTGTTTTGACATTGTTTCTCCTAGAGTAAGAGGAAAGAGGAGTAGAGAAATGTAAGAGACAATCTGAGAGTGGGGTCTATTTTAACCACACACCCCCTCACACTTCTCATTTAGAAATGCTTCTTCAAACCCTAAAATAATCCACGGCAAATGACAAAAGGAGCACCAGATGGTTAAAGAATCACCATGGAGATAATCCAGTGGAATGGTATCTAAGAGGAGTGCGAACAAGATTAAGGCGAGATCTGAAATGGCAAAATTGCATCCTAGAAGTAGCTCAGAGGAAGACTTTTGGCCTGTCCCCAGCGTACCTCCTGCATCAGTGCAGAGGGGTGAAAGAACAAAGCGGTGACCATTTGCGGAGCGAGACAAAGGAGCTGACAAGCTCGCTTGCTGCCTGTCAAGGCCTGTATTATGAGGCTTGGCTTATTCATGTGAGCCCTCCAGAACTGTATCAGCTTTGTGAACACCACCCTACCCTGCTCAACTCACCTGCGTTCTCAGGTGGAAAGTGTGTGCCACCTACATATTGTCCCTGTGAAGGATGGTCCTTTGTGGAGTCCCTCAATGTCAGGAAGCCACAAAGAGGTTCTAAAGGATGGGGAAACTGTGGTCCTCCATGTGTGGCTAGAGCACAACTCAGGTGATACCTCGACCACTGGCCTAGGGCTGGTGGGTATAGTCCAGTAACATCCAAGGGGGGGGACAGATTCCCCAGACTTCTTAGTATAGGGTTTCTGTCAACAGTTCTGCTGCCACCCCCATTCTGGAGAACAGCATCCCTGTTGAGATTTGTCCTTTCTGGAAACAATTTGAGACATTTTTTTTTTTTAATCCTACCAGCTTTTCCAGCTTAAGTATTTATTCTGTATATCTTACTTGCTGGAGTGGGTGGGTTTGGTATTGTCTTTAAAGCTATTTTTAGTTGTTTTGAATTGGCTCGAGACTCATGTGGAAAGCTATCCACAAATTAATATAATAGGTACAACAACGCAGGTGGGCAGTTCTTTCCCTGGTGACTTGCTTTCCCTCTGTGTACGTGGAATTAGACAGGACAGTTGCGGAAGTAGCAGGCAGGGGAAAAAACTCAGTGACTTGGGCTGGATCTAGACACACCAAAGGAGCGTTTCAGTTTAAAGCATTGTAATTTTAAACAGGGAAAACAGGTAGAGAAAAACAGGACTCCACATCGCCATCTGGCGGCACAATGTTATATGGCATATAAAGGTAAAGGGACCCCTGACCATTAGGTCCAGTCACGACTGCCTCTGGGGTTGCGGCGCTCATCTCGCTTTATTGGCCGAGGCAGCCAGCGTACAGCTTCTGGGTCATGTGGCCAGCATGACTAAGCCGCTTCTGGCGAACCAGAGCAGTGCACAGAAACGTCGTTTACCTTCCCGCCGGAGAGGTACCTATTTATCTACTTGCACTTTGACATGTTTTCGAACTGCTAGGTTGGCAGGAGCAGGGACCGAGCAACGGGAGCTCACCCCATTGTGGGGATTCAAACCGCTGACCTTCTGATCGGCGAGTCCTAGGCACTGTGGTTTAACCCACAGCACCACCCGCGTCCCTTACTATATGGCATATACAACGCATATAAATCACTTTTTCTTTACCAGTCTAGCTGAGTCCTTGGCCATGCAGACAGCACCAAGACAGGAGGGAGACAGAAAGTGAGGAGTTTGGAGAAGGCTTGTTTACTAAGGGTAGAAAAATAGCCACAAAACTGGTATGGCACCATGGAAGAGAAAGAACTCCAGGTGCAGTTTATTATAAGCCCAATGAATTTTGGAAAATTCTTTCTTCAGGGGCATGCTTTAGCAACAGTTCTCATGCTGAAGGAATACTGCATACTGCTGTGAAAAGATACTGGGTTTATAATAAACTACATGTTTAGCATCTAGAGTTCTTCCTCTCTCTTTTTTGCTTGCTGCATAAAATGGCCTTTGCTTTACACAACTCCTACCTGAATCTTTAGTCCAAAAATGGGGAAACCAGCAGCACTGCGGGTATTGTTGGACTCCAGGTCCCTTCAGCCCGAGACAGCATGGCCAGCGGTCAGGGGTGATGGGAATTGGAGTCCAGCAACTTCTGGAGCACTGCTTGATTGGTAGCAAACACCACACGATGCGGTGGCAGCACTGCGGCGCACAAAGAGCTTGGCTGCAGGAGTTGCACCCCAACACACACACCCTTCTCCTCCTAAGGCTTTCCCCTCCCTTATGGGAGTTCTGCACTGGCACAGCAAAATACCACAGGAGGGGGCTGGCATTTCTGTTTGTTCGCCCACAGTGGAAAGCTTCATCCAAAGCCTCATCACCAGATTGTCAACACCAGTGCCAGGCTTTGATCATCTGTCCAGGGCGCAGATGGGAAACCAGAGGCTTCCCTTTTCCCTTTTACACAGGCAGCTCCAGATCCTGAAGGGAAGTTTTCAGCCTGGGAATATTCGTGCGGAGCACCAGTTTGCTCTTGCGGTTCCTTTTGCAGCCGGAAATACATGTGTCAAATCCTGCTGCTCTTGGCTAATGGCCATCATTGGATTGGCTCCTCTCAGTTCCTCTCTGTACCTCCTTTCTCATGAAAACAATTGTTGAGTACATTGGCTGGGATTAAAGGCCCTTTACGTATTTATTCACAATATTTCTAAACCACCCCATAATCAAAGTTCTCTCTTGAGAAATTGACATAAGGAACCCAAAATGACAAAAATACAAATGCGGCATAAAACCAAATGGCAGAAGAGCTTAAAATTAACCAGTACTACTCACAGCACAACAAGCAGAGTTAAAACTTGCAAAAATTCAGAACTGTCAACGCCTTAAAAGCCTCTAAAAAGTTCTTAAATACCCTTTAGAAGTCTTCACCTAGCACTGAAAAGGAGAGCTTCTCTTGGGAGGGTGTTCTGCAGGACAGACCACAGACTAGATTCTCTTGCAAGCAGCCACCCTCTGAATCTAGTCATGGACGTTCAAACAGGGGCCTCCAATTATGACTATGAGGTCTGGGAAAATATACATGGAAGGAGGTGATCCTTCTGGAGGGCTTGAAACATTAAAACCTGTACTTTCGGTTGGCATCACTGGAAACATGTAGGAAGTTGCATTATATTATATTTGCCCATCAAGCTTAGGGATGGAGGAGACATTCAATTTGATTTGTACTTATAGCTGAACCTATCAAATCCGCACTTTCTGAAACTATACATGAACTAAAATGTTTTGAGCACTACATGCACATGCGTTGTTTGTACAAACAAGGCAGGGTTAGGATCAGAATGAACAGGTGTGATCTTGCTGCTCCACCACATGTTGATGGTGCCCATTTTGTCTGGAGTATGAACAGGGTCACAGATGTTGCTGTTTCTTAGAGGCTCCTACAGTATATCTCCTAAAATCTAGGACCTCAATCAGTGCCTGTATTCATGCTGTTGTTATATCTCATTCTTGAAAACGTGTTGGTTACATTAATGGAAAACAAATGTGGGGGGAGAAGAACCCACAAAACCACCTTCTTTGAACTTGAGTGCACTTGAGGCTATGAATTACATTTCCATGCCCTTTTGGCTAAATACCTTATGATATACAATGTGCTCTCAACAGGGATATTGTTGCTTCAAAGTCCAGATTCCATCTGGAAGTGATCCAAAATATTGTTGGCTGGGCCTGGGAGAGAATAATTTCTGTTCAGTGAAATACATCCCACCCCCCCTTCCCTGCTTGGCAAAGGAAACCTTTTTGGAAACACATTTCTGCATGTTAGCATTAACAGAAATACTGTTTTGTTTTGTTTTTTTATTATACTGCTGTCCTTGGTATGAGCCAGACAAGTTGTGCAGACACGGCTTGTTGTAAAAGGACCTCTTTAATCAAGAGTTACAATGGTATGCATTAATTACTGTAACCTCTGTTTCCAGTGCAGTAATTTGCTACATGATCCTTTTCACTATGTTGTGATTTACCACAAGGGAAATGAACTGCTTTAAACTATCCAAACCAATCCACCAGTTTCCTTCTCTGAAACAATTACTTGATTAGCTCGATTTAGGACTTTATTGATTTCAGACATTGCAAGTCTCTTGTTCCTCACATAGGACCGAGACATTGGCTTTTGTTTGCATAATGTTTCTCTTTAGTGCTTCCTTCTCTGCTATGCAACCTTGCAGATCAAAGTGAATATATTCTTGCAGTAATTCGAAACGTTGGCTACATTAGTTCCAAAAATTAGAAGTAGGATTGACTGGATTGATTGTCAAAAGTCCTGATATGTGGTATAAAATTACCAAAAGGTCACATGTTTGGACCAACTCTCCCTCTTTGCACGAGCTGTTAGATTCCCTGAAAAGAAAGTATCCCTGCGCGGCTTTGGATGGCCTGTTGACCCATGCATCATTCATCCTGATTTTCTTGCACAAAGCTTACAAGGTTGTTAATACTCTGTCCAGTCTTTACTGAGCATGTGCTCTTTGTTTATGGGATGGTTATAGCACAACAAGCATTCCTCTAGATCTTCCGGAGATTTGCTTGCAGAGGCTTCTCTTTAATCATTTGCTCATCCCACGATTTGTACTGCATTTCCCCAGCACTTTCTGAACCACTAAAAGTCATTTTTTTTGGGGGGGGAGTGGATTTGTTGTGCTGGGATGACAGAGTTCTTTGGTCCACTTTAATTGTGCAAGCCTAAACTTCTGGTATGCACTTGAATCCCACATGCAAAATACTGACAATCTGGCGGCATCCACACAACGAAGACTTTCAAAAATGTGTTTAGTAAGTTCTGATTGGAGGGGGCAACAGTACATTGCACTGAGGTCACCTGTTGCTCACAGATCTCACCATGGACTTGATACTTGAGTCCTGGCTTCCCACGTTGTATCACAAAAATGGTATCAGAAATTTGAGGCTGCTTTATTTACCTTTTTACAAAGTTTTATTGGTTTTATAGTAAAATGACATTAATAAACACTAAGAAAACCTGTAGGGTGTTACATGTATACATTGGTCGCATACAAGGGAAAAAAAGTGGAGCTGGGAGACTGTCAAATAACTAAGTCATTGAATACTTTGCCAAGACTTCAACTATCCGTGACAAAACCTCACCATAAGTAAGCATGAGTGGCTGGAGGTCTGACATTAACATCACTTCTGTTTACATAGCTGATCTATGGGAACCATACCTTGTCAAAATGATCGTGTTTAGTTTGGCCTCTGACACCCTTTCTGTGTTGCATCAAATGCTCAGGAAGAGCCAGATCCCAAATTTTCCCTTCCCATCCCATCAGAGATGGATCTTTGGAGTCTTTCCAATGAGAGGCAATCTCTAAACAGGCAGCAGTAAACAGCATGGCAGTTAGGCCCTTATGTATAAGGGGAGTGTGTAGATCAGCATCCAGTTTCACAAGGGCTAAAGCAGAGTTTGGGTTCAATGACTGACCAATAAGGCCGTCACTTTTCTGCAGTTCACACCTGAATGAGACCTAAAATCTAGTTCATTCAGAACAAGCCCTGGAAGAAAGGAACAGGGATGTATGAACAGAAGTTTCTATCCTGTCATTACATGGGATATTGTCAGCTGTAGGTCAGCATGGAGACTCAGATACAAGCAATAAAGCTAATTCTTTATTCAAGGAAACAGAATACAAGCAGATAAACCTATGGCAAGACTGCCCCAGGAAAGCAGTTGCCAGAACTGTCCCTCCCACTTCCCCCCCAGTTTCCTCCCCAGCCATTGGGGAGGGGCTCTCTGTGCTCTTTGCTCTGCTGCATGCAAATCTTTCCATGCCCTTCGAGATAAGGAAGCATGGGGGCTGAATACAGTAGGACTGGCAGGCTCCTGTTGCAGATTGAGCCCCCCCGCCTCAGCTGTCCTAGGTCTGCAGTGCTTTCTGCCCCTTCTTCCTCTCTCTCACTCAAGCCTGTTGCTTGTTCAGCATGCTACCATTCTGCCCCCCCCCCTCATCCTCTGACCTGTGTCCCACCACCACTCCCCTGGCTCTGAACCTTCCTCTTCTGAGGTTTCCCTAGGGGGTTCTTCAGCTGAAACCTCCCACCACTCCTCATCGCCCAGCCAGCCCCTGACAGATACAGACTTGAGGATAGGATTGTACCAACTCCCCATGGATTGGTGGAGTACAATGCAAGACTTGCAGGAAAAACTGATTCAGCAATACTCCTCGGCTGGCAGGAGGGTGCTGCAGATATAACGTGTATGCTAGCAAAACCCAAACCAGCATAAGGGAAGGGTGACGGGCAGGGAAGCAGACCTTAGTCAGAACCCAGTGCTTTATTGAGGGCAAGTCCCACTTCTGATGAAGGTATGTTTCTCACTCCTGCAAAAAGTGTGGCATTAGTTGGATATGATTTGAATAGAACTCCTGCACCCAGCCAGAGCATACCAGCAGGGGTACCTGCTGAGGATCTGCTTTGCATGCATCATGTTACAGGTTCAGACCCTGGCATCTCCAGGGAGGGCTGGGAGATGCCTGCCCAAAACCCTGGAGAGCCACTGCCAATCTGTGTAGACACTACTGAGCTAAATAGATTAATGGTCTGAGCCAGGATCAGGCAGCTTCCCATATAAGGCTTCCCAGCCAGGAAGCACATTCAGATGATTTGAATGGCTCCTTCTCCCAAGGAAGTGTGTAATTAGGATGTGTATTTTATCCACAAGGAAATCAAGTGCGGTTCTTCCTATGGCTAAAATGTAAATGTTTAGCCGAGCCTCTGACCAGAGGGAATTGTGCAATAATTGTAGAGGTTACCACCCTTTCTTGTTTGTTTTCTTTAGAAACACATGCTCGTTCTTTAGCCTGGAATGATGGCTGGCTTTGGCCTAGACCATGTGAATGTATACTGTGAAGTGAGAAGCCATCTCTAATCTCTAGGGAGAGATAATGTGTGGCTGCTGCACTATTGGCTTGAGAGTTAATTGCTACTCTGCTCCAGAGTGATGTTCCTTATACAAGCATCCTCCAACTTTGGACTGTGGTTTCTGGGCAATGCTGATTGATGCTTCAGGGATTCCTCCACATCTGTCAGCCACAGTATATCCTGCATCAGCAAATTCTAGTGCTGTCCTTCCCTTGGGAAGTTCCACTGTCTATATATTGACGGAAAGAGGGAGATTGATGAAGATAAGAGATACAGGGAGCAGGGGAGAGAGAAGGGGCTTGGGGGAGAGATTCTTGCCCTCCCTCTGCCCACCAGGGATGTGTGACATCTGTGTGCAGAGAAATCTATTTCAAATCATTTTTTTCCTATGCAGATTTTCATGGGGAAATGACAACCATTGCCACTTGTGCTGCCAATCTGTCAATATTAATGACTTATAACTTCAAGTGGGTTAAATCACAGAGCCTAGGACTTGCCGATCAGAAGGTCGGCAGTTCGAATCCCCGCAAGCGGGTGAGCTCCCGTTGTTCGGTCCCAGCTCCTGCCCACCTAGCAGTTCGAAAGCATGTCAAAGTGCAAGTAGATAAATAGGTACCACTCTGGCGGGTAGGTAAACGGCGTTTCCGTGTGCTGCTCTGGTTTGCCAGAAGCAGCTTAGTCATGCTGGCCACATGACCCAGAAGCTGTACGCCCGCTCCCTCGGCCAATAAAGTGAGATGAGCACCGCAACCCCAGATTCGGTCACAACTGGACCTAATGGTCAGGGGTCCCTTTACCTTTACTTCAAGTCATGGCTGCGTGCGCATTGTACCCGTCGCAGTCACACTGCATCATGCAGCTTGTAGTCTTGGCAGAAAGATTATCACGTGATTCCGCAAGACTTATTTGCAGCATGAAAACTTTAAAATATTGCAGGGAGGAAAGCATCATGAGAATACAGAATCCCTCTCAGCATGGCATCAGAGAAAGCTCAACCACTTTCCAATGAAAAAGAATGCCTTGGATAAGTCTGCCAGCTTTTTCAGGATAGTAACCCATTTTCAAAGGGGCTGAAAATCTCCAATGAAATCCCAGTTTGATTGTACTTGGGTGACAGCGATAGTGTCTGCCATGAACTGACTGCAAAGAATGGTGCCCTGGCTGTGTGGCACACAGCATTTAATGATATGCTGATGAACCCATTGCTTCCTGCAGGTCCCTTGGAATGTCTTTGCTGTTTGTGTTTTCCAAATCAAATGGATTTGACAGACGTTCTGACCACTGCATACCAGTGTAAAACTACGCAGTCTGCTTCTCTGCAAGTTTCTTGCAGACACTCTTCCCATTTCCTCTCTTGTGGTGGAGCCAGCTGGCGACCTTAAAGCGGCATGCCTGCAAAAGTCCCAGATCTTGAAGCAAGAGAACCTTTTTTGCCTTTTAGACTGGATGGGTCTTCCCTCTGCATTGCAGATGTCTACTTCAGTGCTGTCTCTCCATCCTTATTGTGCATTTATAGCGATATATGCTCGCAATTGCATAGGGAGATTACACGTGATTCAGCTTTCAATGCTGCTTGCCTCTGATAAAGTTCAGGGGCAGACATTTCCCACCAGCACCTATTCTGTAAATTGCTGCTGAAATCCAGTCACCTTTTATACCACAAATATGCTGTGGTGAGGGAGGTTGCTCTGCTTTTGTTGTGCTTGCTAGAGAGGTTAAAAGCAACAAAAAAGGCTTTTATGGGTATGTCCGTAGCAAAAGGAAGAACAAAGAAACAGTGGGGTCACTCAGAGGAGAAGATGGTGAAATGCAAACAGGGGACACAGAAAGGGCTGAACTCCTCAACGCCTTCTTTGCCTCAGTCTTCTCCGATAAAGAAAACAATGCCCGACCTGAAGAATTTGGAGCAAATGATTCAGCAAAGGAAACACAGCCCAGAATAACTAAGGAGATAGTACAAGAATACTTGGCTAGTTTAGATGTATTCAAGTCTCCAGGGCCAGATGAACTGCATCCAAGAGTGTTAAAAGAACTGGCAGATGTGATCTCAGAACCACTGGCAGTCATCTTTGAGAATTCCTGGAGAACAGGCGAAGTCCCAGCAGACTGGAGGAGGGCAAATGTTGTCCCTATTTTCAAAAAGGGGAAAAGAGAGGACCCAAATAATTACCGCCCAGTCAGTCTGACATCAATACCAGGGAAGATTCTGGAGCAGATCATTAAGCAAACAGTCTGTGAGCACCTAGAATCACCAATAGTCAGCATGGATTTCTGAAAAATAAGTCATGTCAGACTAACCTGATCTCGTTTTTTGACAGAATTACAAGCCTGGTAGATGAAGGGAACGCAGTGGATGTAGCCTACCTTGATTTCAGCAAGGCATTTGACAAGGTGCCCCATGATATTCTTGTAAAGAAGCTGGTAAAATGCGGTCTTGACTATGCTACCACTCAGTGGATTTGTAACTGGCTGACTGACCAAACCCAAAGGGTGCTCATCAATGGTTCCTCTTCATCCTGGAGAAGAGTGACTAGTGGGGTGCCACAGGGTTCTGTCTTGGGCCCGGTCTTATTCAACATCTTTATCAACGACTTGGATGATGGACTCAAGGGCATCCTGATCAAATTTGCAGATGACACCAAACTGGGAGGGGTGGCTAACACCCCAGAGGACAGGATCACACTTCAAAACGACCTTGACAGATTCTCTAAACTGGGCCAAAACAAACAAGATGAATTTTAACAGGGAGAAATGTAAAGTATTGCACTTGGGCAAAAAAATTGAGAGGCACAAATACAAGATGGGTGACACCTGGCTTGAGAGCAGTACATGTGAAAAGGATCTAGGAGTCTTGGTTGACCACAAACTTGACATGAGCCAACAGTGTGACGCGGCAGCTAAAAAGCCAATGCAATTCTGGGCTGCATCAATAGGAGTATAGCATCTAGATCAAGGGAAGTAATAGTGCCACTGTATTCTGCTCTGGTCAGACCTCACCTGGAGTACTGTGTCCAGTTCTGGGCACCACAGTTCAAGAAGGACACTGACAAACTGGAACGTGTCCAGAGGAGGGCAACCAAAATGGTCAAAGGCCTGGAAACGATGCCTTATGAGGAACGGCTAAGGGAGCTGGGCATGTTTAGCCTGGAGAAGAGGAGGTTAAGGGGTGATATGATAGCCATGTTCAAATATATAAAAGGATGTCACATAGAGGAGGGAGAAAGGTTGTTTTCTGCTGCTCCAGAGAAGCGGACACGGAGCAATGGATCCAAACTACAAGAAAGAAGATTCCACCTAAACATTAGGAAGAACTTCCTGACAGTAAGAGCTGTTTGACAGTGGAATTTGCTGCCAAGGAGTGTGGTGGAGTCTCCTTCTTTGGAGGTCTTTAAGCAGAGGCTTGACAACCATATGTCAGGAGTGCTCTGATGGTGTTTCCTGCTTGGCAGGGGGTTGGACTCGATGGCCCTTGTGGTCTCTTCCAACTCTATGATTCTATGATTCTATGAGTAAAGCGACAATGCTTGCAATGACCTACCTGGACCAGTGGGGGGATTCATGTTCACCTCTGTAGATGACAAGCTGTGCAGCACTGGCAGTAGCATTGGGCCAGGTAAAGAGGTGCTTAAATGCCACTTTCAATCCATAGCCTGCAACATTTCAGAAGGAGAAATCCCAGCACCATCCCACCATCCCTGTCACTTGCTTGCTTGCTCGCTTGCTCTCCCCTTGCATCTTCTCCTGCCTCTGCCGCAGCCTCCCGTGGTGGTCAGCACAGCCTCCCAGAGGCACTTTGGCACGAACCTTTGACAATCGCCAAAGCAAAGGCACACTGACTCACACCAGGGTGCCAGTCTTAAACAGGACCTTCCAGAAGCCAGAATTGGCTTCTGTGATCTGGGATGTCCCGCTTAAACCAGAACAGTTGCGGGGTATGTTCATGTTCTTGCAGCTCTTGCACATCTAATAATTATTTGGGCTCATTTTTGGACATATCTCATAATTGCCTTTAAATACTGTGCTCTGGGACTCAGAATACATCAGATTAGATGTTTGGCGTGGTGCACAAACCTTTCGGTTGTTTCTCTGGACCTTATGGAATGCAGGCTTCCTGTTTCACCAGCAGGTCAGGACTTTCAGTGTGGCCAGAGAATCACCTAAACACAATTAGGCTGACACTGCTGGTTGCTGAAATCTCTCCCTCCCCTGCCCTGCTCTCACAACTCAGTGGAGATGCCGGCAGCGTCCCTTGCTTTTCATTTCTGTTTCATTTGGGACAAATTCAATCTGATAACATTACCCACAATATGTCTGTTCCCTTAAGAAACTTGGAAACATTCCAGGGAGCTTTGTGGGTCAGTTAACAGGATGTGCGCAAGGCCAACTTGACCGCACAAGCATTCCAAGCAATTGCTGGAGGTGTGATTTGTTTTTGTAAGGGCAGCAGCTCGCCCTCTGGTTCAAGGTGGCCAAGGGAAATGGAGGCAGGATGCAATCTAGGCACCCACAGGACACTTCTTGTGATTGTATAGAGGAACTCCTCTCAAGTTGCTGATGTGCATCACTGTGCATCTAAAGGGTGCACCAGAATCCTTTCAAACAATTCAGGGGACCCCAAGATACAGCTCTCATATTGCATGCTAAAAAAACATTGCAGAGGATCTGGCAGTGCAACTCTGGGCTGACACATACTGTCTTACATTAGCTGCCCTTGAGTTATGCTACAGGATACTTGGGAAGTCATGTGTGCTGCCTTTCGTAAGAGGTTTCTTCTCTTTAATGTTAGAGCATCCTGGATTATTTTTTTTAAAGCACATACAGCTTTCCCTTGCAGCAAGGCTATTTTCACAACAGCAGCAGCCGAGCCTCCCTACCTCCCTTATCAGGATTTCACATTATTGTGGCTAGTTTGGACTAGTGCACTAACAGAGGAAAACATCTGGGTTTTTGAGGCCCCAAGTAGAATAGAAATCTATCTGAAGCAAAGTATGTGATGTGCCAAAAAAAGTTACATTAGTCATCTACCCTATTATAGCAAAGTGCCTTTGGCCTCAGTTACCTTATACACCGCTACTTTGGTTCTCAAACTTAATCCGTTCCAAAACCAAAGTGTTTGAAAACCAAGGCATGCTTTCCCATAGAAAGTAATGCAAAACGGATTAATCCATTACAGACTTTTAAAAACAACCCCTAAAATAGCAATTTAACATGAATTTTACTATCTAACGAGACCATTGATCCATAAAATGAAAGCAATATTTAAAGTACTGTACTATAAAATAAATAAGACAGTATTGCAGATGATAAAAATTAAAATGAATTTTTTTTCTTACCTGCACTGATGATAGTCATATCCATTTCTGCAGTCACACAATAAATCAATCAATCAGTAGCTGAACTGGGTTCCACACAGTCACAAAAACAAATTAACCGAAAAAGCCTCAAAAACAAAAAGGCAAAATAAATAGCAAAAACAAAAGTGCCAGATTTAATCTGTTCCAGAAATCCGTTTGACTTCTGAAATGTTTGAAAACCAAGGCGCAGATTCTGATTGGTGTAGGTGCCCTGGAAATAATAGCCGACAACCGCATCAGATGTTTGGCTTCCAAAAAACATTTGAAAACCAGAACACTTCCAGGTTTTTGGCATTCGGGAACCAAGGCGTTTGAGAACCAAGGTACCACTGTATGTGAAATAGGAATAATAAAAGCCAGGTTTCACAATAATGTTCAAAAGATTGTGTGTAGTAGGTGCACAAGGATTCGCCTGATCTCCTGGCTTGAACCTCCTGTTTTAATTGCTGTTTTGACTGTTTCACTTATGTTTTAATGGACTTGTCTTGCTGTCCATTTTACTTGATGTTTATTTTATTTTTCAAAATTGACATTGTTTTATTGTGTATTTTAATTGCATGTTGAGAGAGAGAATTTAGTTTCATACTTGTGAACCACTTCGAAGCCATTTTGGCAGTTAAGCTGTTTATAAACACCCACCCACCCCCCAATATTGTTCCCATTTTAGAGATGAAATAATTAAGTTGAGAAAGACTTGTCAGAAATCACACGTTGAGCCACAGAGAGAGGGGCACCTTGTGTGTGAAGCTCTCAGCTCCAAATCCAGTTCTATCCAGTGGACTATACTGCTTGATTCAAGGAAGTAAGTTTGGGACAATCAAGACCCTGCCAGGAAATGAAGAACTAGTTGCTTTAAAAGCCAAGACAAACACTCCCAAAGTTAGCGACACAATGTGAAAGTCATCACAGCTAGGCCCAATATGAAGAAGGAAGAAGGTGCCTGGGTACTCATAAAATGTTGGAACAGAAACTCCAGGTCCAAACTAGATTGTGGCATTGAAATCTAGACTCCCCCAATCATGCATAAAGCAGGGGGTGGGTGGCTTTTAAGACCAAGGGAGGACACGTAAGAGGTGCTGATCCTTTCCCACTTTGCTGCTGTCTCTCTACCCCTGGGGCTTTCCCATCTGCTAACCTTAAAGTGAAATATAGGCTTTTAATACACTGGAATTGTGAATGGATTTCCTAGGGGTAAGTAATGGCTCCAAGCGCATTTAGGACAGTCATGAGACTGGAAGGGCAAAGGTCAAATAGTAGGTAGAGCCACAGCCAATCACAGGTGGAGCCAGCTAATTCTATTTTTGTCCCCACCCTCCTCCCTGTTGACGCCTATACAGGTAACACTGAGATTGAGGAGGAGAATGACAGGCAATGCCACCCCCTGGATTGGTTGGCAGGCAGGTGGGAAACTGGGGTCTGGTTGAAGGCAGACTGAGGTTAATGGGGCAGCACCCCATTTGCCCTAATGGACCAGTCCCTACTAGGAGAGACCCAAGTGGGACATTATCCTCTTACAGCGTCTAATATTTTGCCTATACAGTGGTACCTCGGGTTAAGTACTTAATTTGTTCCAGTGGTCCATTCTTAACCTGAAACTGTTCTTAACCTGAAGCACCACTTTAGCTGATGGGGCCTCCTGCTGCTGCCGCGCCACCAGAGCACGATTTCTGTTCTCATCCTGAAGCAAAGTTCTTAACCCAAGGTACTATTTCTGGGTTAGCGGAGTCTGTAACCTGAAGCGTATGTAACCTGAAGCGTATGTAACCCAAGGTACCACTGTAGATGATGACTGATGCAATTGGGATAGGATTTTCCTGATCAATTGTTCACTTTAACTCCTCAGGGGAACTGCGGTTTCTTTTTTACCAAGTGAAGAGAGAGATTTTAAAACTGCTTTTCCAGAAACCCAAAGAACACTTTCTAAAAACCTGTCAGTACTATTTTTACTACACACACACACACAGAGAGAGAGAGAGAGGCAAAGAAAGGATTTTGAACCATCAATACAGCAGGAGCTTTTAAGATAGCTTCTAGAGATGCGTTAATAATGCCTTTTAAATCTATGAGAAACCCATTTTGCATTTTTTGCATTACACAACACAATTCCAATCTGATAATGCCATAATTCACCAGCGTTGCAATGCTGGCCTGAGTCTCATTGCTTGTGTAAGATCTATGCAATCCAACCTCCCTTTTGCCCTACAAGCATCTACATGTGGCTTGCCTTATTAGATCTAATAAATCATTTGCAGCCCACAAGCTAATCACCATGTATGATTCTGCATGACTGCTTGGATAAGGATTCTTTTTTTAAAGGGTTGTTGCTTTCTAGGGGGAAGGGGCTATTAATGAATTCCAGTGCCTAACAAAAAGGTCAGGTTTGCCTAGAGATAAATGGTCAGGGCAGCAAACTGTTTAACTGTAAACGTAATATAACAAAACGCCCTGTGCACTACATTATGCATGGAAAAGTGGGAGGAACCACCTCACTGTCCCCTGGGCTTCCTTCCTGTGTGGCTGCAGAAGCAGGACCCCGGTCAGCCGGGCTTTCTGGTGGAGAATGGGTGGGAGACGAGTTGGATAAGGAACAGCTGAGAGGAGAGGCAGCTGTTTACAGTTGAATATTGATGAGTTCCTTACAACTGAGGAGGAAGGGAAGGTGTTGGGGAGATGTGGTTGTTAGAAGTTCATTGGTGGGGCTAGAGCTCTGGTTGAGCCAAAGCCCAGTGGTGAAAAGGTGCTGGGAAGGAACTTGAGGGGTTGGTAGGTTACTTGGGGAGGTGTGAGTCCTCATCATAGGCCCAACTGGTGGCTCAGCAATGAACTACTTGTGGGTGTTCAGTGGAGGAAACCCTGTCCCTAATGAACACTGAACAATCCTGTGACCATGCATATTTGTGTGGAGGAAGTGGGGGTATGGATATAGTGCCAGGGATATAGAGCCCCGTCCTGGAAGCCCAACAAAAAGTGCCATCTTTTCTTTTATGCTTTGGCTAGTTGTATTTCATTCTAGGACCAAAGTAGACAATCCAACATAGATTGGTGCCAGGAGCCCCTGTTTCTTTAAGTGTTGACCAATAGCAAGAGCAGGGGTTATAATTCAGGCCAGGAACATGGCTCTGGGGGAGGAATGCTTACCCCTGTCTCCTGTAATTTTCCTGATCACCTCCTCCCACCCATGGGTGTAGGCAGGACTTTTGTTGGGGGGCAGAACCTCCATCAGCCATGTATTTTTATTGAGGGGGGCCAAAAGGTTCCTTCCTCTCTGCCCCGTTGGGGAAAACATAATGTGAACACATCCTGAATATGTTCAGTTTCCCTAGTGGGGCAACTGGTTGCTACAGGATGATGGAGGTTTTTACTGGCAAGATAAAAGGGGAAGGAGTTAGGATCCCCCCCCCTCATTTTTGTTCTACAGCTGACACTGACTAACATGTAAAGAGGCAAGAGACCTAATCACAGATCTCTGCTACGTTGTCTAGTTTGGCAACTTACAAAATTATGTGCAATGATGCATATTAGTTTTCCATGTTATCATTCCAGACACTAAGGGCATTTCCAGATTGTCACTATTTTTGAGTGGTAAAGGTAAAGGGACCCCTGACCATTAGATCCAGTTGTGACCGACTCTGGGGTTGCAGCGCTCATCTCGCTTTACTGGCCAAGGGAGCCGGTGTACAACATGACTAAGCCGCTTCTGGCGAACCAGAGCAGCGCATGGAAACACCGTTTACCTTCCCGCTGGAGCGGTACCTATTTATCTACTTGCACTTTGACGTGCTTTCGAACTGCTAGGTTGGCAGGAGCAGGGACCAAGCAACAGGAGCTCACCCCGTTGCGGGGATTCGAACCGCCGACCTTCTGATTGGCAAGTCCTAGGCCCTGTGGTTTAACCCACAGCGCCACCCACGCCACCCCCTTTTTTTTGAGTGGTACTCATTTGCAAAAGCAGGTTGTTCAATTAAAGTTGATTGGGAGATCTTGCGCAGCAAACCCACCTTCCCCAAAGATCAGACTTTTTTCCGGTAAGGAAAGTGAGTGGGGAAATGCATTGGAAAGTGTGCTTGCTTTGACACAATACCATCTAACCTCCCCACCAACAAATCAGGCTGAATGTGCAATAAGCAGGTTATCTGGAAGCACCTAAAAAGCACTGCTCTGCATATAGGGGAAAAAGAGAGCAAAAGAAAAAAACATTGGTTGGCACCAAAGGAATTGCCAAAGGGAGACAAAGGGAAGCCATTTTAATCTGTCGTTACCTAATTAATCACACCGATTAATTGATTAATGCCTTCTGCCTAACAAAAGAGATAAGCAGTGTGGGGTGGCTCTGGAAATAGCTACGGGGGGAATGTGGGCAATGAAGTACAGACTCAAAAGCTGGCGGTGGAAAGAGACAAAAAAAGATATGAAAGACAAAGGAATGGGGAAGAGAAAGATTTTACATGATAAAAGCAGTTGTCGAATGCATGTCATCCGATTCTCAAGCACCACAAAATACTGAACACCCCCCCCCAAAAAAAAGAATCACACAGACTTTTGCAGAAATATTCAATTTGGATCACAACGAAAAGCTTTAGTGCAAGGGTTTCCTCTGGTATATGCTCCAGGATACAGCCTGATCAGTGAAGTGAATTGTTAGTGTAATCGAGCTTAATTAAATGTGTATACAGTACCTGGCATTCAAATGGGTTCCTTAGCTGTTAGATTTATAGCCTTGATGGCATGGAGGGCTGCCTTCAGACAAGGCATTTTAGGCACTAGGCGTCATTTTTTTTTAAGGGATTGTCCAGTGCGATCAGTTGCAATGCTGAGAATTCCTCGTCTAATCCCGTTTTTATGGAACCCATCCTAGAGTAATAAAAGACATTATCGATTAGAGCTGATCTGTGGAATCCGAGAGATAGCAGCATGAGAAATGTTCCTTTCTCTGTACGGAGCTGCCGTCCCTGCTTTTATGGCAAATTAATAAAAAACTTATGTTGAGGCAGGCTTCCACAAATGGTAACCTGCAAAATGGAATCCAGCCCCCTGCCAGCAGTGGATAGCGACTGCTCAGGAGCTTAGGAAACGCACTGTTTTTGCTGACGGAGAAGGTAGAGCGGGGAGAGAAAGCAGGCCGCTTCATCCATCTGCCATGGGCAGCATTCAGCTTTGTGTGTCACAACCTTGTATAGCCCTGTGTTAGGACAACTGGCTCACATGAAGCAACAACACAATAAATGCGAAGGCTGCTGTGTTTATATTGTAAACCGCCCTGGGATCCTCAGATGAAGGACAGTATAGAAAATTAATTGATAAAAACAAATTAATAAATGTAAGATTCCAGGGTGCCATTGTTGCTTTTGAGGCTTGCACAACCTGCTTCTGTGCTAGTTTTTATAGATTCCATAATATCTGCGCTATTTAGGGATTCCTTTGCAAATAAACAGACTATTGTGACAACACACAAGCCAGGGCTTTCTCTTTTCCAGTGGAAACAGACTCCATAAAAACTAGCCATCTGAGTCACCCCACCCGACTTCATCTTAACCATTATCAGGACCAAACTAGATGTGATGTTTTGGAGTAAATGCAATTAGTGTGCATTTTTTTTTGTTATCTAAATAAACTGTGTCCATGACATGTCTGTGGATTTGTGGTTTGAAGACGGGAGATGGCATGCCCATCGCATGAACCGTTCGTATTGATTTTTAATTGTATTTTATTGCTTACTTTATTTCTCAGGAACACTGAAAAGACAAGGTGCTTTCTGTGCGCAAGTTCTGTTAAGCGCAATGGAACTTCGAGGTCAGCTTAAGTCACTCTGAAATAAGATATCAGAGCACTCCAAATCATTTGCCCATGTACGTACACAGAAAATAGGCAACGCATGATTATCTGCATTGAATCAGTCGTAATGCACCCCTAATTATAATCTGAGAAGGGGGAGTGAATGTGACTCTCATGAAGGGAGACTGCACCTCTGAATTTGCCCCTACACCACTGCTCTGCACACAGGAGAAAAGCCTTTCCTGTCCTTTTGGCGTAACTGGTTGCAATTACATGCCTCTTTGCAAAATGACTTATGCAGAGCCTCATGGATGGAGAAGGATTACATAAGGTTTATATCTGTCCTCAGATATAAGTGCAGATGTCCCCCAGGTCCTATTTTAAATGCAAAGGCTCCATCTTGGATAGCATCCCACTTTCTAGCCCTTTGATATTTTCCTGTAATGCTTCGGGACATGCGATATACATAATCCTCCCAGAAAATGGAAAAAGAATGAGGCTCGGAGTTCCATTTGCCCACCTCTTTATACCTCTCTCTAGCCTATAATGAAAGCAAGCTGTGTGGTCTTCAGTGGAAATGAGAACAACTTTTTCCTCTTAGCAACATTTTGGATAAGCTGCTTCTGTTGTTGATGGTATCTTTGGGGGTGGGGTATGTTTATTCTTTTAAATGGAAGATGTTGGTATGAGAAACATCAGAATAATTTAAAGACCATAGGCCTTTCAGCATTGATTTGGGAGAGGGACAGATAATTTCAGTCAATTAAACAAACATAAATACAGATGGTAACATTGGCACCAGAAGTAATGGCTCCTCCCCAGTTCCTTCCCCAGCAGCCCAAGGCTCCAACGTCTTGTTTCTTGTTGCTCCACTCTTTTCATTTCTCAGCATGTTCTAGGAGACCAGAGGGGAGGGAAGCAGCAGATGGGGCTCCCTAGATTCTTCAGCAGCCTGCCTCATTTCTGTCTCCTGCTCCCCTCCTCTCCTGCCTTTGAGTCTGGACTGCTCTCTGCCACAGATTCTTCCTGCTCACTAAACCCTGTTCCCTCTTCAGCTTCTGACACCTCCTCCTCCAGGTCTGCTCCCTCTTCTCCCCCTGACCACTCATGGTCATCCCACCACCATTCCCCTGGTACTGAGCCTTAATCCCTTGGAGGTTCCCCAGCTGGTGCCCTCCAACCACTTCTCTGCCTCCAGCCAGTCCATGACACTTGACCACATACAGTGAAACCTTGGTTTCCGAACTTAATCCGTTCCGGGAGTCCATTTGACTCCCAAAACAGTTCAAAAACCAAGGCACAGCTTCAGGAAGCTCCTGCAGCCACTCAGAAGCCTCAGAAGTCATGCCGGATGTTCGACTTCCAAAAAACATTTGCAAACCGAAGCAATTATTTATGGGTTTGCGGTGTTCAGGAGCGGATTTGTTCAGCATCTAAGCTGTTCGGGAACCAAGGTTCCATTGTATGTGCCAAGATCCAGCACATGGCCATTGCACAACACAAGGATTGCTCCAAGGGGTAGTGGGTGCCCCTCCAAAATACTTCCTGCTCATCCAGCACTATGCTAAGGTCCTATGTAGCATGGATGAAATTTTTGCACCCCATATAATGCTCTTTACCACCCTACTAGGCACCCAAAACTAGATCATCTGGAGTGACTTTGATGCACCATCTGTCAGCCCCAATGGGAATATGCAGTCCCATCTGTATCCAGAAGCTCAGACAGGTTCATAGCTCAGTGGCAGCACAAATGCTTTGTAGACAAATGGTCAATCTCCACTAGCATCTTCATGTAGGACTGGGAAAGACCCTAGGGGCTGGCAAAATTGGCCCTGCGCAGGGGCACAACAAGCACCTATCAGATTATGGAGTGTATGGCGCATATATGTGTGACTTCACACCACTGCTGTTGCAGCAAGATCAAACATGGGAGAAGCTGCCCGTCCTTCTCGCCCTGCGGTAAAGTGAAATTTTCAGCAGAGTGGAGTGGGATGGGTGGGTTGCTGATACAGCTCCTTGCTGAGGGCACAAGGGACTCTAGGTCTGAAATCCTGGAGAGCTGCTGTCAGTCAGTGTTGTCAGTAATGAACTGGATGGACCAATGGTTTTACTTGGTGGAAGACAGCTTCCTAAGTAACCCTCATATTCATCTATGTTATGTGATACTGTGCAACACAATTCTACTGTGCTAGCATTGTTGTGAGATCATCTACCAATGTGACTTTTTCCTCCCAAGCAGAACCTGGAATTTTGTATGTAACTCCTTAAGCTATCTTGAGGGGGTTTGCTCTGATGCTTAATTCTTATGATGGGTCTAGTGGAGATTTAGGTTTAATGTGTTTCTTGGAGAGAGCACGATATTCTCCTTTTATTTCCCTACGGCTCTGTATGCTTTGAAGATAATTTAAGAATGAAACATGCTTTGGAATGAGCATTAGGATGAGAGCGGAGAAGGGTATTGGATTACCGAACCCATCTCCCTGCGAGGGCTAAATGTAGTCCTCAGAGAAAAGATACATCAGATCGTAAACTGATGCTATTTGGATGTTAGCCAAAGGTTAAGAATCCCCCACACCCTGCCCAGCCTTTCTGGCATGACTATTAAAAGAAAATAATTGTCAATCGTACAGCACTGCAAATACATCCACTCTTGGAATCTAAGGCAGTGGGGAAAGGAAGATTAGGCTGGTATTCAATGCAATTTTACTCAGAGTAGACCCATTGAAATGAATGTACAGGACTAAATTGGGGTTATTAATTCCCCGCCTCATGGGTGGTCATGTGAAGTGGTCACTTTGTATAGATTTGCAAACACACTCACACAAATGTTGGTCTGCGGCAGTGTGCAAAAGAATCTGGGTCTGTATACAGCCGCTATTTCATGCAATTGGTGTGCCATGAACTGAGAGGCACTGTGTGCTCAGATTTATAGGAGCCACTGAGCATCTGGTATATTGCATATGTGTGTGTTCATGTATGTGTGCGCCAGAAATGTCTTTTAAATTAGACTATGTGGAGAAGGCTATACCAGGGCAAATCTTGATGCCCATCATACTATTTTGCATTTCTTCTTCCTCAAATAATTGGAAGGCCCAGGGTTACTAGACAGAATGTTTCTATTATTATTATTATTGTTATTATTATTAAGTTTGTATGGACTTACCAACCAACCTTATGCATATTTACTCTTGCCCACCCTATTCATACTTAGTAGAAGTAAGAATTACTAATTTCAGTTTAATTCCCAAGTAAACATGCATAGGGTGCATCCATAGGATATTTTTGTAATATCTTTTAGAGGCGTAGCCATGCTAGTCTGCTGCAGCTAAAACAAGGAGGAGACTCAAACAGTTTACCACAGTATATGCAATTTTTGTAAACCTTACTTAGCTGGAGAACTTGCCTGCAAAATTCAGAGTGGTGTGAATTTCAAAGGGCGGTTGTGCTGAAGTGTGCATACTATTCTGGAAACAGCAGGCTTGGTAGCTTTGCCTTTAAATGTGAACTGAATTGAAATTCTCCCCCATCCCTGGTCTGAAGGCATTGAGAATGTGGGCAGCTGCTTCCCCTCCCATCCAGTGGCTCTCCTGGTACTTTTGCCTGCCCTGTCACGGGGCAAAGGTAATGTCTGTCTTTCTCCAACAGGTGAAGGAGGAGCTTGGGTGAAAGGACCAATGGGATAACAAGATGTCAGGGACAGAGGCTGCCCAGCTCCTTGGTGTATTAGAGTTAAAGAGACAAAGCATTACCTCTGGACCAAGTCCTGGCAGCCCTATGTTAGTTAGTTAGTTAGTTAGTTAGTTAGTTAGTTATTTTCTGTACTGCCCTTTCTCCTGCCAACCTAGCAGTTCGAAAGCACGTCAAATTGCAAGTAGATAAATAGGTACCGCTCCGGCAGGAAGGTAAACACTGTTTCCATGCGCTGCTCTGGTTCGCCAGAAGCGGCTTAGTCATGCTGGCCACATGACCTGGCCAATAAAGCGAGATGAGCGCCGCAATCCCAGAGTCAGTCACGACTGGACCTAAAGGTCAGGGGTCCCTTTACATTATACTGCCCTTTACCTGAGGATCACAGGGCGGTTTATAATATTAAAGCACAAAAATACATAATGTAGTTCTGAACCGTCCAGGGATCTTCAGATGAAAGACGGTATACACATTTAATAAATAATAATCGCAAAAACAATAAACCCGGCCCCACAGCTTAAAAGGCCATAGATTGTTTAATTAGCCGAACACCTGGGAGAAGATGAATGTGCAGGCCGTAGGTAGGCACTCAGAGAGCCAACACTCTCTGTGGCAAGGTTCTCCGGATCCAGTTGATCTCAGCCAGGAGCTCCCTGTGGAATTTAAAAATTGCAGCATCTTATCCCCACACGGATGCTGTTCCCTCCACCAAGGGTAATAATTTGCAGCCAGAAATGGCATGCCAGTTTCTAAGGGAGCCCGGTTGCTATGGAGAAGAGGGAGGATTCCCTGCGACTGGCAGAGATTCATGCAAGTCCTTTCCTGGGAAATTGCGTTCATCTTTAAAGCCTCACACAAAGGGTCGTTTGGTATCTTGGCTTCACTAGGAGGGTCTCGCTGAGTAGATTTGTGTTGTGTGAAGATGGTTGTCCTTTGATAAATATGGGAACGGCGAGCTAGCGGGTGGGAGTGATTGTTCTTGTTTTCAGTCCCGTTTTCCCTCCTCTAAAGCAATCTCCAACTTCCACTGATTCCACACTCAGCCCAGCAGACTCCTTTAGAAAACTGAAGGATAGCTCAGTCAATAGAGCATGATATTCTTAATCTCAGGGTCATCCGTTCAAACCCCACGTTGAGCGGAAAATTTTAGAAGAGCCTTGGGGTCCCTTCCAATTCTACAATTCTATGTCTATGTCTAAGAGCATTCCCGTTCATTACAAAATGCTTTCAGTGCCTCCGGACATTGGATAGGCTAGCACTTTCAGTTCCAGCAAAGTGTGCACAGATTTTTTAAAGCACATCCATCTATTACCTTGAAGGTTAGAGGTTCTTCTTGCCTTGAAACCACAGAATAAAAAAAACATAGAATTTGAAGGGATACCCAAGGGTAATCTAGTCCAACCACCTGCAATGCAGGAAACTCAACCAAAACATCCATGGTAGATGGCCATCCAACCTCTGCTTAAAAACCTCCAAGGAAGGAGAACCCACAACCTCCCGAGGGAGACCTGTCCCACTGTTGAACAGCTCTTACTGTCAGAAAGTCCCCCCTGATGTTTAGTAGGTATCTCCTTTCTTGTAACTTGAATCCATCGGTTGGTGTGGAAAAGCTAATCATGTGGCATACTACCCTCTCATCACATTGAAATCCAAAAGATGTTCTCCTGAGCTTAAGCGATTAGGACAAAGCTGTAAAAGTGCTTGAAAGGAAGTAGTAGAATGAGAAGAGGTCTCGGGTCAGATGCCATAAAATGTAATCCAGCTATGAAAGCGTTGCTTCTTGCAAATGTATAACCAGCTACAGAGGTAAGGAGGCATGACCAGGTATTTGTTAGGGCCTCAGTGCAAGCAAAGCCCTCCCTGACCCAGCGGAATTGGTGGCTCTCATTTTATATGAAGCATCCACAAGTCTGGTGCCAGATGCAGGCATCATCATGCCAAGGCCCACACCTCTGCAGGAGACCCCTGTTGACCCCTAGAGACTCCAGGCCTTGTTGCTCCATCCCACCCCTCAGCTGTACTGTCACTGCTTAATTCACCTGCCATCTCTGGGTATCATGGTCTGGTTTACGGGCGGTCAAAGCCCCAACTGAGGACGTCGGGACTGGGGGCAAGATGGCAGGGTGGGAGCAGGAACAAGAGTCCAGAAGTCAGGGGTCCGAGGGTCAGGAAGCAGGGAGTCACAAAGTCAAGGGTCCAAGGATCAAGAAGCAAGAAGCCAAATGCAGCAAGGCAGGAAACGAGTTGCTGCGGCAAAGAGCCGAAGGGAAATGCTGACCTTATATCCCTTGCCACCAGGTGCAGTGACTTACCAAGCAGTCTCACCTGTGCGGCCGTGCCTTTCCTCTCCAGAACAAACTTAGGAAGGCCCCAGTCCTGCAAAGCCCTATTGGTCACAGGGCCTGGCTCCTGCACGCACTCCTGACACTGGGCATGCAGTTGGTAGGAGGAACAAGGGTGAGGCAATAGGGCAGCATTCTTCACAGGCCTTGCCCTCTTCCTCTGGACAGCTGTGTGAGTTGAGCCCACAAAGGGAAGGCAAGTGAATGGGCACTGCCAGTGGGGACCACCGTGATGAAAAGAAGAAGTGGGTGCCACTGAGAGCATCTTACTTAAAACCTGGAGGCAGAACTAGACAACCATAAAGGCAATGTGGAAGCTTGGTTTTCATCTGTCTCCAGAAGGATCCACCGAGAATCCCCTCCCATGCTCTCAAATCCTGTGATTTTCAAAAAATAAAATAAACTTATCCCCCTCCCCTTAACAATTCCTTTTTACTTTTTGTAGATGTTTTGCCAACTAGGACTGACCTGGTTCTTATTCTGATTGCAGAACTAGGCTTATTTGTTATTCCTTTATTCCTTTCTTTGTTGTTTCTAACTCCCGGTTTTCCTTTTTTGGCCAGATAGCAAGAAACAAATCGCAGCTCGTCCTAGAAAATGTTTGCAAAAGAGGGCAGGATCTTGCACAACTTCTCTGCTTCGTTGTTTAATCCTAAACTCTCTTGCTGGACTGGTCGTTCAGGAATTATTATTTTAAACCAAAGATGAATGGCTTGTCTTGCTAATCCTTACCTATTGTTCTTCTTCAAGAAACCTGCAAGAGAAAGTTTACTTACAGGCCTGATGGCTTACCCTCACCCCCACCTTGGTTCCATTGTTGCTGTGCACTTATCGCAACTCATTTTTGTGTTGTTCCTGGCATTAACATCATTACTCACATGATACAGGCATGAGTTCTTCCCTCAAGTGCTCTGCAACAAAGGAGTTTCAGAGCGTTTCTCAATTTTGTATGGGCTATTACAAATCTCATACTTCTTAGGACCTGGTGGAGTTACACAGTATTACTCAGAGCCTACAGCCAAAGAATTGTGCAGATGTGAAACTTAGTCCTACCGCCACCCACTGCTTCTCGACCTTTTCTCCTTCCTCTGGATTGTATGTCACAGTTTTGCAGTGACAGCAGGAACCACAACAGGCAAAATCCCCGTCAGAATCTCAAATCTAGATGGAGCAGCTCTCTGACCACTACCTCCTGAGCTTCCTCCATTGCCTGCTCATTTCCTTCCTCTCATAAAAAGCAGCTCCTTTTGATGGGCCTTCTGCAAAGCTTTGCCCCAGGAGCTGTTTTCTCCTTGACTTCTCACTTATTCAGCTATGTGCCTTCCCTATACTTTATCTCCTCAGGTTCCTGCTTTACTTGAACCTCCTACTTTGTCCCACTTCCTTCAGACTCCATTTTGTTTTCAAACCAGTCTCCTCAGGAGGAAACCCCTCATCCTCCCACTGAACTTAAGCACTGAGAACTTCCTTGAGAGTCATGGGCATAGCCAGACTGGGGCAGGGGGGCAGGTGTCCCGTCCCCCCGATCAAGTAAAATAATGGACATACTTAACTAACTGACCAATCACATCGGTTTTCTGCTCCCCCAACAAAATTCCTGCCCCCCCCAAAAAGTCCTGCCTACGCCCATGTTGAGAGTCCACTCTCTCCTTTCGTGCCAGAGTTTTCTCTGCTCTGTACCTCAGCTTCCTTTTCCACCAATCCTTCCTTCCCATTTCTTTATTTTTTACCCATTTCTTTCCATTACCTAACCTGCACCCTTGGCTTCAGGCACTTTGCCTCTGGGCAGCTCACTGTCCCTTAGCTGAATTGTGGAATGCCTTTACAGTCACTGGTCTACCCTGTAAATAATATTTGTGATTTTAATCCAATCCAAACTGGCAACTTTTCCTTACTTCACAGAAATCAGACTACAAACTGTAAACTGAGCAACTGAACATTCTGAACCATTCCAACAACACAATATATAGATTTAGGACTACAGTGGTACCTTGGGTTACAGATGCTTCAGGTTACAGATGCTTCAGGTTACAGACTCTGCTAACCCAGAAATAGTAATAATAATAATAATAATAAATTGTATTTATATCCTGCCCTCCCCAGCCGAAGCCGGGCTCAGGGCGGCTAACAACAATAAAACAGTACAAAGGTACAGCACAAACAACACTCTAAAATAATTCATTATAAAATTAATTCAAATCAAGCCACTGGCAACCATTGGGCCAGAGCTCCACGAAGATTGCCGAGGGAGTCAGGCTGTGCCCTGGCCAAAGGCCTGGTGGAACAGCTCTGTCTTGCAGGCCCTGCGGAAAGATGTCAAGTCCCGCAGGGCCCTAGTCTCTTGTGACAGAGTGTTCCACCAGATCGGAGCCACAGCCGAAAAAGCCCTGGCTCTAGTTGAGGCCAGCCTAACTTCTCTGTGGCCTGGGACCTTCAAGATGTTTTTATTTGAAGACCGTAAGTTTCTCTGTGGGGCATACCAGGAGAGGCGGTCCCGTAGTATCTTGGGTTAAGAACTTTGCTTCAGGATGAGAACAGAAATTGTGCTCCAGCGGTGCGGCAGCAGCGGGAGGCCCCATTAGCTAAAGTGGTGCTTCAGGTTAAGAACAGTTTCAGGTTAAGAATGGACCTCAAGAACGAATTAAGTTCTTAACCCGAGGTACCACTGTATATGGGAAAAAGAGAAATTAGCATAATCCTTCAGTATCAATCAGAGGTTTCCCTTTTGTATTTTGAGTAGCATTTTGTTTGCTACATGGTTGCAGTCAGGACTGTGTGAGCTAAAAATACCCCTAGGATTCTGCACCAAGGTGACTCAAATTCTGCAACCGGTGGAAATTATGCAAATTAAGTGTTTTGATACATTTGACTATTTTGCATAATTTGCAGCATGGTTACTCAAGAAGTATGTTCCATTAATTTCAGCGGAGATTCCTCCTAAAGAGGTATGCATAGGATTGCAACTCATGTCTGCTTTGGGGACGGGGAAAGAGGTTCATGGTGCTGAACTCCAACCCCTGAAAAAATGCTGCTGGGGCGTCTCTGGCTTCAAACATCTCACAAGGAATTTCACAAGCTGTTTCCCGTCTTTGCTGCCCAAACTGGGAGAAATACATTGTTTTTGTGTGTTCGTTGTTCTTTTAAAAAGCCAAGTTCTGTCCCTGGATTCTGCACCCAATAACCAAATTGTGTGCATTTCTGTCCTCGTGCAAAATTGCAGCCTACAGCACAGAGCCTGCTTGCAGCAGCGCTGAAAAAATAGAGGGTGGGTGGTTCTCAGATGTTTAATATGAATGTAACACACCTGTTTATAGAAGGTGAGGAAGTGAAAACACTGCATCCTAATGAGCAGGGGAAACGAAGGCTAAACTATACAGGACTTTGGAGATCCATAATTGAATCTCCTGTGTCTTTCCATTTCTTTTAACAGCAGACGGGGGGGACATGTTTCTAGGAGAAATATGGTCTATATAGAACCTCAGTGCTCAGAGAGAGTATGACAGAGGGTAACAGTTTCTAGGAAGAGAGAATTGTTGGCTTTTGTGTTTAGTTTCTGGCTTCTTGCGGGCTTGAGCAAAAGGTTGCTGTGTAATATACAGAGTGATTGTGTAAGTAAGTGCACTTCCCCTGATACTGGAGTGTGGTCACTGTAGTACAGTGATTGTGGTTACTCTGATCACCACATGGGTGTCTGGAGGAAGTTCTCACTGATTAGACCATCGAATGCTTTTCTCGGCAAGCACACTATACAAATGGCAGATTGGGAAGATATCTAGGCACGTCCCGTGGGAGACACTTGAGGGCTTGAGGAATAAGCAGTCGATGAGTCCAAGGTTTCCATAACGAAATGTTAAAAATAAAGTATTTGTCAGAGCTGTGAGGAGCTCTAAAGTGAGGAGGAGCATGCAGTAAGTCTATAGGAATATCATAGTACATCTGTCAGTTGCTTTTCTGTGGAACATAACTAGGTATTTGCAGTTCCTGCAGAAGAGACTTGTAGGAAGTTATAGCCAGCAGTAGGTCTTTGTAGTGCACACAGTTGATGGGGGCCTAATGCAGGAATTGACGGGCAGGGCGGGGCGAAACTCTGTAAGACAACTGCTGTTGGGAGGTGGGTTGCCTTTTCATGGGATATGATGTGGGGCAGTGGATTTGGTTGTCTGTGTATATTTATAAATAAATGCAACTATTCCAGAATGCCAGTTAGATCCCAGGGACCGCCTTCCAAACGAAACCCAAACTAGGTAAGCGCTGTGTCCCTTGATTTTCTCACCGCTTGGGAGAAGAGCATGTTGGAACCTGACCATCTGGGATGTAACAAAGGTTCCCTTGCCTGGAAGCCTCTAAGCAGCCAGTGCGGTTGAGAGAAGATCACAGTTAAATCCTCTTTCAACCTGGTTTACAAAAAGGAAAAATATTCCGCTTAGGTGGAAGCAAGTTGCACTTTGATGTTCCACATCCTACAAAAGTGTGAATATTGCTGCTGCCTTATAGTCCAATTCTGTGCTCTGGAATCTATAATGATGAAGGGTAGTTGTGTGGGGGTGTTTCGCAGGGCTCTAATTAGAAGTCACATTGATTCCATTGGAATTGCATATAAATGTGTGTAGGATTGCAGCCCTGTACCCACACCATATATTTACAGAACATGACTTCCTCCCAGAGAATCCTGGCAACTGAAGTTTGTCAAGGGCACTGGGAATTGTAGCTCTGTGAGGGTGAACTACAGCTCCCAGGAATCTTTGGGGGGAAGCTATGTGATTTAAGTGTACTGCGAGGGTGTGACTTAAGTGTGCACAGGATCACAACCTTACAAGTACAAAGCAAACAAACCTCAAACCTCTTGTCATCTATGCAACATACCTTGTCTGTTATTCCAAATAAAACAAAACACATCACCTCAATGGCATCGCAAGCTTCTCTGAGCCTGATCCTAAGCATGTGTACTCAGAAGTAAGCCCTGTTGATTTAAATGGGAATTACTACCAAATAAGGGGCTTATATTGCCAAGTGATCCTAAGAATGTTTGCTTGGAAGCGAGTCCCAGTAAGTGGAGACTCCTGCCAGGTAATTGTGCATGGGATTATCCCTGTGCAACCAAACTCCTGTCCCTGTTTACTCAGGCGGATCTTACTCCCAAGCAACTATAATCTTATAGCTTCCCGCGGATTTAATATTTATTTACTCATATTTATTTTCAACACATATTTTCCTTTCCTTTTTTTGTGTTTTGTTTACTCTGGAGTAAATAGTTTTTCTGGAGGGCACTGCAACGGAAGGTGAAAAACCCTAAGCTGCGGCGATATAACACCCATAGAGCCCCCAATCCTGCTCGGTGAGTCTACTCGGAGGTAAAGCCCCGCGAGCCTCCGCCTCAAGGGGCGCTAGAGAGCAACCACGCGAGGCCGGGAGCCGCGCAAGCTGAACGCACGGTTATTGGCTGATGGGGGGGAGAGGCGGGGAGAAGAACCCTTCCCACGTGACCCACCTCCAGAATGTTGGGTTCTTGCCCCAGAGCCGGCGCCGCGAGTCGATCCCTCGAGGCTGGGCAGCAGCAGCAGCAGCAACATAAGCGGCGGCGGCGGCGGCGCCTTCATTTGCAGCGTTCACGTGGGCGCGTGGTGATGTAATCCCTCCTCCTCCTCCGCCCGCCCCGTCGTGGCGCTTGCAACGCCGCGGAGCCGCTCTCCGTTGTTTCTCGAGGTGGGGGCAAAAAGGCAACTTTTGTTTCTTGGGCCGGTTCTGCTCTCCGAGCCGGTGCGCGCGCCCGCCAGCCGGGCAGAGGGGGAGCCTCCATGGGGTGAGTGCAGCGTGCGCGCCCGGCTCGAACTTTTCTCCTGCTCCTCCCCTCACATCTCTGCTCCTTTGGGAAGCCGCCCTTCCCAGGCGAACCCCTCTTTCTCCCGCCGCTTCGAGGTTGCCTCGGTCTCTCGCCTCCCCTCCTTGCGCCTTTTCTCCTTTTGTTGCGCGGAGCCCGGTCGCGGCAGCTCGGCTGGGGGGCACCAAGGAGGAGGGAGACGGGGGCGCTATGAATGGGAGCATTGTCTCGCCCTCCCTTCAGGAAAGGTTTGGGGTGGAAAGCGAGCGGGGGGGGGGAGCGTGTTTCGGGGTGCGTTTCAACGGGGAGGGGGGTTCCCCTTGGGTCTGCTTCAAGGGAATAAGAGAGAGTAACAGAGAGAATAAGCGGTACCTCTGGAGAAGGGTCCGGGAATGGGAAATACCGCGCGGGGGGCTCCCCTCAGCTCGTTTCCTTACAGTTTGGGGTCCCTGAAGTTTAACCGGGCTTGTGGAGAAGCCGATTACACGCCCACGAAGTGATTGCTGGAAGGGCGGGGGTTGCTTTATAGGTGCTCCATCTCTCTCTCCTTTTCTCTTCTTATGCTTCAAATCAGCTTTTGGTTTCTGTTGTATGGTAGATGGGAGGCCCTTTTTTTTTCCTTTGAGAAAAGGGGGGGGGGAGTTCCTCCGGGGGAAAAGATGGGAAATGACACCTTCTGTCCCAAGAAGGAAAAGAGAGCTTTTCTTTCTTTCTTTTTCTTTCTTTCTTCCTTCCTTCCTTTCTTTCTTTCTTTTTCTGTCTTTCCCCCACAAACAGACAACACAAAGCTGTCCCCTCCAGTTAGTTTTCCTTCCAAAGACCGCCTCAGCGCAACCTTTAGGGGGAAGACCTCTTCGCTCCTCTCCCCCTCCATCCCATAAGTGCTCATTGCTGTGGTCTAGACCCACCAGGGCTTTGGAAAGTTGACAGCTCCGCAGCTTACATGTGAGTCATAATCACTGGGTAAGCTGAAAAGGCTAAAGAAATCAAAATCTTTGGGTTTCCCTCCTGCTGCCAAGGTATCCTCAAAGCAGGATTTTATTTAATTTTTTTTTGAGAGTGGAAGAAAAGATCCCATTGGAGGGATATGCTCAGGGTAAGCTGGTGGATTTTTCACACCTCCTAAGGGGATTTATCTTTTTCAAGGTACTTATGCTTAAATTTCTAATGTGGTGAGCTTGTTTGTGGTGGTTTTTTTTTTTAAAGGGAGATTTTACCCATGTGTACCAGTTCCACACTGATGAGTTGTGAACATAATTTACTGGATAATAAAAAGATTCAACATATGAAATGAAGGGAACCATTAACATCGATGAAAATCTACCCTTGTACTCTAGCTCACAACGTGCTGTGGGCTGTGCCAGTAAGGTGTGAGAATCTATTTCCAGCTTTACTTGCCTGGTGGGAAATGTTAAAAAATGCCATTCTTGGATAAAGAAGTACAAAAGTAGTTTTTTCTCTTTCAGGGTTGTATTTATAAACTGGCAACACCTGCAACTTTTGATTGCAGGGTGGCTTTTCCCTAGTTAGTGGTAGCTAACCTGCAATCTTTCAGATGTTGAAAATCATAGAATTGTAGAGTTGGAAGGGGCCAAGAGGGTCATCTAGTCCAGTCCCCCTGCACTGCCCAAGGTGGGGCTCAAACCCATCAACCTGAGATTAAGATTCTTGTGCTCTACCAACTGATCTATTGGACACCAACTCTACCGTCCTTGGCCTTTGGTCAAGCTGGTTAGGGCTGATGAGAGTTGGAATCCACCAACATATGGAGGGCCACAGGTTCCCCTTTCCTGCAACAGGTTACATAAGACCAGTAGTCCAACAACTTCATATTAGCCAAGTACTGGTAGCGGCTCTCAAAGATTTCAGAAGAGACATTCCCAACTTTACCTAGAGATGCCAAGGATTCAACCTGTGACCTTTTGCATGCAAAACAGATGCTCTGCCACTGAGTTATGGCCCTTCCTGTGCATTAAAGGTAAAGGGACCCCTGACCATTAGGTCCATTCGTAGCCGACTCTGGGGTTGTGGCGCTCATCTCGCTTTACTGGCCAAGGGAGCTGGCATACAGCTTCCGGGTCATGTGGCCAGCATGACTAAGCCGCTTCTGGCGAACCAGAGTAGCGCACGGAAACACCGTTTACCTTCCCGCCGCAGCAGTACCTATTTATCTACTTGCATTTTGACGTGGGCAGGAGCAGGTGGGCAGGAGCAGGGACCGAGCAACGGGAGCTCAACCCGTCGTGGGGATTCGAACCGCCAACCTTCTGATTGGCAAGTCCTACGCTCAGTGGTTTAACCCACAGTGCCACCCGTGTCCCTCCTGTGTATTAGAATGGATTTATTTCAAAGGCGGCATCACTTGATCAAGATTTGAGTGTCACCAGTGAAAGTTTGGGGGGATTTGTTGCAGGTTGTAACCCAAATTAACCCTTGCATTGTGGGCTGTTATGATTGGAGAGGTAGGAGTCTCATTTTACACATTGTGTTAAGTAACCTGGATTTGCACCCAGTAGGGTGAGGCCAATTGCACTCAGACATTATAACACAGATATTTTCAGAAACCTTTTTATCACTTTCCCGCACTGTATTTTTCCAAGTGTACACCTAAGCATGTAATGTAAAGGCCCATTAAGTAATTCTATGTGGAACTTTTCCTGTAGATGTTGAATCCAAAGGTTACTGTGGTATATGAGAACTTCATTATCTGAGTCTAGCTGTACAATTTGTATTGTTTGTTAAATAAAAACTTAGGTTATGCTTACATATGAAGGCAGCAAACACTACCTTCTTCCATTACTTTAAAATGAGCGTGCTTAGGTAGCTATATTCCCTATAATTATGGCAGCACCATGTAAATGCCTCCATCAGAAGGTGCAAGAGAAAGCACTTGCTGCCTTCTGGCTGTTAGAAGCCATTGAAAGTGCATATAAGATTTTGCACAGACAGCCAGATTCTTGATGATCAGTGGCATACAAAGGAACAAGGACGCTTGATTGGATGGCTTTCAACCACCCTTTCACCTTGCACTTTGGTGCTGAGCCAGATATTGTACTTCATGGTTGGCAAATGTAGCACTTTAAAATGACAGTGAGGCTAAAAGGGAGTAGTACATTTGCAAGAATATTGTGAATGGAGCAAGGCTTCTAATAGCTATCATTGATCTTGGACTAGCCATATGCCAGACAAAATAGGTCCTTGTAACTTCTGATGTGTGTGTGTAAAGTTTATTTCTGGTAGGGAGAAACTGTTGCACTTCATCCACATTTCCTCTCCCCTTCCATATTGGTGCTCAGGCCACTGCTTATTATTGAAATACTTTTCTAAATGGATACATTTTAAAAAGCAAACTTCAATGGAGTACTAGTACAAACTGTTGCTAAATGCAGTGTACTGATCTACTGACGTACATGCTATTAAGATACACAACTTTGAACAGGGGTGGGGACATCTTTTCACTTTGAGGGCTCACCACTGTCACTCAGGACAGTGGACCAGGCATACACCTCTCTCTTTGCTCCATCCAAACAAACAAGAGGTGTTAGCAGATTCAAGAACGTTTTTTAACTCTGCAAAAACACCTGGAGTTCCCAGTGGGGCCAGTGAGTGTGGTGACCTGGGGAGAGGGCTGCATATGACCTCTGGACCTGAACTTCCCCAGCCCTCTTTTAGAATAATGTAAAAAGACGGATAGTAAAGATGCAGCCTGCTAAGTAGTGAATCCTCCGTTCTGGGACTGCTCCCAAACAATCACTGACAAAGCTATCAGTTGCTAGGAAAGAGACGCAGGGGTTTCATGCACTAGAGAGAGTTAAAATAGCAGGATCCCCTGCCTTGGAAATGTTAATTTGGTTCTGGTACATCATCCTTCAGGCATACTCATGATTCAATAGTCAAGGTGAAACCTGTGGTTCATTATGATAGCTAATTGGCTCCATGAAAGCTGTGTGAGGCGGGGGCTGTGGCATTTGAATGATACAGATAATTTGATTTGCTCAGCTTGAGCCTATACATTGGGGGCCTGTGGGCTAGATGTGGCCCCTTGAGTCCTGCTTCAGTTAGGTTTGCAGAAATGCCTCCTATTTATTGCTAATTTTCAGCCTTTCTTCCCCTTGGCAAGCTGGGTTGCAATACTCAGTGATGGATCTTAAATGCCTGTGTCCAAGCTGTGTACTTGGGTGAGAATTGTGGTCTTCAAGAAGGATGGAGAGAGGCATGAACTCCCAACTCCCATCAGACCTGGCTGGCATTGCTGATGGCCAGGAAGGATGGAGTTCATCCAGCAACATCTGCAGGACCACAGGTTCCCCATCTCTGGACTGAAGGATACTTAAAATGAAAAAAAAAAGTAGTCTTGCTTTCTACTACCCCAGAAGACAGAACTAACTCTAATGAGCTTAGCAGGCAGGAGAGCCGATTTCAGAGGTTTCCAGGGAGTCTGGACAGTTATTATTTATAATAATTTCATTTCTATACAACTTTATACTTTAAGAAACTCAAAGTAGTTTGCAACCCATTAAAACATCAAATAAAACAAATTCAAGTTTCAAAGAAAAATATTTCAGAACCTTCTTGAAGTGACATATTGTTCCCCCATATTTATCTACCTACTTAATTTATAGAGCTGCCCCATAGCAGAAGTGCTCTAGGGAGCTGGTGTGGTGGTTAGAGTGTTGGACTAGGACCTGGGAGATCAGGGTTTGAATCCCCACTCAGTCATGAAGCTCACTGGGTGACCTTGGGCCAGTCACAGCCTCTTAACCTACCTCACAGGGTGGTTGTGGGGATTAAGTGAGGAGGGGGGTGGGATATAAACGCAATTCTGCTTACCTGTTCAAGATAGGTGGGGAGACCAGCCAGACGGCAAAGTCAACCACCAGCCTGGCATCTAGAGATCTCCATGTGGTCACAATTGGACCCACGCCAGTGGCAAAACACTCCTGGCGCCTGGGGGATTTTGAACATTGTCTGAAATAACAAACCCAAATAAAGTAGATAATCATTTAATAGTACAAAGTGGATAGCAAATGGCTGAGAAAAAGCAGCAAGGTCTACCTTCCTCCCTTAGGTATTGTGCATTCTTAAGGTGAAAATGAGCAATGGCTGACTACAAAGTATACTTTATAGGTTTGGGTCGAATGTTTCTTCTTTAGTTTGACTGGAGGGTGGCTGTGTGATGGATTGGACAAGGCTGGATATTCAGGTTGTCAGTAGAGTAATCTCAAGCAGCGCAAGAGTGAGCCTGTGGCTAATTGATGGAGCAGCCCAGACTGTCAGCAGAACTTATATCTGAAGATAAAAACTGGGTTAGTGGCTCAGAAAAAGAGTTAACGTTTTATGAAGCTAAAGGAGAAGCTGTGCTGGAGGGGAAGGCAGATCTCTGGAAGAATTCTTACTCTGACCTTTTGCAAGGGGGGATAGTTGGCTTTTCCTTGTGTTAACTGAGTGAGTTGACTCTCTCTTTGGAAAAAAGTTTTCCCCCCCCATCGGTGACACAGAAAATTGATGCAGGTGGTGTGCCACCCTCTCCACTAAGTTCAGGAAGCAAATAAGCACTCATTGTTGAATGCATTGTCTAGATTTGGAATTTCAAATGTATTATCATAGTACTTCCAAAAGGTGGTTTTCATAAACCAGCCAGCATGATAAACCTGCTTGTGAAGGGAACTAGAAGAGGACCAAGATCCTACCAGCCCCTTGAGATGGGTCTTGCAGTGCCTGCAAAGGGCTTGCATCATGTGTCTGGCAGCCCCATTTCAAAATGGATGTGTGGATCTTCCCTGAAGGAACTAACATTGTCACCTCTGGACCTGCTGTCTGGAGCTGATGGGAATTGTAATCCAGCAGTTCCTATAGGAATATATGAAAGCTGCCTTATACCAGATCAAACCACAGTGTTACCTAGCTTAGCATTGTCTGAATTGTGAATGTCAGTGACTCTCCAGTAGATCTGGAGGGCTACGGTTTCCCCACCTATGGGAGCCAGTTGTGAAGATCCTTTGTTTTATGCTAGTTTAAATTAATAGGAAATGTGAGCAAATTCATCTCTGTAGCTAGAATACAGTATGAGCCCTGTTGTACACAGTGTACATACAGTGTCCCATCAGTCTAAGGATTTCTGCTTGTGCAGTAAAACTCCCCCCACCCTTGTCCCTTAAATCTGTTCTGGGCCCCCAACCCTCTGGAGCAGATTTGGTGAGGGCATGGGGTGCCTGAGGGGTGAGGAGAGGGGAGGGAATGTTATGTTGTGCAAGCGGTGTGCTGACTGAAAGTATTAGTTGTCTCCCATCCATTGTACAAAGGAGTGTGCCCAAGCCACCTGAAACTGTCACCACAGAACACTTCTAAAATGATTACAGTCGATCCCATCAACTGTTTGGCAGGGAAGAGGCACCCCTTCTCCTCCTCTGCAGTGATGATGTGCTTGTGTCACTACCTGCCACACGAGAGGGTACAGTTGTACATGCAGTATTCATTCCCACCCAGTTGGAGATACATATGGAAATTTGTGAAAGTGCTTTCCTAATCAGAATAGGAGCAACTGCTGTGTGCTGTAACCTCTGTGGATACACTACATTTGTTCCTGGGCATTTGGTTAGGTGTATCTTTTAAACATTGCTCCACTTCACCCCATCCTATACCCAGTATCTACCTGGCTTAATGAGGCTTCACTATAGTTCATTTTAGGGTTGCTTCT